TATTTCGGCCAATTTCTATTATTTTTCCAGCGATCCACGGTGCCTGGTAGAGGCTAGTCGGGGCGACAGTAAGCGCTAGCCATTACAGCCGGCGCCACGGGAATGACACAGCGGTCCACCGGCGGGTACCCGTCGGGCTAGCCTGGGTGCCACCCCGCGCGCGAGTGTCTATCCTCTAAGTAAAAGTCACGGGAAGTCATACTCCCGGCAGACCTACTTGGCACACTGTGTCTAAATTCTAAATATCTCCTAGCGCATGAGGCGTTTATATAGAGGGCTTCGCGTGGACGAAGGGGTTTGGGTGGATAATGGTAGCGGACAAATACGGTTTCTCCCGAAATCTATCGCCAAATAAATGCCGGACTCTGGGGCACCCAGGGTTAACCGTCAGGCGTGCTAACAGCAACACAACAACCCGCCCCCCAGTAACACTAACCAGCGTGCCAGGCCCTGCAGCGTGCCTTTGCCGGTACTGTGGGGCCCAGTGGGGCCGGTAAAATTCGGTGGCCAGCTGGATACGCGCGCCAGGGGCTGTTGTTGTTAGCGGGCCGGCTAGCTGAACCGGCCACACCAGCGGTACTTTCCTGGATTTGTTCCATTTGATTTCGAAGTTGTTGAAAGAATAAATAATGGATAGAGATCAACTTCTTTTTGTCTTTTTCATTGTCTTCATCTTATGTAACCGCCTTCGTATTTCAGACAGCTTATGCATGAAATTCGCTTGTATTTATATTTTGAACATGTCTAGTTTTGACATATATCTGCTGGAGTACTCTGTATTGATAACTGTTAACGTGATGATAGCCGCCATCGTGAAACGCCTAATCTGCAGTACAGTAGCATATGCCTTCTGACTGGTTAAAAAAATGAAAACAAAGAAGAAATCATGTCAGTAGAGCCCAAAATGGAAGATTTAAAAAATCCTGTCAATAGTACCAAAAATGGCACTGCTGACAGGACGATCCTGTCAACAGTGTCAAAAATGGCACTGCTGACAGGACGATCCTGTCAGCAATGCAGTATTTCCTGTTATTGACAGGATCGTCCTGTCAGCAGTGCAGTATTTTCTGCTATTGACAGGACGATCCTGTCAGCAGTGCAGTATTTCCTGCTGTTGACAGGACGATCCTGTCAATAGCCTCAGGCTTTCGCGTTACGGGTTTCACGTCAATCGGACGATTTGCGGCACTGTCGTGACTCTTTGGTCATAGTTACAGGAAGCGGAATTTCTTGTTTTTTTTCTAGGAACAGGCCAAAATCAATGCGCGCGCGGACGTCATCCATAAAATTTACTTGGTGTGGCCTTACAGTCATCTCAGGGGGTGTAGTCATAACACTACTTTTGTTAAAGTTTTGTTTGATTTTGTATGCTTCAGCATGTTGTAAAGATTTTGTTTTTGTAAAAAAGCATGGTATTATTATTATTTTTTGTTGCAACGTTTAATTAATATGATTTATGCACTCAAATATTCTCTGGTAGAGACGTTCCACACATAAATGACTTGATAATGCACATTTGTGGCTCTGTACTTATAAAGTATTGTAATAATGTGGAACAACACAGAATGGTTAAAAACTGATTATGTTGGTGTAGTCAGCATGAGATTGCATCGTGTGACTAAATGTACATTGTATGTATTGCCACCATGGATAGTCACTTATATCAAAACTTTCAAAGCCTCAATCAAATGCACAGAAACTTTCCTTACAGATCATTAGTTTTTCATAAGTTACTGTCTAACAACCAACCCCTTTTCTGAATGTGAATGACAATTTAACAAGTTGTTATTAATGTCTCTGTTTGTGTTTACTTCTTTATCATTTATTGTATTAATTACAACTGTTCTGCATGGATTACCTTTGTGATGACCATAGTTTTATACTCACTCTTCCATATACTTAACAACCTTTCTAGTTACTTTGTAATTAATATTTGATTCATTTGTATCTGCCCTCATTCTTCCAGAAGATACAGTTGTTGCTAATGTTCATTTGGTATGGTTAAAGAATTTCATTTTCTTAAAGGATCATCTTTGATAATAATATTATCATACAATGTCAATGTACATACGAAAGGCACCCATTTTTTTTTGTTTGAACTGCATTTTACCAATACCTCTCTTGTTTTAAACATACAAAATTCAAAGTATTAGACACCTCTTAGCCCTAGGATATTGAGATTTTCTTTTACACAACCGGTAATGTCTTGCCTTCCTTGCCGGTTGTTACTGGTTGTGTAAAATAAAATTCCAACATCCTATGTTCTACCAACCTGAACTATTTTCAAAGACTCCCTAGCCCTCTTTAACCATACAAAATGAACATCCTACTAAAAAGAATTGTCAGTGTCACATTGAATTCCTCCTTTCCTTCCTTCATAACGACAAACGTTGATTTTCCCACAGATGGAGGTGGCTACGCTGCAGTCCACGCTGAACGAGAGAGACTCGGAAGTGGAGGAACTAAAGGCAGAGATGACAGAGATAAAGAAACAACAAGAGGAGGAGAGAGAGAAGGAAGAAGAGAAGAAGACAGATGAAGGAGACAGTGAGAAAGGTAGGAGTAGTCTCCCAAATGTGACAGTCAAAGCTGTAATGTTCATGTCCAGTTCTGTGAATTTAACACACATTTCTACCTATACATGTACATGTAAGTCTGGCATAGATAGAAGAGTGTGAAAACCAAAGGACCAAGAGTCTAAGACATTTGACAATACCTTTTCTTCAGCACGAATTAAGAAGATTTGAGTTCAGGCCAAACTTGCATGTACGGGTATGTAAGAACTATGACTTAGTGTTCAGCCCTGCAGACAATTGTTGTCACATTTGTGATGTACAGTATATGGACAGGTGATTTTGAACCCCTATCTCTTTCTTTGTTAATATGCTTGATGGATATTATGGGACTTATTAATAAGATTATGGGCTTATGTAGTAAAATGGCAGTATGCATATCTAAACCAGACCTAAATCAATTTGCAGGCTGTGTTGTGAATTACCATTGACTGTTACTGTATGAGACTGATTTGAAGTGCACATAATATGGCCTTGTAGTGTGCCTTTGCTAGGTGGCTTAATTTGCTTGTATTCAGTCCTTTTTCTAACTTTTTAATTTATTTTGTTTCTCTAGACAACTGTTGTTCTTTTGTTCAAGCCCTCAAAATAATACTCCCAAAAATTCGAGAAAGGAACAACATTAATTTCATGTTTGCTCCAATTTGGTGAGACTGATGAAATGCCTATTACTTAAACTGACTGAAATGCCTAGTTTTTAAACTGACTGAGGTACAATGTATGTCGTAAACCAAGAACATTTTGTCATTTTTTATGGAGAAAAATGGATTGATACACATTGTGATTCTTTGTTGACATGTATCGCCAATTGGTGTGCATGTATTACTTGTTTATGCTCATGACCATTTCCATTATCCTTCAATATATATAAATGTAACGCTCTATGGGATGAGTTGGAGACATTGATCCAACAGCATTCTCAGTACCCATGGTTCCAGACATCATTGGGATTGGTCACCCTCCCCACAAAGGGATAGCCAAACTCTGCTGCTTCTGTAACCAAGGGTACATCCTCAGAACCCATCCTGCCTTGTTGGTTTCTTCTCCCAAAGAGGTGTTTAACCTTCTCCCTGCTGTGTTCCCATCTTTGTACCCAAAGGTGTGGTTACAGCAGGGCCAAGGTTAAGCCAGAGTTCCCAAAAACAGTGCAGTGACTAATTAACCCTTGGTGTTGGTGCTCTCTCTCCCTCCCCTCTAGTAAAAAGGTTGAAAAAGCAGATGGTGGAAAAACGTAAGGCTTGTGCTTCTTGGTTGCCTCTCCTCTCCGTGTGGCTCACTAACTGAGTAGGAGCAGTGCTGAGCTAACACACTAACAACCTTGTACTGCAGCACACTTCTCTAACAGAGGGATGTCCCAGAAATGGACAATAAGTGGAAGGCAAGATTGCAGTTTTGAAATAAGACCAATATTACTGTGAGAACTAAGTTTTAGCCATTTTAAGAGAAAGACTTGCATACAAAGGAAAGGTTACTCAAAGGGATAAGAAATGGCATTTTCATGTCTTGCCCTCCAATAATACTTTTCTAGGACATTCCCAAACTGTTGACATGATGGTAGGACTTCCTTTGCGAACACAGCACTGGCTTAATATATTGCCACTTAGTCAACACCCTGTAGGTCCGTCCTAACAGCAACTGTACCACTAACACCATTCTTTTCTTGCAGTTACTGTAGATACTAGTACATGTAGATGCGCATGTACAGGCATATGGTATATGTAAACAAGCTAAAAGGCTTCCTTTTACAGTTACCAGTACAAGCAACATTTACTCTTGCTACTAACTGCCTTTTTTCCGCTCTAATTAGTTAAACCCTATTTTTAACATGATAGTAACTTTATTTTATTTTCAATTAATTTTGTCAATTAAAATTGTAGTAATAAATGTTTGTTTACATAATATATGCCATGGTTATTTTATACTTGATGTACAGTAACAGATAATATGTACAGTTAATCGTCAACACTTGCTTATTTCAATGCTGGTGTGTTATTGTTTAGAAGAGGAATACAACAATCTGAAGAGAGCTGTGGAGTCATTGATGCAGGCAAATGAAGAGAAGGTTAGTAAAGTGCTTTGTATTTCCATCACAAAGTTATGCATTTGAGAACACGTCTGTAGCAGCAAGACCTGTGCTGTGCAATGTGAACCAGTCAGAACTGCTCTGAGGAAGGTGACAGACAGTCACTGAAACATATAATAAAACGATTTTTTGTGTAAGAAGAGTCTCAATTTACATGTATTATCCTATTGGGTACTATGTATATCACAAAAACACAGATCCACAGAAACACAGCTTATACTAACAGTCCATGACATAGCTGGCGCACTAAACAGTAAACGGCAGGTAGATTTAGCAATACTTGATTTCACTAAAGCCTTTGATAAAGTCCCCCATGGCAGGCTCATCTCAAAACTGGAGTATTATGGAATCCAAGGCCCTACGCTGAATTGGTTAAAGGCTTTCCTGACCAACAGGGAGCAAACAGTAGTGGTTGAAGGGAAGGCGTCGGCTCCAGTTAAAGTAGCGTCTGGGGTCCCTCAAGGAACCGTCCTGGGGCCATTGCTCTTTCTCTTGTATATAAATGACCTACCAGATCAGCTTGACTCAAATGTGAGGTTATTTGCCGATGACTGTCTATTGTATGTAGAGCTTTCTACACAGACCGACTCACAACTTCTCCAAAAAGACCTGAACACCCTGGAACGAATGGCAAAGCAAATGGCTCATGCAGTTTAATCCCGAAAAAATGCTACATTATGCACATAACAAACAAACGAACACCACATGCAACTAGCTACCAGTTTTGTGGTCAGGCTTTAGCAACACAAAAATCCATCCGTACCTGGGCGTCACGCTGACAAGCGGACTGAAGTGGGGTGCACATGTTAATAATATCACAACTAAGGCGAAACAGACATTGGGAGTGATTAAACGTAATCTGTGGGCATGTCCAACGAGAGTAAAATCACTTGCATACACGTCACTTGTAAGACCGAACCTAGAATACGCTGCGACAGTATGGGATCCATATACAAAGAAAGACAAAGACAAATTGGAAAGGGTACAGAATCAAGCTGCAAGATTCTGTATGAACAACTATGTAAGAGGTGCTAGTGTCACGGAAATGAAAAGAAACCTACAGTGGACCTCACTTGAAGACAGAAGAAAGATGTCTAGACTATGCATGATGTACAAAATGACTAATAAACTGGTGGATGTCCCAACTACTAAGTACCTAATACCAGCCCAGAAGAGAACAAGAAATAGCCACGTATTCAAGTACCAGAGTTATCAACCAAGGATTGAGGTGTTCAAGAATTCATTCTTTCCTAGAACTATCGCAGAGTGGAACTCACTGTCACCAAGTACAGTAGGGGCACTGTCAATAGATAGCTTTAAACAATGTCTAGAGCTAGAAGTTCAAGGGTTAGGTGTAACAAGTCGATCGGTGTAATATAGCCAGCTGCCGCCGCGCCGCGTGCCTGCGAAGCTAGTGTGTTACGCCGAAAGGCGGTTATACCGGCTATACAGATACAGACAGATACAGATACAAAGCGAAGCATCAAGTGTTCTGTGTCAATGAATCATTATTTTTTGGAATCAGAAAGGTTTTGGCAGAATACAATTATAGAAAAATAGAAAAGGATACCTATAAATGCATATGGGTTTGTCTTCTGATATGTACAATTGTGATCATTTCCATTTATTAAAGACATTATCAATAGCAATGGAAGATCCAGTTTACATGTACATGTAAATCGTGAAATTTTTGCAGTGACTTAAATTTTATAGAATAATGGTTCAACCGCGAACTTCAAACACTGCAAAAAATCTTTTTTTCCATCTTACTGTGAAATAAAAGTAACTTCTAACAGTAAGCAGTAATGTAACTATTGTAAGAAGAATCTTTGCTCTGTTGACAGGACATAAAGATTGAGGAACTGAAGTCCAGTCTGAACCGGTACAAGCGGGTACAGGACATGGTCCTGAGTGCCAGTTCCCCCGGTAGGAAAGGTAACCGTATCTCTCTCTGCTGCCTGCTCCAACTGTCTGTCTTCACTGGTCTCCTGTCATTAATTTTGCATGAATCATATTTTAATAATATCTAAATACAGGTAAGGCCAGGTTTTAATTGAATGTTTTTACAGAGTTACTCATCTACAGTACTAGAAGTTTTTAACAGGTCTTATTTATCATATCTGGGTTGAAGAAATCTTGGATGCATCCGGAAATAATTGTGTGTTTTTTTACCAAAATTTGAAGTTGACAGTACTAACAATAATTTGGAGTTGACAGTACTAACAATAAAACTATTCTATACTATAAGTTTTTGATACTATTAGGATACTTACATGTACATGATTTTAATCCTTGAATTGATTATAGAATTACATAGTAACACTTTGGTGGTGGCTTTTCTAATATCAAGTCTTTTGCTCGTGGTGGCTTCCTAAAGACTACAGGCAGAGCACTAGATCTGGATGTATCAGCAGTTGAACATTGTGGTAAATTTTCTCAGTACATCTTTATAAAACTCTGAGTACAGCTGATACCACAAGATCCAGTGCCTGTGTGACTGTGAAAGATCTTGTATGTATTTCTTAAACAAACCTTAGTTTGTAATGTTCTGGCATTGCTACATTGTACATGTAGATGGAGCTCCAGGGGAAGAGGTTGACCCTGTCGTGACCCCACCTACCCCTCCTGAACAGGAACCCCTGGAGGAGACCCTGAAGGAAACACAGGTATGAGACTATTCTATTACATTTGGTTACCTTCCACAAAGTTTACTAGATCTGATTTCTTTATTGGATTTGAACTACAAATTCGCATTTTGTAGGGTCATGCAAAGTAGCATGTTGTCCTATATTGACGTTACATATCTGTAACTGTAATACAATGATTTCCTTTCCAGTGTCACATTTAACAATATGGTGTTTGTTGAAAACAAGTCTTGCTGTGTTCTTGTCTGTTTTGTCATACAACAGTACTGTGACTGTCTGTGCTGCTGATGGCATTGTCCGCTGTCTTGTGTTTGTCTTGTCTAGATCCATCGTAGCAGGCAAATTACAGAATTGCAAAGTCTTCATTTTGTATCAGTAGAAACTTCTAAAGAGGTGTTCTAGAGGGACTTGTTGTCTGGAAAATTTTCTATTTTTTAAGCATTTCTCAGATCAAGATACATGTACACATGCAAGTCATAGTCTGTAGCAGTTAAAATGCCATTTAAGAACATATGGAACATAACTTTGAAGAAGGTACCTAAACTTTCATTCACAGTTTAATAAAGGCTTAATTTCTCCTCATGATTTCCACAGTCCTCCTCCATGCCTTCCCTCAGTAAGGTAAAGCTCTATACCTCATACTATCAACCAGGATTTGATACATGATTTGCCTGTTTCATGCTTTATGTATTGTCCAGCATCATTTGCTGTTTATTGTCAATGTCTCTCAGTCGCTTAACAATTTGTTACATGTACACCATATTGTTGATATTCTGGACTACTGTTCAAATTATATTCACTTCTACACTATTTTAAAAGCATGGTATCAGTGTCGCAACAAGAGCAAAGCAAAACTTAGTAACGATCTTTTCAGTTTCCGTTGGGCAAGATTAAAACGTTTTAGTCCATACTTCAGAATTTCATACAAACCTTTCATCTAAAATCATTCATTACTCTGTAAAATGTAAAAATTTCTTATTCCGCACGTTTAGCAGATGGTAACAGCTTTCTGTTCTGTGTCTCTTGTCACCATCTCTCTAACTAGCAACCTACCGACGCCCCCAAGCAGGCAGAGGAGGTACTGCGTGTACATGTACATATTATGGATGCAGCATGGTGTTATCTTGTGAATGTAGAGAAAGAATCAGGATGTGTACATGGTGGTTATAATATGTGTTGTTGGTACTGTGTGGGTTTCTGGCAGAAAACTTTTGTGTTTGATGATTATTACTTTTTAGATAGCTTGAAAATTAATTTTCAGCAGGGAAGTGCTTGCAGTGGACAGAGATGTCTCGATTAGAAGCTGATTTGCTCAATTCATTTTATAGCTTTTTATTTACAAACAGGTTTTGAGGCTGCTTTGCAGAGCATCTACATGTTTATGCAAAGTCAAAACAATCACATTTGAGTAACAGATGACTGCGTTAAATACATGTATAGCTTTTGAGTACACTCTACAAGTGCGCTGGCATGATTAAAAAAGTTGCATCTTTTTCCTACTCCTGGAACTGATTTTAACATCTTGTATGTGTGATATTTCTTATCCTACTGATGTTCTGTATGCTGATTTCGACCCCTTCCTCTTCCTTCCTGTAACTGTAGTACTCTACTCGCTCACTGCCTCGCCTGTACAAAAGGGTAGGTGGCGCTGTTTTCTCTCTGCATGCTGGTGTTCTTGTGTAATGCTTTTACCCTATTGTAGTTTAGACACACTTGTAAAAACTTTGCATCTGATCTGTGCCAAAGTTTAGTAGTAGTGATAGCCCTATCAAAAGCTAACTGTTTTAAACTGTTTTAAAACCCATATATATACAAATGTATGGCTTGGACATAAAGTACCATCTATATAGTGTCCTGTGTATGTACGATTTGGAGGTGTTTCTCGTGCAACGTATCACACCGCAGGAAAACGCAACGTATGCAAAAAAAGTCAAGAGTCTGTGACCTGATTATGACTTAAAAATTACTTGAAAATATTGTGTAAAAATAGTCCAGCAGGACAAGGGTTAAACTGCTTTAAAGACAATGTAGATTTACATGCGCTTGTATATCTCGTATATCTATTACTTTGCTTGTAATATCACATTTCTGTATCTGATTTGTGCCAAAGTTCAGTAATAGTAGAAGCTTAAGTAGTGTTACCCCTGTTAAAAGCTTTTCTTTTAATTGACTTTAAGATAACATTAAGGTTATTGTGTCCAAATGCCAATGTACTTTTCAGACATTGAATGTTGGATGGATGACTTCTCAAACATTGGTACTACTGTAACACCAGTTTTTTGTCATAGGGAAACATCACTAATCCTACAGAAACATGAACTACAGTCAAACCTGCCCATCTAACCACCTCCTGTCAAACAGTGCTGTCCATGGCCAATTTTGCATTATGATAATGACCCCCTGCCAATCAACCAACTGTCTAACTCGCCCAGTGACCACTTTCTGAGCTGTTTTATAAACAGACAAGCTGCCTAAGGGCCACACTTGCATTGTTTGACAAACACTGCTCTCAAGGTTAAACAGTGGTTTCTTGAAGTTTATTTATGCATAATATGTAACTAAGTAAACTTCAAGAAACCACTGTTTAATCATGGAGGCAACATGCAAGCCCAGTATCTTACATTGTATACTGGCCAACAACCCAACTCACCTCCCAAAATAATTTCATCAGGTTAGTAGGACATATAAGATGTAGGGATTTTTCTTCTTACACAACCCATAGTGTATCTCACTAGCTTACGTTATGATGTCTATCAGGCACCTTCGTCAGTAGTACTTCCTCAGTACCACAGTATTTATAGCAAAGAGAAGCAGTACTCCAGTCAGAAGCTTTGAGGAAGGTATCTGAAAGACATTGAACGTTTAAAGCAAGGTGGGATACAGTACGGTTGTGTAAGAAGAAAATCCCCTATATCCTCACCCAACTCACCTGTTTTACATTAGCTCCCATACAACAAGCACCTTTCCACAGTTCTATGAGTTGTTGATAATACACAAGGTTTGACTGTAAGTGACATGAAGATGTGATCCCTGCTGTGTTTTCCAGCCTGTAGTGTCCAAACCACCTCCCTCCCCACCACCGCAACAAAGAATTGCTAAGAAGGATGTAAGATACTTAAGGGTACCAATCGCATTCGCCATTCTTTTCAAAATCAGAAAGAAAAAAACTTTATGCTAACAGCGTTTCTAACTGCAGTATGAAATTATTACAGCTAATATTTAGTTGTGTTTGGCATCAAAAGTTGCAGTTTGTAAAAAGAAAACAAAGGCTTGTATTAAATTGGTCTTTTTCGTTTGTAACATCTTTGCACATGCTTGGTGTGTGTGTAACTTCGCTGTTCAAAATTTTATGATTGAAAGGCAGTTTTAACAATCAATTTTTATGTGTCGTCAGTTCTTCTTCCCTATTCATGATACTAACATGTCCACACTGACAGTGTCAGTGCCTTTTACCTGGTGCTAATATTCTTTGAGGTGTGACTTACATGGAACTACCACACAGTATTGTAGTTGCACTCCTGCAGCTAATACTGTAACACTGTAACTGCATCTTATTTGTAACCCCACTTGCCTTCCAGCTGTTCCAGCATCGGGGTTACCACTCCCTGCCACGCCTGAGGAAGGTAGAGTATGCTATCCAGCGGTGGTGACGTCTGACTGCAGGGTCCACAGAAGTCACACTTAGCCAGTCACAAAGATTGTTCATTTTGCATGTTGCCAGAAGTACATTTTAACCACGGCACTGTGTTCTAATTTTGCAGGATAACCAGCCTGACTGAAGCACAGCATGAGAATTCCTACATAATAGTTGACCGTGTCATTTCACCCCCTAACTATACACTATAATGTCAACTCTCATATAATTCCACTTGGCAACCTAAAACTGCCATCTTAGAATTTTAAGAGAATGATCTTTTATTCTGCTCATTGGCAGAATGTGCTGCGAAACCCAAATTTTTCATGTTTTTTGTTGGATGTTTGGTCAACATAAAGCATAAAAATTTTGCCTGTTGCAGACGGTATCTTTTCTGACAGGATGTCATATTTTAAAACAAAAATATGACCTTAAACAAGATGTTCTGCCAAAGTACTATGCACAATAATACATTGCGGAGGCACAGTACATTCTTGAGAAGGTCTTGATACTGTTCTTTTTTTGTGATGGTCTTAACTTACCAGTAGAACTATGAGAGTTGATGATATATGGAACATACTGAATGCATGGAATATTCTGACACTGAATGCAAGCATGGAATCCTTTTTACAGTGCATAATTACCATTGTGTTATTTTCCAGGACCAAAATGTTAAATAAACCTACTGTACTGGCTATTCTTTTTGGTGTCTTTTAGGAGGCATGAATCTGCCTTATGTACTGCTCAATCAACTTTGTATTGTACATTCCCTAACTGTCATCTCTCACCTATACATTGAAAGGAGTAGCCAGCACATGTCTTAATAGATCTAGCCCGCTGTTATCATTGTTTCACCAAATCATCAGTGGTTCGTAAAGACTATAACCAACTGAAGCTGTTCATATGACATGACGTTGACAATGCATGCATTCAGAAGATCATTCTGTAGCAGTTTAAAAATATTGTCCATGTTTCAAGGATACACGTGACTTGAATAGATGCATTTGAAGCATATATCACCATGTAAGCCTTTATTCCAGATAGGCCCACATGACAATGCACATTTTGTACCACACATACATACATCTAGCACAGAACCTATTGATAGGTCACTAACATTACAGTTTTCATCACTTTATTTTTCAACCAGGATCATTTGCACAGCATGAAGCTACATTGACTAATAGCTGCTAACCTCTACCAGGCTTTGGGAAGCAGTTGGAAAGAGTAGAAATTGGTCAAGTAGACAGGGGAGTTCAGTTAGTTCAGTTGTCCGGTTTATCGTCTGTTGTTCCCCGTCTTCCGAGGGTTAGACGTGCTTGCACAATACATCTGGGGCTTGATGGCAGCACGCCACTTGCCCCTGTCCTGTGGGTCAATTTTATCTAGGTTCTCCCGTACGTTGTCATACCATTTTCTTCTAGGGTGGCCACGGGGGTTTGGACACTCCACATCCAGTGTGAGGATCCTCTTCAGCCATCTGTCCCTATCCATTCTCTGGAGGTGGCCGTACCATCTAAGTCTGTTATACCTAACTGTGTCCTGAATGTTATGGACTCCAAGCCGCCTACGAAGCTGTTACTTTGCCTACGAAGTAGAGAGTACATTTACATGTAGCCACTCCGGAAAACGTACTCTCTAGCAGACCAACTACCCTGGCATGTTATCTGTCTATTTGACCAATTTCTACTCTCTCCAACTGCCCCAGAAGCCTGGTAGAGGCTAAATAGCTGCATGACTATAAAATTACATAAAATCTAGACTGCTAAGTAAGCTAATTGATTCCTGTTTGTCTGTTGTTTTCCATCAGGATCCCACGCCCAAGCCAGCCATGCCAGACCCTGCCTTCACATCCACCCCTATCAACACTAACAACACTGGGGAGCAGCTCAGTATACAGGAACTAGGTACAGGTACTGGTACACTTCACTAACATTGGCATGCTGGCCCACAGGCCTTCTGAACGGCTGTTGCAGACAAGAAAGGGAATTTGAAAAAGACCTTCATTCCAAATACCACGTACAAGCCTTTTATCTTGGGAATTATGCTGGTCTTTAGACACATTGAACTGCTTGAATTAAGTTTGGAATTAATCTCTAATATTGTTAAAACAGACTTATAGGAAAGGGAACCATTGTTGGATAGTATAATCTATATCTGAAGTGGATATTTTCAGATCAGATACTGTGCAGTACTTTTTATTCGTATGATTTCGAAGCTCGCATTGTGTATCAAGATGATCAAAGGCTGAAATTTTTACCAGTTCTGAGATTCATTGAAAGAATGTTTTGGAGATTGACAATTTCAGGTCATACCATCTCTTGCTACCAGTGTTAATATGGACATTTTCTTACTGCAACAGTCTGTGGTGTGATGCATGCTATGTGAGGGACACAATGCATGGTTAGAAATGCATGATGTTCATAGTTGTAATTTATGGATCATGTAATAAACTTACACATCATTTCATTAGAATTCTAGTCAAAATGACACGTCATTATGCATGTTTAATGTACTGTTAATGTTATAAAACTGTCTTGTCAAAGTTTTTGGAAGCGTTGAAAGCATCGCAATGTCTTGTATACTAGTAACTACTTTATTTTGCATGTGTAATTGTGATAAACACAGTGGATTCATAAATCTAATAGTGGGGATATGATGTTTCAACCTTTTTAAATGTTTCCCATCTGTGTGGCCCATGGGCTATAGAAACTAAGATTGGCACTGCCCTATACACGGCCATGGGAAATATTTTAACATGTTGGTTCATACTGACTGCCTGCTTACTCCCTTACCTCGTTCAGACACGTCCCATGAAGGCCAGGTTCCCAGCACCATTAACGAGACGCCGCAGACTACGGTAGATGCCATCGAGGCTGATCAGGTGGAGAAGGAACCCGCCATGGAGTCCCCGCCCAAACCTCCCCGCCTCCGACCTCAGGCAAGGTCGTCCAGTCTGGAGGAGATCAAGGTCATCTCAGACTCAGAAAAGGTGACTTTGGTAACTTGACTCATTATACCATGATATGGAGTTTTCTTTTGCATTGGTTTGTGGGAACAGGTTTTGAACCTGCAATAGGTCTTTTTTCAGATCTATTATGAAGTACTGAGTGACTGTTGAGCAACTCAAGTTGGTTTTGTGTGTGACCTTTGATTTTATTGATTTAATTACCATACAGTCTCTGAGGCATGATGTAAAAGAATGTCTAGAAGACAACAAAACACAAAATGTAACAGAAACAAATCTTTTTTTTTTGCATTCGAAATTGATGTATCAAATTTGGGGCACTAAGCAGTTGCTCAGCAATTGCATCCTTCACAGGGTCTAACATGAATAATAGGTTTACAGGTATGTTTTTGTTGTTTTGGTGATGAATTGTTAACATCGTTCATCGTAGGCTGATGATTCCGACAGTCCAGTTCCTCTCTCTCTCCGATGGTGGAGACGGTCATTACGCGGTAGCAAGAAATCCACGGTCAGGGCCCCGATGCCGAGAACAAAGCAAACACAAACAACATGTTGAACTTGTAGTGTAAACTTTCAGTGGGATAAGGGAAGCATGTTGTGCAAGAGTTCTGAGGTGGCAGCCATTTGCCTCTTCGGTGTTACATCGCTTCTACTTACCTGGCAGTGATCATAGCTTCCTCCTGCAGTTCACTCTAGAATTGTAAGGTGTCCTTTCAGGCATTTTGCTTGGACCATGGATTGTGCTACAGTCATCCTGTGTAGCGTTGTTGGTGGTGGGTTTAAGGTGGTGTACATGTATGGTATTGCTACACCAATTCAAGGCTGGACCAATCTTTAAACTAAAAGGAATTCTGCTGTTACAGTCAAACCTGTCCGTCCAACCAACTGTTTAGGGCAACCAACTGTTATCAACAACCACATTCAAGCAGTCCCGTCCCATTTTACATAGTAAGGACCCCCTTCCAGGCAACCAACTGTACAACGCAACCAGCGGCCACTTTCTTGTGGTCCCTACGGGGCACGGACACCCTACTCAACAACCAGATGATGGCATAAGGACAAGCGATCTAGATCTTGGTGCGTCGGCACAACGCACATGTGGAGTTTGGAACGACACGACCAGAGTAATATTATGCTTCAATAAAAGAAACTGATAATTGTACAAATATAGTTTTACTAATATAATTTCGAAAACAAATCGAGGTCATGCTGCATGCTGTGCACTGACCGACAAAAAATCTAGCGGGCCCGATTCTCTCACGCCGTCTGCACACACACGTACCGCGCTTGCGACAAGAATAACACATTGTAATTTGAGAAAGCATACGGTTAAAACATGGGAATATTGTGCATATCCACAAATATTTCTATAGAAAACACAATCGCTGGAATCTAAAATGTTGTCCTGGGTTTTATTTAGCGGGCGTTTTGTTTTGACGGCGCGCGAAAACCACGCTGATCTCTACACACAGCCGGCGCCTAGTTCCGGCGGATTGAAGACCCAAATCGCGTCAAACACACCATAAAATCACATACACACAGATATTTTTCCCCAAACTATTCTTTGAATTCGTTGTATGGTCGTGGAATTCCATGAAAAGCAGCGTTTCTTATGCTTAGAAGTGTTTTTTCCTCGGCATTTCTGTTTCAAGATGGCGGCCGCGCTTGGGTCACCCCGCGGGTCATCGGAAGGTTCCATTTCTAAAGGGTTGCTGATTACTTTACTCAATTTATTTTTGACACGTGCGGTCAGCGCACGCAAATCAAATATGAATTAACTACATTTTATATCTATCTAGAGTTATAATTGCTAACAAACGCCTTTATAAACTTGAAATTTCGTTATGTATTTTTTGCTGCATGTTCATTGTTCCCCTTCACAGTGGATTGGTTGTTGTTGTTTTCCAAGCCAGCGCCATCTTTGTTCTCCATTTTGTGATCGCGAACGAAGTTTTCCGTCAAATTTCTTAGCCCAAAATGACCTTTTAGGAATTTTTGAAGTCACAGTAAGTTGACTGCTGTAATGTTGCGCCAGTATTGAGTAGTCTGCAAAAGTTGCCGACACAGAACCTGTAATTGCGGCAAGAAAATATCAACGCGGCGTCGGTATGTCCTTGGCCAAAAACAATGGAGGACTGATACTTCTTCAGCAGAAAGGGAAAAAGACTCAAAGGCAGAACGTTTCACTTTCTTATTTTCGTTGCATTATATTTAGGGACTTGTAAAATTAAATTTCAAACCCAGTTTCGTAATAGAACAGTTGTTGTATCAATTGATGAAAACATAATCGAACAGTACTTAGTAGTGACTAGAGATAGCCAAGTACACATTACTATTTTGTCATACTTCTTGTCGCTATTTTCCATTTTTTTTGCCTCAAATTCTACGATATGAAGTATAATTTGCATCAGTCACATGATTGTAAATTTAGAAGACTGAACTGAGAAATTGTGTAATCACTTTGACTTCAAAGTCGTGTGTGTGATGTCAATAAAATCTCACCATTAAATTGTACTCTGTATTTTCTTTTTTGCTTATTATTTGTAAGTAAGAGCCTACCCTGCCAAGACACCAACCAGAACCCCCCCCCCCAACTGGACCATCCAACCACTCCCAGTCAACAACCATTTTTCCTTGGTCCCTTGAGTGGTTGTTGAATACAGGTTTGACTGTATAATGGAAATACGTTTGCACAAGCGTATCCATTAATAATAAAACTTTATGATGAAAACAATATCAAAACACTCATACAACTTACTACATACTATTTTTTTTAGTAAAATCTGTTTATTGCTTAATATCTTTAGAGTTGAATTGGTGTTGCCAGCATTGTATGGTTTGTGTCTACAACAGATCTAGTGTTCATCTGAGTAGGATCTTTTTGCTGCTCTCCTGTTTGTCATCTGACTCTTTAACATCCCGTTCACATTAAATCCACACCTGGGATCCAATCGCGATTGAATCAGGATTGGATCCCGACGCATTCACACTTGTCGGCTCATCCAATCACGATTGCGTTCCACGGGAATTGCTGTCAATCGTGATTGAATCCACCTCCCAGAGGTGAATTTGATTAATCGTGATTCAATCGCGATTGGAGCGTTGAGATGTAGAAAAATCAATCGTGATTCAAAACCCAGTCTGAACGGGGTGGAAGTCTCAAAAAAGGTCTCTTGTTTTTGTTCAAAATTCTCCAAAGAAATCTAACTCTTCTTTTTAAAACCGCATCACAGAGTCCCCCGCCCCAGAGCAGGTTCAACACGCTGCCTCCCAAGCAGAAGCCTCCACAGCAGCAGGAGCCAGGCCTGATCACCAGGAAGGGGAGGGGACTGGGGTCCTTCGGGAAAGGGTTCCTCAAGATGCGGGGAGGCAACAAGAGCACCAGTGCACCTAATCTGTGTAAGTACCCAGCAAACATGTCATTGTGTGTGTATAGCCCAGTCTTCTCATACCTGTATGTAGTTAGTAGACTCTTCATCTTTGACTTTTCTGACGTAACCATTCCCAGCTGAAATCTTTTTCACAGCTTTTTCCTGCTACCATTTTGTAAACTTCTGAGTGATAGTGGCTGCAGTGAACATCTACAACACATTTGTACTTGACATAAAGATTATCCATATACACTGTAGCCAGATTGATATTCAAATTTTAGTGGTAAAAACTCTTCAACCTACAGAAAAACAAAAATGTTGTCTGAAATATTGAGTATTTGTCTTGTGCAGAGTCTTTAATGTCTAAATGTGTCCGGCATTACAAGACAGTTGAGCAAGGATACCTATATGTACATTGTAGTGTTGAAGGTTTAGCAATGTTGTTTAGCCTGTAAAATCATCTGATACAGCTGCACAGGGAAACTGCAGCCAGTCCAGCCAACCAAGTCATGACCCTCTTCTCAAGCCCTGTCTCTTCTATCTCTGTCCACTGTCTGTCCTCTGTCCCAGCCTCTCCCCCCAGAGGGAGGAGGCCCCAGCTCAGCAGAATAGAGGAGATCGATGGCCACGCCACGCTAGGGCCAAACTCTCAGGAGATCCGCCTTCTCTCTGATGACTACAGCCTTTACCATGACTACAGGCTAGCCCGGCAGGCTAGGGGAGGGCCCTGGCACCTGCAAGGTTCTACGTACTACCTTCTTGCCTTTGCTTGTGCTGCGAGCCAACATCTGTTTTCTCCATCCTTTATCTCATCTGTGTTCTGACATGGCTTCTGTTTTCACCCAGGTCTTCATTTCATGTCTGCTCCGAGCTTGTTTGTTTTCAGCTTCTGTGATGCCTACCTCTCCCATCTGCAGCTGCCATAGACCAATCCCGAATGTCCATCACAATTAGAAGTTCAACCAATGACAGAAGTGTAATTAGCAGTTCGACCAATGAGAGAGTGGCTGCATGTCTGTCATATAATGATATATTTGCATTTCTATGTTTTGATGGAGGTGGGGGGGGGGCTTCAGGATCGGTCTATTGCTTGCCATTGTCTCCATGTTGTTGTTGGCTGGCCTTCGTTATGTTTGATCTGTTTGAGGTTTTGTGTGTTGTACCTTTGTTATACACAATTGTGTTTTAATCTGTGTATTGCATTGGCAGTCTACATGTACACATGTAGGGCTGCTCATTACTGACAGTCAGATTGTTCCAGGGAAAATGAAAATACATGTATGCTAATAACATTTCAGTTTTTATTTTCACCATTTTCTTATGATGATTTTCTGTATTACAATCAAGTGCAGGCAAGGATCCCACTTGTTTTGTATACATCGTATTTTACACAATAGTGATCAGTAACACTACATAGTACTACACATACAGTACTACAAAACTGGACAACAAAAATTAAATATGAAACTGTTTCAGCTGCTCAGTGTCAACCAGCTCATTTTGCTACAAAGGTTTACCTTATGTATTGTCTGCTGTTCTTTTTTTTAGAATGCCACTTGTATGATTAATTGTGTACATGTACCTGATACTACCTCTTGCCTCACATCTAACCAATATTATCCTCTACTGCATGCTCAGCTTGCTTTGCAGGAAGTGATAGTAAGTCTTACTCTGCTCCTTCCTAGAAGCACTTTCCATCTTCTGTTTTTATTGCTGAACTTCAGAACGAAAATTATACATTCTACATGTAATATTAGGTTTTTATTCTTGTTTGGAACATGTAACGTGAAAAGAGTAATATTTCATCCTCAAGCATCGACATTTATTATTTGTTGTTACATGAATTGTCTGAATTCCTTCTCAGTGCTGTCATTGTCCCAAAGCTACGAATTGTGTTGTTTATATGATATATAATACTTAGAATTTTTTTGAGATACCATTACTGCAATATGTAGATATACACTTTCTTTGCTACCCATTTCATGGTATTGTCAAGAGCAGCCATCCGAAGGACCATTTCAGAAACAGTATTAATCGAAGCAAGTTCAACAAGTTTTTCTGATCGTTTCCAGCTCAAACTGAGGCAGGGTCAGACAGTGAGCTGGACGGAATCTCCGCCCACCGGGCTCAGCCAATCAAGATGGAGGGAGACGAGAGGTTCGGCTACGAGCCCAAGAAGAGAGGAAATACCATCACCAGATTCTTTGGCAGGTCAGGGAATAGATGTAACACGGCGTGCCTACTCGACCGTACTTTTTGATTCTTTAGTCCCTGAGAAAGATAAGACAGTTAAACTGATCATGAGCACAAATTGATGTTTCTGTGACAGTGACACATGTACAATATAACTGACAAAGTGGTTACATTGTTCACTTTACTTAGTAGAAAAAGCGTAACTTTCCTTTAATAGTATCAGTGACACTGCCATTTTCCATTACAGTTTGTTACTTCTTATTTGTAAATAGCTCCATACTGAATGCTCATTTGAAAGGAAGGTTTGGTTTCGATCAAAGCCTTTTTTTTTCAAATTTTAAAAAATACTGAGCGTTGGATTTCCTGATGTTTTAATTCCCCAGGTTTTTGTTATGCAAAATATGTATTGTCTGATGTATATGAATATGATGCATGACACAATCAGTTTTTAGAAAAGGCTCTTTTTTAAAATTTCATAATAATACACTTACTGAATGTTGGATCTCCTGCTTCCCCAGGTTGAAGAGAAGTGCGTCCACGACCTTTAACCCTGACCGTGATGTAGAGTACGAGGAGCCGTCACCGTTCAGACGAGGCGGGCGATACCGCGCCACCGCCGGACCGAGGCTCGGCTGGTCACGCGACCTCAAGCCCACCACGTAAGGACCAGAAGTGTTTGTTTGTTTGTTTTTTTATACATGAAATTATTATCAAATTGGCCAAGTTTTTCATTGAGGTTATAATGGAAAAGGTCTTGGTCAGACAAAATGTTACAATGATGATAAAGGATACATGTTAGTTTTTAGAGATTAAATACTTTCAGTTGCAAAGGTGGTTATGATTACCGGTATATATATATAATATTTTTTTTATGAAGATGAGTATATTGTTTGTCATTGTATGTGAAAATGCTATATGTCATGTACATGTAGCGGTCTTCTTTGTCACTGCATCATTCTGATGGTGCTTTGCTATTCAAATATGCTCTTCCAGACATGTAATATGTGTGTCTATAGCTTCAGCTTCTATGTAGCGATGTAGCAAATACGTAGATAGAGACTGCACAACTTCTACACATGGCTGTGCTTATTACCTGCTTCTGATTATCAGGACCAAATGTGAATGGACAATCAGAACATTTGCTTAATAGATGTACATGTACCTGTGCAGTTTCTAAGTTAAACATAGAAACTCACTGTACAGTGTAGCTGCTAACCCAGACAGAAGCAAGGTAGATTCACACCTATAAATTAAAGTTTCCATTTTCAGGAGCGCAGACTTACATGTACTTCCCAATTATACACATTGCATGGTTGAAGGATGGAACCATGGCGTAGACATGACACAGCAACTTAATGTTTAGAAGAGATGAACTAGGACTAGAATTAGTTTGTTTTTTTGCAGCAACTTAACTCTGCTTAGTAACTGTTATTAATAACAGTTCTGTAGCTTTTCTAAACCTACATGTAGCATAACGCTAATTGTAGAAGAGTTAACCTGTAGCTGTACATTGAAGCATGGTATACATACATTAGCAGGGAACATAGTGACAGTGAGACTGCCACAGCTAAACGGAGCCCGACCTCACCCACTGGAAAGGCTGATTGGAACAGGCCATTCTCCCCGACACGAAAACAGCTGAGGGGGGAAACCTGGTGAGCGGAACAGCCACGTGATGTCTTGGTGAACGGGTGCACTCGGCAGATAGAACAGCCATCTAACACTAATACTCAGACCTAAACCACCTCCACAACAAGGTCATGCACATGGTGACCTTTGCCCTGTAGTTTCTTCTTCCTCCAGGCTGTCTAGTGACCCTTGACCTGTAGAATTCCATCCCACAACATAGCAGCCATTGATCTTTAACCCCCACAGTCATGTTGCAACCTTTGCCCTATTGTTCTGGAATTACAATGTAATGGGTGGGGAGTTTCTTGGTATTTCATACATATTCCAATACTTTGGGGCAACACAACACAGTGCAATCATTCTTCACTCATATGTGTGTCAACTGCTCTATTCAGGGTATCTTATGTTATGATGGAGCAGAATTCTCAACTTGGAAGGCAACAAAATTCATTTCTTGTACATCTAACGAATAAAGATTATTGCAGTATTTACCAAAGCTCTGAGCTGCAGCTTACATGTACATACATGTACACCCCATGCATTCTTCCTACTTTCAAGTACTGTTCATCTTCCTTTGCAACTTGTGGCTTTCAGCTGTTGCTGTTTTTGCTGACGTTCCACATTTCTCTTCAGCAATACAAGGCATCATTCTGCTCTGTGTTCATTGTGTGTGGCTTGTAGGTGGCATATGTGTATATAGTGTATATAGAGGAAGCTGTTTGCAGTGGGAGTATTTGAAGCTGTAGCAACTGTACAGACTTGGCTGAAGCTAACAATGCTGCATTTCATTTTGAAGCACTGTACAATCATGTAACGTGTTTTAGGTACTTTGGTGTGTTGTTCAAACTATGTACACAACACTTACAGTTGTGGTGTTGGTTTCAGAATCTTAATTTGATTAACTTGATTAAGTGCGGTGGTTTTTATTGGAATAGTGGGTGTACATGTAGTTCCAGTAATCATGGAGACAATGATTCAGAATGCTCCAGCACAATTGGAACCAATGTACAGTGTAACACGTAGAAAATTAAGCAGATTTTGGTCTCCTGCCTTTTGAAATACAATGTAGAGGAAACTGGGAATGTCACACTTAGCATCTGTCAAGTCGGCATGAATTTCTGAACTGGAGAAAAAACACCAAAAAAAGGGGGAAGTTGCCAATATTTGCAATCTAACCTCCCCACCATTAAATGGAACAGCCTGTACTTATTAATTTGGTGACATTGGATTGTTCTGCTTTCCAGCGACCTTGACACGCCCTTCGCTAAGTGGGACCCAGACCAGGTGTGTCAGTGGCTGCATGAGCAGGGGCTGGGCATGTACGTGGGGAACGCCAGGCACTACGTTAAGCGGGGAGAGACTCTGCTCAGGTCCTCACCACACGACCTGGAGAGGGTAGGTCATATCTTGTGTTTGTTTGTTTGTTTGTTTTATTTTATTCACACAATGAGTTCACATTACGTAATAAAGAATAAAAAGAAAAACAGTTTGCAGGAGGGGGTGAGGAGCCTAGTAGGCATATCCTGAGCCTGCCTCCTTTAGACTTAATAAATAATATATGGTACTATAATAATGATTAAAAAGAAATTAACGGAAACAAAGATATCGTAAACTGGCACATGTAGGTGCTTTAACAAAGCAGTTTGCAATGACAAAAACAAAATTAACAGCCCGGATGTGTATGCAGATAATCCTGAAAGATGATCACATGGAAAGGATCGAGGGCAAGGTTTGATTTCATTTGATTTATTGAAATTGTAACAATACAATACATGTGGGACACACATAGAATTCGAAACAAATACAGGAGAGTACAAATACGTAGTTAAGTGAGGAAAGTCATGTAAAGTGCCTTTCCCATGTGTGGCATGTCAGGTCTCGAACCCTGGACCTCTTGGTTCCGAGTCAAGCACTCGCCACACGACCCCTTGTGTTGATGGTAAATATGAAGACAGATGATGACTGTTGACATTTCTTCGTTGTATCCTAGGAGCTGGGCATTAAGAACTACCTGCACAGGAAGAAGCTCCAGCTGGCTCTGCAGGCCATCGGGTCAGAAGACACCAGTAAGATGGGGGAGCTGGACCACAACTGGGTCACACGTATGTCCTCTCACTTCTGTCTGGAGGTCGCTCCTAAGGCCACATCAATTTGATTTGTTGGTTCTCAGATTTTTTCAGAGAAAATATGAAGCGACAGGGTAAAAATATAATAAAAACAGACCTAGGCATCCTGTGATGCCCCAAATGCTGTAATATGAGCCATGAAGTCTACATACCAGGCTCGTTTGTAATAAATATAAATAACGAATGTCAAACTATTAATGAAACCACCACATTGATAGATGGAAAAAACTCGGAAGAGAGGGGACAACTCGGAAGAGAGGGGACTTCCTTCAACTGTTGAGGCCAAAATATGAGCTATTGCTTTAGACTGTGTAATACAAAATGTATGTATAGTGCATAGATGTCCACAGGTGTAAATGATGTTTTCTTCACTCTTCAGGGTGGTTGGACGATGTTGGCTTACCCCAGTACAAGGACCCCTTCAATGAAGCAAGGATTGATGGGAGAATGCTGAACTACATGACTGTGGTAAGTTTTAACAACTAATTATTCATTAATAATTATTATTTGATTAGTTATATTTGACCAATTCTTTAGTAATATTTAGTAACTGAAAATTACTAAAAATGATCCTCATTTTTTAGTAATCCCTGTCCCATGTTCACACGCTACCCCCTTTTTATTTCCAGGATGACTTGTTCAAGTTGAACGTGACCAACGTTCTGCACCACCTCAGCTTCAAACGTGCCATCCAGGTGCTGCGGCTGCAGAACTTTGAGCCCAACTGTCTGCGCAGGAGACCTACGGAGGAGGTAATGTCACCTGCTGCTTTTCAAGCTTTGCGCCGGGCTATGGTTATCATGATCAGTTACTGTACTTACCAGTGCTTTTTATGTCAATGTTGGAATATAAGTGGAGGGAGTCTATTCTTGGACATTTTGTGAGAGTAGTTTTCCAACTTTTCAAAATGCTTGGGTTCCCTCACTGGTTTTTGATTGTAGAATGAACACCAAAAGAATGTATTGCCTTAACTTAAGTACATGTTGAAGATTTTTTACAGCCAAGTTATAGTATTATGCTGGTTTTTCTTTGTACTGTAGATCTTTGTCTTTGGACCAGTGTTTAGTAGTGTATACATTGTACATGTACATTGTAGCTAAGGATGTATGGAAAGAACTTTCAGATCTTTGTCTTTGGACCAGCGTTTAGTAGTGTATACATGTACATGTACATTGTAGCTAAGGATGTATGGAAAGAACTTTCAGATTTTGTGTGTCACCAAGGTGATATGAACTATTGTTTGTTTGTTAGAGCTCTTGTTTATTTATGAAATATTCAGTCAGACTGCTGGCTGTTTTTTTTAGTATTAATAATTTTTCTTTGTTTGATAATTGGGGGAATATTTTTTTTCATTCATTTGCAACTCAGCTGTAAATAAGAACTTTCCCTGTCATGATCCCTGCATTCTTCCTTTTTTCCATGCCAGGTGATACGTTCAACAGTTCTGCTTTATTATTGCTGCTTGCCTTTTTATTTTCTGCAGTCTAGTCGTCTACATTTCAGCAGCCCTTTTCTGCTCTTTTGCTGACTTCTGGAGCACCATTCTATGCAAACATTCTGAAATAAAGTTTTGTATCCATTTTCTGTAATCATCTCATATATTAAGTATTGAGAGTTGATTGTAACTATTCCTGTCACACAGGACGGACACCGTCAGACCCATCCCTATGTTTTTAAGGTTGTACAGTCTGGCTAGTTGTTGCCATTTTGTTGTGGAGTGTTTCTGCAGTCTGTGTGAAGGTTTTTGCTGACAGTGATACTAACAGGATTTGTTCATGATTTCTTTTTTTTCATCCATCTTATCCAAAGACAACTGGGAACTTTGTTTTGAGAAACAACAGGAAGGGGAAGACAACTCCTGATTTTGCCACTTGTATACAGGAGCTCTGTTGATTGTGTAACTGACCCAAAAATTAAAAAAAACAAAATTAATGTACATGTGTACATTGTACTTGTTAACATTCAAATACCTGCTCATTTACCTCCAAAACATTCCCTATGAGTTTCAACAGTCTTTTCTATATCAACTCTTTTGTTTTGCATGTCTTTAAGGTTTTAAACAAGCTTACAATGCTTTGCCTGGATTTTATTGTACTAGCATCATTGTTTCTTTGAAAAAGTTATGGTGGAGCATCTCACAATCAATGTTGAAACACTTAGTTTGGAGTCATTTTTAAACCCTTGTAATAAACAGTCTTTCTCCTGCTACTTCTTTTTGTTTTGTGTGCTGCTAATTTGCAGTTAATCTGCTCCTGCATCCTCTACTGTATTACGCCCCCTTGTGTGCAGTGCTTGTGTTGCACCCCTGCTGCATTGCCCCGGCGCCTTGACTTCTCCACATCACCTGGATGATAATTTCCGAGAATTGATTGTTGCCTCTTCTCCCTTCTTCCCCTGTAGACGTGGCAGGACGGTGTCGACGTACTGGTGCGAGCCAGACGTCGGGTAAATCAGACCGTGTCGTGTGGTACTAACCTCCCACTTTGTGTCGCGCACACTACCATGCCTCCTGTACGTGTGTGTACGCGGTCCTGTGCGCTTCAGTAGGAGCTGTCAGCTGAGCCTAACACGAGTTGTACTCTCTCAATCATGTCATGAACTGTAGGGTTGTTAAAGAGAAATTTAGAGCAATTTTGTGTTGTACACATACATGTAAATCTGAGAAGGGTGAACCTCAGCTCAAAATGACGCAAATTTTGGATCAAGCTGGATTACCTAAACATTAAAATATACAAGGTGGTTGTGTCATTGTGACTAGAAGATCAGCTATTTACATGTAGTTTGCTGAAGCTGAGTGTTGCTGACACCAGTTGTACTGTTGTCTCACAGCCCAAACTACCCAAAGATATTAAATTCTTAATCATTATTCACTGTTACCTTTTCAACATAGTTTAATTAAGTTTCCTGCTTTAAGAAAAGCATTTTAAACGTGCCCGATCCATTTCTAAATGCAGTGCCCATTGTGTACAAATGTACATGTATTTTGGATAAGGTGAAAATGTTTAGGCTGACAGGGCAGCTGGCAGCTCCCACCCGTGCTGTTCCATGTTCCAGACTGTAGGTACATGTACATTGCATGTCCTCCATATGGGAGTAAGGTTCTCCTATAGCAGAACATGTCGTACCAAGGAGTATACGTCAGATATCAGGGTTCCAGCCAAGCTTTTTTTGTATCGTATGCAGCTGTTTTCCAACATTGTAATTGTTGGCTATCTCATCATCATGTTTCTTCTTTTTTTTTTTGTGGTTCTGTAGCTACGCTGACTAATTGTCATGCTATTGAAGCTGGACCCGAGGCTATGCAAGGCAAACAGTTTTGGTGTACACTTTTGTTTGTGGTAGCTTGTGTTGTTCTGAAATCTGCAGGTTGGTAAGTTTTGTGGTTTTTGTTGCAGACGTGGCAGAACGGAGCGGAGGTGATGCTGTGGACGAACCACCGCGTCATGGAGTGGCTGCGCTGCGTGGACCTGTCGGAGTACGCCCCGAACCTGCGCGGGAGCGGCGTGCACGGCGGGCTGATGGTCCTGGAGGCCAAGTTCAACGCGGAGACGCTGGCCCACCTGCTAAGCATCCCCCCCAACAAGACATTACTGAGGAGACACCTCAGCACACACTTCACCCAGCTGGTGGGGGCGGAGATCCAGAGGTACAAGAGAGAACACCAGGAGGGGCCAGGCTACATCCCCATCAAGGCTACTGACAAGATGAAGGTTAGTGCAGCATCAGTAGCTCGGTTATTTTCTAAACAGGGGCGTTGTAAACTCATTCATTCAGCTTGACCATGCCACTGGTACCCTGCCAGGCCTTAGTTTAAATGTTTCCATAGGCCTTTAGAAACAGTAGATTCTTTCTCAGAATTCCTTAGGATGCTAAATTTTTCCATAGATTTTATTACAACTCTCTACTATGAAAGGGGAAATATAATACTGGCCATCCGTACCAGTCTTGAAATTATGTCTGTACCCCGGCTTAAGGATGTTGGTGCTTGATAAAGATACTGTGACTGACAACATAATGGAAGACATTCATCTTAATTTACAGACAGGCACCTGGAGGGATGATATTAGTCATCAACAGCTACATGTACAATGTAAGCATGACTAAGCCCCGTGAAACTGGGAACGGCTAGATGTGAAACTGGACAGTGAGTTTGTGATAATTCATGTAATAAACATTATCCTGTTCCCCACAGCCGAGAAAGCGTTCGTTCAGCTTCACCCGTAAGAGTCGCGGGCAGTCGCATGACTACGTGTGTCCCATGGACTGTGACTTCCCGGTGGAGCTGTCCCCCGGGCGAGGACAGCCGGGGTTCCGCGGGGAGGTCCGCGCCGCTAACCTGCAGCACCGACAGGAACCCGTGAACGACGACCTGGACCAGGAGGTGCCAGAGGTCAGGGGCAGACTTTAGTGTAGTGTAGCTTAGTTTAGTGTAGTTTAGCAGTGTAGTGTAGTGTAGTCACATAGATAAAGTTGAACACAATATCAAAGATATGTAGAGTATGGGAGGGTCAGACTTACACGCTGCATGCAGTCTCATGGTCTTGATATTCAAAATGCAGCTGTGATGCTCTTTAGAAGCTTTCTTAAAGACAGTTAGTGCATTGTCTCAGCCCTATCTTTGTCTTGTGCTTTGTTTGGAAATACAGGGCTCAAAGTCCTTTTTTTGGCATCTTTTGAAATATCTGTGCTGCAATTTTAACCTAGCACTAATCTACAAATGGTGGAATTTAGAGTATGGAAATGGGTGTGTTGTACTTTGTGGTATTTGAACTGTGGCCATCTAATTTGGCCAGGAGAAGTTGCCAGCAAACTTGCTGAATTCCAGTTTAAAATTTCTTTTCCAGATTGATGAACAGGCAGTGCAACAGATTGGAGCCTTCTCAGCTGAGATCAACACTCTGACTGTGAGTAGACACGAGCTTTCTGTGTTCTAGGCCTGTCCTGATTTCTCATGCACTGTCATACATGTCTTATGAGTGACTGTCAGTATCTTCTCTAAGGTTTTGTCTGATGTACTTACATGTGCCTCTGTCTGTCATGTCCTGAAATCCAGCATGTCTTTTATCTTTCTTCCCAACAAGGGACGTCTACAGCATGATACAGGTTAAGACTCATTGACATTTTTAAAGACTTTTCTGAATTACATTTGAAATTTCAAGACCTGTGCCTCGAATCTTCAGACATGTGTGCTATATTTTTTTTATGTATACATTTGTACACATGGCGTCTCTACATTGTAAGGAACATAATGATTCATTTTGCAAAGTGCGATTTAAAAATTTTTCGTTTGTCCACAGAATATGCTGAGTGATGACAACTTCAGTCCATCCTCCGGGGCCTCAGATGCATGAAGAGCTCATAATACAGTAACGCCTTAGTCCTATAATTATATAATCCAGAAATGCAGGCAGTTCCTTACACTCTTATTGTGTTTTAATGTTAAAGTAACTGTTGAAAGAATGCTCTCTGTATGATGTATGCCAAATCATGTGTACTTAAGCCTAAGTCTAGGCAAATGTCTTACAAAAGATACATGCACCGTAACCTTGCATATAAGGCTGTCACAAAAATGCCTTCTTACGGCTAACTTGTCAGTAAGCATCTGAATTCTACAGTACTCATCAGAGCCATTCTTCTGTTGTGTGATTCTACAATAACAAGGATATAGACACCAACAGCTGCAATAACTGGGTCTAGCCCATCTCTACAACAAAGCACAAACTTCTAAAGGCATACGCCTCTTATTTTGTCCTTACAGAAGCCAACTTTTTTTTATCTCTGCACATGACAAGTTCTTGTGTCTACCAGCTCATTCGCACACAGTACACATGTTACAGTATTATGTCTTTGTCAGGGTATTTTGATATTTATGAATGTGTAACCTTGTTGTGTATATGTATATGTATCTATATCTGTTATTTAGGTTGCCTGGTCATGTGCAAGTAAGTGTTTTGCTGAAATGCGGACCCCAGCTAACACAGTATTTTGATAGACGCATTATGTACTAACCAATTCTAACAGCGACAAAGCACCTGTGCTGAAAGGAAAAAAAAATTCTCACTAAGTAGTTGCCCGTAGTAACAGTTGCTAGCTGCTGCTACAGTGCAAGATAGCAATATGCCTGAAACGTCACAAAATGCAGTCAAAGTTCATGACTTTTTATAAAAGCCAACATGTGCCTCACTGCTAAGTGCTCATTAGATTAACTCCCAGGAGCAAGTAGCTGAAAATTTTGCAATAATGTAAATAGATGACCTGTTAAATCGTTAGGGATAGATGTCAAAGGTTGGGTCAGAGTTGATGTAAGTGCCATACATTGTATATCCTCTAAATGGAGAGCCACACTCTACAGTTTGTAGGATATTGTAGTTTCTTAGTCTTTTTTTTTGTAACCGATATTTGTTTAAAATGTGTAACTACTTCAGTGTATTTGTATAGCTTTAGTACTAATAATATGTGTCAGTTGATAATAATATGGCAGTATTATACTAGTAATCAAAGAGGTTGCATAGATTGAAGTTTCTTGGACATGTCCCTTTGCGGGCTAATGCTATACAGTAATAAACGGTGTGTTTCCATTATACAGAATGAACATAGCACAAAACATAAAGCAATGTCCAGCGACAGTGAAAATTAAGCATTGGTGTTTAAGTAAGGTGTATGTAACCAAATGTTGTAAGACTATTATTACGATTCTATATTACGGTAATGTTATGCATGCTCGGAGTGAGTCCGTTTGTAAAAGGTATTTTGATATGCAGCTGTTTTGCATTCATTTTATCAAAGGAATTAATGATATTTGTTATAGTTGTTTTGTTACATTGTTGTACTAGGCAGACTTTTTTCTCACCATTTTTACCAACACAAGGGCTCATGTGGGTTAACTAGTATGATCATGAGTTGGACTATACATCACTACTGAGGCCTACTAAAGATTGTTGTGTTTCTGAGTTCCAGACTTACCCAGAAAAACCCGCTGGCCCTAGCCTTTTTTGGGGTCGGCTGCTGGAAAGGCCATTAAGTTTTCCAGCTGACATATGAATTTTAAACCCTCTGAAACGTTACCTCACACAATTTTTATTGAGTAAATCAGGTGAAATATTTGCCCTTTCTACACAGGCAAACATAGGGACAGGTCCTGGAGACAGTCCTGCTCCTGATGCAGTTCAGTTTTACATTGTGATTTGTTCGATCACTTCAGCCAAAATCTAAGAAAAATATAGAGAAAAGATAAAGAAAAGAGGATCCTTACCTACCGGCTGTAATTTTTTTGAGACTGGAAACCAGAAACACAACATAATTTTTCCTAGGTACAGCCATAAATCTTGCATGTCTACGTCATGAAACTGAATCATAATGAAAATCTGGACAATGAAGAATTTCAATGTTCAAATGTACCCGGAAGTCCAACAGTCCAACAAGAAGTTTGTCTCTTGTCAGGCATCGCATGGGAGGTTGGGTCTCTTTGTAGATGTTCAGGATCATGAGTAGTTTGAAAGTATTTGGACATACCGATAGGCGAGAATTGTAATCACAGTATGTATTATAAGTTATTACATCCTTGTAGGATATCCAGAAAGACTTATCGAGATGTCATGGTATCGTACCACTGACATCCTTGACAGAGTGGCACAGTATAACTACCTTCTCCATATAGTGTAAAAACAGTGCATCAAAATTGTTTTTAATAGACCGTCTATACGTAAGGCAATTTAAAATCACAGTGGTAAGGTATCAGCCCTTTGTAACAATGGCCATACGGCTTGACAGTATAATCCACACAGTTCTTGACATTTTCTCCTCATGTTTAATGCATTTCTAATCACTCTTTTACCGAATACTACATTAATAAAGTTTATTTTGTACTAGTACCAGGACTGTCTGTAGTCGTACTGTGTTTACATGTACAATCCACTCGGGGTTGGGAATGTTGAGGTCAAGCCAACAGTCTGGCGTTTATGGTAATTCAATCGCAGTGTGGCGTGCGCTGGTGTCTTCTTATGGCACCCAGTGTTGGGTATCTGTTGCAGTAAGCATTACATTGCGAGAGCTATTGCTCTTGTGCTGTGCCCCGTTTTAGCGTGTCTTTGGTGCCTAAGCTTAATGAGCCATGATTGTCTTTCGATGAGTGGATGCGATAGGCAACGGTGTTCGTAAGCTAACTGCCTTCATCAGCCAAGGCAAAACAAGATGCCTATCCCAAGTACAGACAACAAAATGGAGCCGGATGTGACGATCGTAGTTCAGGGTCAACCTTTCCGTCTTCCTAAGAAATCGTTGATGGAACGAAGCGACTACTTCCGGGGCATGTTTGAGTCAGGGATGAAGGAATCTGGTCAGGATGTCATTGAAGTCAGAGGAATGTCGTCTGCAACCTTCGGCATCTTGGCAGGGTTTATCACATCGTCCTACCTGGCTGTTGATGGCAGTAGTCTAGGAGATGTTATTGAAGGTATTGCCTTCCTCCAGCTGCAAGACGCTATACCTGCCTGTATCGACTATCTCCAAAACTACCTCTCCTCCTATAATTGCCTGGAAGTTATCACCATTGCCGAGAAGCACGCGTTTGAACAAATCGTGGACGCAGTGTACGACTTTATGGGAAGGGATTACCTTTCTTTTTCGAGAACGGAAACGTTTCAAGCACTTAAAGAAAGAGAGAAAGAACGGTTTCGACTCGTACGATCCAGAGGTCGTCAGTATCTTGCTGTGACCAGGAAGGAAGGCTGCATCCCAGGGTCGGGAAGGAATGTCAGGGATCTGTTCTATTACGAGGAGGAAGATGAGAAATGGAAGTCATTTACACAGTTGCCTGACGACTGTTCGAAGTTCACCATCAACTGCAGCACAGCAGTTGTGGAGAACTATCTTTACATCATCGGCGTGCTGAAACACAGGATCCGTAGCCACCAGCGGCCGAAGAGTCGCGAGGGACCTGGATGTGTGTCAAGATTCTACTACGAGCCTATAAATTACCAGTATAATCCGTTATTGGAGAAGTGGGAGAAACTCGCTCCATTTGCCTGTAGGAGGAAACATTTCTCCTTGGTTGCTCTTCACGGAGGCCTGTTCGCTATCGGCGGGATCACTGCAGAGTCGACTCTAGCTGATGGCAAGTTCTGCGAGTCAGTCGAACGGTTCGACGTCTTCACGGAGAGGTGGTCCCACTGTCCCCCCGTCCCGGTGCAACGCTACGAAGTCCGCGTGTCTCCCTCGCGCGACAACCCTCCAGCAACATCCGCAAACGGCAGGATCTTCATTCTCTTGACCTGCCATGGCGGGCTTTTCCTCAAGCAGTACTGCCCGGAAGAGAACACATGGACCGAGGTGTCCCCGGGTCCCCTACCGGGTAGAGTGCCGTGTATCTACCGCATGTTCTCACACGGTGACGACGTCTTCATCCTCGGAGGCAATCCTACCATCGACCGCAGCATCATCGTCAGGTATGACCCGACAGACAGGCAGTGGACGCCTCTGCAGCGGCCACCTCCTCTCAGAGTGGAGTACTTTAACGCATTTGGAGTCATTCTTGATGGAAAACTGTACACTGGTAGTGGTGAGACGAGGCAGATGGACCGATATGACTTGGAGGAGCAGCAATGGGAGGGGACTAGTCCAGTTGCGATGCCTGCACTTGGTCCACTGGAGGCCTTTACTATCTATCTGTAAGCGTATCGGAAACAATAAATGTCCTAACTATACACACGATCTATGATAGTTGAGTAGAGTGGTAATTATTACTATATCAAAGCTAGATGGTTAACGTTATCTTTGCAGATATACTGTATGCACAAATGGTTTCGTGTCTTGGTTGTAAATGTATAGGCCCTGTCTTAGTTCTGAAACAAAATCCATATTTACACACCGTGTTCATTTCCCTTACGTAAAAGCTGCGTGTCTTGCTTTATAGATGCGCTATTTTGACCATACAGCGTTAATGAATGCTTTTACACGTTATACAGACTTCAATAAACAGCTGATGCTGTCAATCATCCTCAACTGCAGATTTCTTGATAATAAAGCCAGTAACAAAGATGTCAATTTGATGTCGCAAACCAGAGAAACGCCAAAGTGCAATTGGTACTGCATACATCGATGACGATGCAGGAATTAAATATTTGAGCATTGCAAGCCATCCATCCACATACGACGACTCTCTCTATCAGCTCTGTACCGCACGTATCCAGTATCTATTTTGAGACGTTGTTCTTCTGACGGGGTCAGACCGTGGACGTCCCTCACGTGACCTGGTTGGATTTCATCTCGGTAAAAATAGACCGTGTTGTGTTGTGTCAGGATCGATGTTACTGCAGATTATTGATCCTTGAGCCAGCGGATCAGGAGAGAAGCTTAACATCGGCAGAATTACTGGACTATAGGTAAGTCAGACCATTCAATTGTGTCATAAATAATCGGGATTAAGTACGTTCTCGAGATCTCCCCAGCCACTTGAAAAATGAGTGCTTACGTGTCCTTTGCCGGCAAACATGGCGGCTGTGTGTTAGGTCATTGTATGATGTGATTTCGTTCAAATTTTGTATCTTTTTTTAAACCCCCACTGCGAAAGAGAGTTTTCGGAGACATAACGTACAAGTACCTTTTTCCAATTCATTTGTTATCAAGTCAGTTGACATCTGTGAAGACGTTACACCGTATTATAACCTGTGACATAACCTGACTGGCAGCATTCAGCTACCAATACCTACAGTTTAAGTACCGTGTAGTTCCTCACGTTATAAGAGTACCGACTTTGACGAATGTGTTCGTCATAACTTGTCCTCATTCATGGCGAATCTTTTTACTAACATCGCTGAATGTAGGTCATTAACCCAGTACGCTATTTATTGTACACACTATATAGTAACACAGAATTTGTATAGAACCGATACTTTTTTCCGTCACAGGTTGAAACGTCGGAAGTTTACAAGATGAAGCTGTCCCGTTTCCTGTGCTTCGGTGGCAGTAACCTCATTCTGCGGGAGAGGTTGCGGCGCTACCTGGGTCCCATCATCGACCCGGTCCGTGACAAGGTTACCCGGGCTTGTCAGACAACAGTCACGGTTACCATGGAGGTCCTGTTATGGACGTACGCCTACACGCACGCGCTGTTGTCCATCCTTCTCGTCTGGGACGTAACGCCTGCCATCACTGGGCGCAAGGCTTACGCGCCAAGTCCTCTGGACCAGCGACGGAAGCCACAGAGAAACTCAGATGTAGTTATCCTGGTAGATGAGTACGAGTTTGAGTCTAACAAAGCTGTTTTGTCCGAGAAAAGCGAGTATTTCCGAGCGATGTTTGAATCCGGGATGAAGGAGTCCACTGAAAAGATCCTGACGTTACACGGCGTCCCGGCCGCCATATTTGACATCATCATCGACTGCGTCCACGGCTCTCCTCTCGCGGTAACGGACGAGAACTTGGCTGACCTGGTGGCCGCGGCGTCGTTCCTGCAGATGCCCTGCGTCATCACCGGCTGCGTGTTCTTCCTGCGCGCCAACATGGACGTGGACAACTGCACGGACGTCCTGGCACTGGCCGAGACGTACGGCGTGCAGGAAATCATCGAGGAGGTCTACAACTTCATGCGGGACAACTACATCGACTTCTGCAAGAGTGAGAGCTACCAGGTTCTCAGTCCGGAGAAACGGGAACATCTGAAGACGCTGCGGAACAGCGGGAAGCAGTACATCGGGATCATCAGTAAGGAAGGCGCCATGAGGGGCTTACAGGTAGATGCAGATGACGTGAAGAAGTTACATTACTACGACGAGGAACGGGACAAGTGGAAACTACTAGCTACTCTACCGGTTGAGGTAAGGTTCTCTCACTTTTCCCAAAGGTTTTACTTCAAGCTATTGTGACAGCAACTTTGAAAAATATCATTTACGTCTCTGTTTCTTGTAACCTCCCAGGTTTCTCGATGGAATTGTAGCGTTGCAGTGATTGAAAACTACCTGTACGTGGTGGGAGGGTTCAAGCCCCGCACAGGTGACTCCTGCTTCCAGTACCTGCCAGGTGCCTACAGGTGAGTACACACACCTGCCAGCTGCCTACATGTGAGTACACACAGCTGCCAGCTGCCTACAGGCGAGTACACACACCTGTCAGGTGCCTACAGGTGACTACACACACCTGTCAGGTGCCTACAGGCGAGTACACACACCTGTCAGGTCCTACAGGCGAGTACACACACCTGTCAGGTGCCTACATGTGAGTACACACACCTGTCACACACACCTGTCAGGTGCATGCCTACAGGTGAGTACACATACATGTCGGATACCCTTTTTAATGATTATTTATTGACAGTCCCGTGGAAATAGCTGATCTGACGTCTGGCGTTTTTCCTTTGCAGGTACAACCCCTGTAGGAACTCGTGGGAAGAGATCCGCGCCATGAGGAAGCGTCGCCGCCACTTCAGTCTCGTGCCGCTAGAGGGCGCGCTGTATGCCATCGGCGGCTGGTGGCTGGACGCCTTCGCCCCGGACGCGCGGAGCCGCATGTTCGACTCCATCGAGAAGTACGACCCCGATGCCGACCGATGGAGCATCGTGACCACCCTCCCCCTGCCCAGGTACCGCGTTCACATGACGCTAACCCATGACAACCCCCTGGCAGTCGCCTTCAATTCCTCCATCTTCATCCTCCTAGCCTATAGGGGCATCATTGTCATGCACCAGTACACCCCCTCTACGGACAATTGGAGAGAAGTGTGCGAGGTGCCGTTTCACAACGATCTATACACTGTCTACACGATGCTGTCGCTGGATGACGTCATCTACATTATAGGGGGGAATTTCGATGAGAACCTGGTGGTGAGTTACAGACCGGACACGGACGAGTGGACCAAGCTCAGCTCGGTCACCAGGGTGGCTTATTTCAACGGCAGCGCCACCTTGCGGGGACGTAAGATCTACATCGGGACGGCGGAGGACCAGACGCTGCAGGTGTACGATGTGGACACCAACACGTGGCAGTCGGCAGGGGGCGCTACTATGCCGTTCCTGGGTCCTCTGGTCGCCTTCACGCTATCACTGGGCTGACCGTGCTAGATGATTAGTGTAGCTCAGAGCATATGATCAGAGTATACTACATGTATGTGAACAAAGTACAATATGTAGAGGTGGACACAATACTTAATGACGTTCAATGATAATTCAATTTTGAAACAAAATAATTTGAGCTACAAGCACAGAAGTCTCGCATCACTGATCACCTTAGTTTGACTCTAGTTCATTTATTTCTCTACAAGGTATATCAAAACTTCTCATTAAAGTACACCATCAAAATATGGTTAATATGCAATACATTGGTCTGTAAAAATGCACAAGGAACTAGAATATCCATTTACGCCATATAACCATATCAATTGCTTGCACTTTTCCAGTTCACTGCAGACAAGAAGGTTATAGGCAGACAATAACTATAACAGACTATAACTTTGCTACAGGGTGAACCCAAGTCATTATTTTGTACATGGACAATTTAGAAACGTATAACAGTTAAACGCAGTGTCAGGTGATTGTGTTTTTTATGCATGTAGAATGAATTTGCTGTCTGTCGACCGTGTTGAGTCTACTACTGCAATGAACACAAGCCTAGGTTCTATTTCTTATATGAGTCAGCAGCTCCCACAGTACGCCAGATATCGAAGGCACTTTGCTTCCCCAATAGAAGTATTTGTCGTAAGATCATTAACGCAAGATTTCTTAAAAGGCTTTAAGGTGAGGCGACAGAACCAAATTGAGTCAACCACCAAAACGTGATTGTTGGTTTTGTCGGTAAGCCTATGTACAAGTGCAAAATGTAGGAACGACATCTAACATCGCTCCCAGGCTGAACACTTCTGACAATATATTGATACATTCAGTATTAATACATACCATGGTTTCCGGGAAATAATTTAGCATTTTGAAATGCATAGACCCTCTAATTCCACATATGCTCTATCAGTGTCATAATATTGAACAGGTCTTGGACTTTTTCTTCTTCTTGTCTTTGGGGTTGATTCCAGCGAGTTCCATGTTACCCGTTGTTGTTGGCGGCACGTTTGTTGGTGTGGTCTTCACTGCATATGTATGTTTACCGTTGTCCAGAGCAGGCGCTACCTGTGGCATGTCCTCTGTCTTTCTGTCTTCCTTTGCATCCTGTGGGACGACATCTTGCCCCTTTGTTTTTTCTGTTGTGGCCTCGCCATTCCCCTGCAAACAGTAATCATATCATATTAGATGATTATTTTTGAGTTGGCAACACTCTGTTGCTTTCTAACACAATTTTCTACTTATGGTATGACCACTTTTCATATCATCTTACCGCTAAAGATCCAAACCAAATGTGTCATTATTTCATCCGTGCGCCGGAACCATACATTTTAGGTAAAACCTTCACGATCAAAGTTACCCATATATATTTTCCAACGGTAGGGTCCAGATATTGAGATACCGTTTTGTTGTAGGCTAGTCCGTAGGCTGCAGGACAAAATAAGATCGTATTGATCAATTACTTCATAGTAATGAGCGCATATTTTACAGATTTATGAATCAAAGGTGAAAATAGCTATCTGCTTACGATGTAATTGTGTTTTAAGTTTCGTTCTTCCCATATGAATCCGAAGTCTTACCTGTTCTGGCGCAGCCGGTTTTGTAGCGTTTTGCTCAACCGGAGGAGATTTTGAACGCTGGGGCTTTGGAGCTGGTGTGGCATGACGGGATACCTGTTGCATCAGTTCTTCAAATTTGGCGCCTTCCCAGTCGGTCTACAGGCAGAGGAGAAAACGTCTGTTATAACTGCTCGCTTCACACGATGATGGACGTCATTTGCATAATTTATAAGGAAATTAAAAGCTGGAATACCCTTTTTTGTTAAGAAAAGACTATTGGGAAGGGGATATGATCATGCTGATATAATTCAAGCAAATGAGTTGATCAAATGATGAATTTCTACTTACAAGCAGATGAATTTATTATTCGCATAATCAAAACATTTATGATAGATCAGTCGTAAAGGTTACCATCATTTGGCGAAGGTAAGCAACGATACTATGTGTATGTGTGTGTGACTGTGTGTGTGTATGTGTGTGACTGTGTGTGTGTGTTTGTGTGATTATTACTTCGTCAACGGCCACTGCATTAGAAAACGTAATGGACGAAATGCAGTAGGAATCATTTTACTGTACCTGAGTGCGTTCATCCCTACAGTCTATGTACAGCAGTTCTGTGAAGGCCATGCTCATGGGTCCCTCTGGCGGCCAGGACGTGTCCTGCAGCAGCAGAGGCACGATGGGCTTGCGCAGTGCGTCCGCCAGACTGACTTCCCTTCGGCAGTTCGCGGAGAGCGTGTACTTCGGAGTCACGCAGGAAACAACAACCTAGTACGGAAAAATGCTTCTTGAGTATGAGATGGCACAAAATGTTTTTAAGGAAGATCTCTCCGACTATTCCATCATAGTTTCTGCAGAAGAAACCCACAGGAATTGAGTTTGAGAAAAGATGTAGCGCTAATGTATGCTGAATCACATGGTGTAACTTATGGAGGCAAAGATGTTCAATATGAAAGAGGCAAATCATTAACAGATCTACTGATGCATGATATAGTTTATTTTGGTTGGTGATAATGATTGGTTAAAAACTTTTGTTCTAGCAAAAAGGCTTCTCTGTCACATGGCGTCTCTGAACTAACGGAGACGGGAGACGACATGGTTTACCAGATACCTTTGATCCAGTGTTGACGTCAAACTTCAGAGAAGCGGTGAGTCAGTCTACCGAAGAAGACCAGAGTGACTGATCGAAACTTCTAGGTGAGAGCATTTACCTTTGTGTTGGAGCAAAAATTTTATCTTTACACAAAGCCACAATATGTTGTACCTTTAGGCCGCGGTAGTAATTACTATCTTTTCACCTTGGCGCTCCTGATGCCCTTGTCAATCTTGCCGTACAGCGCGTCCCCTCCTCCCATCTGCTGTATGTCCATCCAACACGTGAACCCTTGTGACGTCAGCTGACTGTACAGGGCTTTCACCTGCGGCTGGTGACCCCACTGGTAGGACAGGAACACTTCCGGGTTAACCACCGGTTCTACTTCCTGTCGGGAAGATACAGTTTGCGCCATTAGTCAATGCGTTTTATATTTTCTATTTGTGGCAGTAGTTGCATAGACAGGTAAACGCCCTGTTTTCGTTCGCAAATTTTAAAGTACGATCTCAAATGGCTTTCAGATACATGTCTACAGAGAAATCTTCACAGTCTCAAACAAAACGAAAAAAGTTTAATACACACTTGCTACTTGAGCATCGACGACCCCCTTTGAAGAAGAGGGATTTAAGTTTTTGTATGGGGGCATGAATGGGCTTGATATAAACGCATTCTTAACAAACTAGGTATCATATTAGTGAGCTGACAAACCTTTTCCTCCACTGGAGGGCTGGACGTCTTTTCCTTCTTTACAGACTCGCTTTCTGGACTGGCTTCCTTCTCTTCCTTTTTCTCGACACTTGGTGTCCAGTTCCTGTATTCTGTATGACATTCAAGGAGAATCCAGACAGGCTCTGATTTTGCTTATGATCTAGTACTACTTATACGAAGATGTCGATGTGTTTGGATAGGGTATGTGCACGGAAGTGGCTGCAAATAGCAATGGTCCTTTTTCTTCAGATATCAGGCAATCAAAGATGTCTTAGAGAAAGACGAGAAGGCAGTAAAACAGATCTAAAAGAAATTTGACTAAAATATCAAAGGGTAGTGATGAATGGTGAGTCACGTCATGATCAGACATTGGACTGACGTTCTGCGCTTTTTAGAAGACGGGATATAATTATATATTCCACCTACCATCCGTGACGAGGCTCTGGTCCGATGCGGCGTGATAGGCCAGCTGTCCCAACAACTCGTAGAAACTGGAGTCCGGCCAGAATTTACCGGAACCGGAACTGGCGCCGTGAAACATGATGTACAGGAGCTGGGAAACCCAATGGTTTATTTTTACTTGGAACAATCTTACGTTGAGGAACCGTTGAATAGCTTTCTATTGTCTTGTCAGGAACTCGCTACTTGAAGCATGGTGTAAAGCAGCTTGGGGAAGAGAAGACGCTAAACTGAACTATGATTAAGTATATGTATTTGTGCAAATGAGGTGTTATATGTCGGGGTAGTGTGGCGTAACGGCAGAGCGCCCGGGTCGGAACCAAGCGGTCCCGAGTTCGAATCCTGCCAATCCACCGATCTTGTGCCCTAGGGAAAGGCACTTGACGCGACTTTCCTTACTTAACTCTGGTGAAAATGAGTATTGTCTATTGTCTTCTACGTCGGTGGCGGCATAAAAAAATAAAGTTAAAAAACTTAGAGTATGCCGCCACCCTGTCTTGTGTCAAGTGTTGGAATACTAGTAACAAAAAAAATACTCATGCGTAAGGAACGAAAAGGCGAAAGGGTTTACCTGTGAGAAGATCATGCTCATGGACCCAGGCGGCGGCCAGGGCGTGTTCTCCACCAGCAGGGGGATGATGGGTTTGTTCAGCAGGTTCGCCAGGTTGATCTGGATAGAAGATACAAAGGAAATGTACATTTCTATTGGCTTCTATATACCACAGTCGTTAGCATCAAGTTCAGAAGTTCATGCAATTTCTGAAAGCCTAAGATATGAAACGTTATACGAGCACTGAATCTAAACGTTAACATCCTGTTTCTGTATCGGTAAGGCCTGTATCACTGCCCTTCGCCGCGACACACCAGACATTACTGTTCATTACTCTCATTTTGATGCGTGATGTGTTTTTCTGTGTATGTGTTGTACAGACTGACCTCATGGTTGCAGTTGGTGGACTCTGCGTACTTGGGCGTGACCATGGCCAGAACGACTTTGGCTCCCCGCATGCCCTTGTCTATCTTCGCGTACAGCTGGTCTCCTCCACCCATTTGTCCTAAGACGAAAATCACACTTTAATTTATGGATCATCATAGTCCTTTTCATTCGTACTTTCTATGCACTGTTTGTGGGCTCGACTGTGAGCAGCTAGACAAGCTCTGCTCCTGCAGGACCGGCTTCTTTTCCGCATTGTAGCAAACTCTTTGATCCGAAGTTCACTTTCGAGTCTTTCTGCACCTTGATGGAGCTTGAGCCGCCAAGAGGTGCGATCTTGACGAGATCTTAGAGATATACGAAATACAATAACATGAAGGGAAAACGCTTGGAGTATTAATTTTAGATCTTGCGTCTTGGTTGTATGATGAGTAACCTTACCGATGTCCATCCAGCTGTCGTACCCAGCCATGTGCAGATGTTCCTTGATGAGTTTGACCTGGTCCTGAATGTCCCACTGGTAGCTGATGAAGATGGGAGGGGGGTTGGTGGGCTCGTCAGCCGCTGGTTTGGGTACAGCTGCGCCTGTAGAAGACAACAGGATAATATATCATATCATATATATATAATATCCTTAATTTCAGATTGTTTCCGAAGCTTATCATAATATATCATACAGGAGAAGGTGGTGTCATTTCTGCATTCGTGCAAACAAGATTTGATGGCGACATGCACAGTATTGAAATATTCCGAAAGACATTTTTATTGTCTTTTTACTTACCTGCCTCCTCCATAGCAGTCTCTATGATTCCGGCGGCGTCTGTCCGGCCCATCTCCTGTAGGGACTTCAGCACAGCGTAGGTCGCCTCACTGCTGCGGTGGGTGTTGTACCTAGCGGATTCCAGCGATCTAGACATTAACATTTCGCTAACGCAACTCTAGCTATTATCTTGACATAAAACCACAAACTAGCAACTAGCTCATCATAGCTATTTTCATACAGCTGCAATGTGACGAAAGTTGTTATTCCTTTACTTCTTTTTAAGCAAGGAATAATAATGATAATGATAAGAATACTGTTCTGTTAATTATATAAATTGGTAGTAAATCAACGATAAACTGCAATTGTCGAGCCAAATCAGTGTATATTCTATGCCTTTGTACTTTGTACCAAACCTATATTTTAGCGACTGTGATTCTCTAGTCTGATGTCGTGAATCAGATATGCACACCTTGCAGTCATCAACAAAGCTTCTAAGTAAGGAATAGACGAGGGATTTAACACATGTGATAGCTGCGGTAGAAAGAACACCCAGCAAGAAAGAATAGATTTGGAATTTACGATTCTTTAAGCATCGCTGTGGCTCTAGATGTCTATTGAGATATCTACAGAGAGCTGCGGTGGCAAAAAACTTTAGTAAGCATCAGCGAGGCAGGAAAGAACAGACGTGAGTCTACCATTCGTTGAGCATGGCTATGGTGGGGTCGGCGTTGGTAGCCCAGGCCCGGATGTCCTCGGGCCCGTACCCGAGCCGAACCGCCAGGAACCTCCAGTCATAGTCCCCTTCCTCATTCATCAGCAGGGACACGTCACGGGACCACGCAGGGGCGGCGCTCAGGGTCTGGCAATGACGGAGGCGGGCACACGGTCAACAACTTACGGTAAACTTTATTAAGTGTCAGTCTTATAAAAAAATACGGTAAAAAAGGACAATTTCAGTTTGTAGGCTTTGTAAGCTTCAGTTTCTGATTACGCAACGGCATATTTTCCACACCATTATGATAAAAAAATCTATGCTACAGTCATGACGTAAATGTTGTTCAACGTTTGGCATACACGAATGAAAACAGCCATGTTTGCAGCTTAACAACATTGTGCATTTTATTGTTTGCCCATTGCCTACTGAGGTTACTAACTCATTACAATGGAAGACTTGTATGCAACATAGTTCAGGCAGCTGTGTACCGGTACGCAGTACCGATACTGTACCGGAAAAATTGATTAGGTACAGGTCCAAAATACCTAATCCCTCAGTACCGGTACTGTACCTAAACAATTTCACACCAATTTTATGCCTATTTGTGACCTCAAATGTTTAAATAGCTGGTTAACAATGGGTGCCTGTGTAAGGACAGTGTGTTCATGAAAACAAAAACATCTTAGTTTTGCCTATATTTCATCTGAGCATTCGCCATAAACAAAGAATAAACCTTAACTATCAAGTTTATTTATGTTTTTTTGTTATTGAAGGAGTTCAGAAGAGCATATAAATTGGTCGAATTGTTCAGGTACAGGTTCAGGTCCGGACCTGTACCTAAACCTGTGTACCTGTACCTGTACCTAAAATTTGTTTAGGTACACAGCTCTAGGCAGGACCGATATATTGAAAACTAACAACGACAATGAGACTCCTCGACCTGTCTATTCGCGAGCACCTTCGGTTTTTCTCTCCATATGTTTCAGAATTCCGTCCACTTTTGTACCTAGGCTCTGTATCTCATGAGCGAATTCTTTCCTAAAACTATTCAAGTCAGAACGAAGGTTGGCAAGGTCTTGTCTCAACGGAGTGATCAGGACCGCGTCTATGGCGTCCAAAAGCTGCCGGTGTTCAGGTGAAAGCTGGGGTGTGGCAGCCGGGGTCTTTAAATCGGAAAACAATTCGTTATTTTAATCAAAAGATGAATTTTGGTAGGAGTTTGTAGTTAGTATGGGGTTAGACAAAAAGTAGTTGATGAAATGGGACACTGACAAATATTTCATTTAGGTTAGTCAGTTATGCAGTTTGCAAGAACCAAAAAAGAAAACATAAACCTATTAAAAGATGTACAGAAATAGTGCTGAACATAAGTTTTTTTAAATTTTTGTGTATTTTTTCCCTTTATATCATATCGTTCAAAAAATTTTTCCGCCGGGCCCCGGCTTGGGATTTGTGACCTTAGCATTAGTCAGTGCCCTGTACTCATCAGATACTGCAGGCTGTGTAACCTGTCGGACTGAACTCAATTCTAACTATAACATAGTCCATACCTTGTGATCTATCTCCTCCACTTTCTCCACCGTCTCGTCCACCACGTACTCCAGCTCCGTCAGCTTCTCTCCCTGCTGTCGGACGTCCTCCTGCACCTCTCCCAGCTGTTCCCGCTGGGCAGACACGTCATCGGCCAGGTCTTCTACCTGTGGGACGGATTTTATAATAGGTCAAGGTCACTTCTGTGTACTGTAAGGTAAAATTACGTTCCTTGGACTGCGTGGCGTGACGGAAGAACATTCGGCTCAGAACCAAGAGGTCCCGAGTTCGAATCCTGCCATGTTACCAACCTTGTGCCCTTGAGAAAGGCACTTAACACGACTTTCCTCAATTCGTTAACGAGTATACCAGAATGATCATAATCATGAAGTTTGCAGACTTACATATTTGGGGGTACTAACATTTGGGGAAAATGTAGTGTAATTTGTCACGCCCAATCTTCATGCTTTTTCGGTTCCCGATTCAGAATGGAGTATGATTCATAATGGAGTACGAATGTCTATCTGGCATGTTGTAACATTCTTACCTTTCCCTCTGTTTGTGTGACTCGTTGGTCTAGCTTGTCTACCTCTTCTTTCTGCTCTTTGATGTCCTGGTCCAAACTCTTCAGACTGTTAAAGAAAGAAAGATAAGAATTGATCACCAGGGAAGTATGAAATGGAAATAAAAACAATGATTGGATTGAAAGGTTGGATATTATGACTGTACGAATGTTTCTGTTGAATTTTAACGAACCTTCTATCATCAAGGTAGTCCAGCATGCCTTGCGCCATGTCGGCGACTCCAGGTTGGCTGCTCTTCAACAAAGCTTCGATGTTTGCCCTCCGTTTCTCCAACACAGACTTGTACCGGCCTCCCACGGTCTTCATAAACATCAGGACAGAGCTCTGGTACATGACGTCCCCTGTGGTGAGCTTGTCCGTGAACAGGGCCATAACTCTCTCTGCGTACTCCTGTGTATTGGAATAGAAAGGCATCGACAAATGTCTCAAGATCTGGTTCTGGTCAAGATCTGGTTCTGGGAAAGCAATGTAGTACCGGATTTGCATTTGGGGAAACACGCAATAGCACCATGTACTAGTATTAACATACTAAATGTATAACGACAATGTCGAACCTAACTTCTCATTTTATCCGAAGAACTGTTGTCCATGGTATGCATGGATGAGTGGTTTATTACGGTTCTCAGGAGTATTAATTAAACTTCTATCACAGCCATAGACATACGTTTTCAAAACTGGCTACTGACTACTTAGATATTTACAAATGATCGTTTGTACAAATTAAACATTTAAAACCATTAAATCACAATTACATGTAATGCTGACACAAAGCAGGTAAATGGTTTTAGTACATGGTGGCCTTGATATTCCATTTTTGTAATATAACCCACAGTTTATTAATAGCCACTTACCTCATTGTATAATCCTATGATAGACTCCACCTCGTAGATGAAGTAACACATCATCGGCTGAGACTTGTACACCTTCTCTAACGTGTCGATCTTGTCCAGGAAGGGCTTAGTGTCGTACTTGGCGAGCTCCTTCATGGTTTGCAGTGCGTATGACATGGAGGACATGTTGTCGAAACCCTCTTCCAACTTCTCTGCATATGGCATCATAACCTGCAGATGGAAGGCATATAACATCATTTACATGGGATTTGTTCTTGATGTATTTTCTATTGTCAAAGTTAAGCCAAAAGAACTATATAGCAGACAACCAAAATTCTATATTCTATATTCTACATTATCTATGGCAATCACTCGGTATCTTTATTTGCAATCAGATACAGATTCATGTACAGATACAGACTTTCCGAGTAGGATGACCGTGCCAGTCCCTATACACCTGAGTTAGGGTCACAGTTGACACGGTGGCCTTCGCGTGGATTTGTTTAAGGTGGATAACATTCGCAACATTACTTTATATTCTATATAATTACTCTGGCATTATCAGACTAGTACAGGCGAACACCGTTCGTTTTGGTTTACTTTCTGCAATTCTTCTCGCTGCAGTTTGTAAGGATACATACTCACTTGTGGATCGCTCTTTGATATCTCGTGGAAAAGGTGGTAGAAGCCGTATTGTCTGTCAGCAGAGATGTCGTCCATCTTCTCGACTATTTCAGGGAGACGTTTTTGGAACGTTTCAGGGTTGTGCTTGTACACGGCTGGCAGTACGTCTGTGGAAACGGAAGTATCCATTACTTCATTCCCGGGCAAGATAGTAGCTTCCCTTTTTCGTTAAAAAAGCCACAGCAAAGCAAACTTTACCTGGTTCTTTGGATAACATTTTCGAGTCTTGGTTCGGGATAAAAGGTGAAAATTGGAAGGAAAGAATCCAAAACTCTATGTTCAAATTACTAAAAAAATCCTAATGCTTAGAACCAATAGGATACCGATCACTAAGGCATTGATCAACTAGATTACCCATAATTGACCTTAACCTTTGCTTTCCCAACCCTAACCTACCTACTAAATATGATAACGATACAAGTTATAACCGGTTAAAAATCGCCAATCACTATATACATATATGGTGTACCTAACACAAACTTTCTCGACGAAGGTAACAAACCGCCAGCATACTGACCAGCGATTTCATTGGCATCGTTGTTGATGAAGGCGTCCAGGAGCGGGTCGGCGTGCGGGGCCAGGACTCCCCCTGCTGCATGAACATGCTGACGTAACTGGACAGGCCCATCTGCTCAGAGACCTCCTCGTTACCAAGGAGACGGATGAAGCCAGGCGTCACCAACATCAGGTGCTCAGGATTACTCATGTTCTGTGTTTAGAATCAATCGTTAGCAACCAGAAAGTGTAGTGTCATCATTAATCTCTTATCATTGGTAATTTTTTTTCTTTGTCTAAATTCAACATCAAATCTAATGTCGGTATTCGTCGGTGACGCTTAGACATTTAAATAATAAGATACGCCAAACACAGTTACTCAAGCAACGACCGTTTCCAAAATCATATCCAGATGCTTGAGTAACTGTTATTGGTGGAATGTAGGCATTGTTAATCTAATATATTTAGTATAGAATTAGTGTGTCTAGGACTCTCTATTTTCAATGACAAGTGTAAAAATCAGTCGCACATTTAAGAACATCACAAACAAGAAATTAAATCTGAGGTTCTAGGCCACCGAACCTGCGAACACACAAGCACGACCGAAATCAATACCTTCCGAAAGGTTACTAATGATATCCTTCCCTGGAGATGAAAATGTATCATAGAAAAAAAAGAAGAAGCACCTTGCTGAGAAAATTGGCCATCAGAGTCCTGATGGCCATTCCATAGGCAGTCTCCCGGTCCGGCTCATCTTCGTTATACAGCTCCTTCTCCGAGCAGTAGTTGATAATCTCTGATAGCCTTTTTACATTGTCAGTGCTCTTTGCACACCTGAAATCAGACATAACACTTCGCTTAAATATGATGCACATATAGTTGTTCTGTGCGTCACTCATGTCGAAACAACACGAGAATCGGTACCTCTAAGCGTTCTACATTTTACAATTTGTTCACTGGTCGATAGGATACCAGAATTACAAAAACATAAGCAGACAATTTTAAGGAAGATGAATATTTTGCTAAACCATGGTAACTTACTCCGCTAGGTTCCCACATAACCAAGATGTTACTGCGATGGCGATCGTTGAGTTCGGATCAAATTTCTCCGCCTTGATCATCCCGATGTAGGCGTCGAGCACACTCTTCGACTCTTCATCGTTCATCTTGATGAAAGATAAAACCGCGCAATTAGCACATGTAGAAAAAAAATCAACATGAAATGTACACTGTGAAAAAAAGATACTTACTGTCATTTTCAAGGGATTAGATGTCTGAATTGTTAGACGTATATGGCAGTCTTTGTCAAGGAAGGAATCCACCTTCTGTAACGCAGTAGATTGATCATTTGAGCTGGCAATTGAAGTCAAAGGTCCCTTTTTACAATGAATTCCAGATATAACGACACATATAAACTTTGACTACTTTGACTGGGACTGTTATGAGGTAGGAATGTTAACTCAAAGGATGTACAAATAACTGAACTCACCTTATTTAACATTTCTCGGATGCCATCAGCCCAGGTGATTCCCTTGGCCAGGTGCAGAAACGTCTCCGAGCCTTTGTTTAGGGCAAACACGAGCAGACTCACCACGTTCGGTCGGATCTTCTTATGACAGGTTCTAAACTCATCGGGCAGATCCAGCATATGTATCAATGGTTTATGTATCAATGATAATAGGCTGTTGGGATATTACGTTGACGTAAGATCACATCATAATACAAAGTACATCGTATATTAGCAGATATTGAGTGCTTATATAGCGTAATTTATCAACAATAATCATCCTAAATTCAAGTATGTATTGACTTGCACTGTGTAAAGTGTATAACTGAAATCGTTACGGAGTTTATCTGTAAAGTGACGATTTAATGTATATACTTTAATGTAAATGTCTACGAGGTTTGCGACATCACAGGTGCTTATAATATCAATGTCAGTGTAATCTTCGACGTGTTACACATATATGTCACGCCATTTGTGGCCATGACCAGCAAGCTAAGATTTTGTTGTTAATGTTAATTTCAATGCAGCGCTAGCATTTTATTTTAGACAACTCCCTAAACGATCTGTCACTTACTTTGACCTCTCCATCAGTTCCTCCACAGCATCATCCACCCGTGAGTTGTACCACGTTTCTTCGTCGTCTGTTTTCTCTTCAAGAACTCGGAACTTATCCAGAACCTCGCAAACTTCCTTGTCATGACCCTGTCAAAGGCGTAAAAATGCAGAAAATTCTAGTTACAAAACAAAATAGAAGTGGTCTGTTTAGTTATACATTTTAAATATCATTTTGTATGTATCATAACATCACTTGTAACTAGTAGCAAAGGCAGCTTCAAGTCTCTGTTCCGGATCCAGCCTCGTTCTGTTTCTTCCAGTCAAAACAGTTGACTCTCAATTCTGTGGTGGAACAGTCTAAACGATACATACCTTCCACTTGATCAGATTGTCTTGAACAACCCGTTTGAAGGCTTCCAGGTGTTTTGTTGTGGAACAATCCAGGCATGCGCACAGGAAGTCCACCACGGCACGGAGTGCTTTGTCATCTCTGCCACAAACAAAATGGAGGGCATTTTAAAATGTTAGGGAAGTACGTTAGCTAATACGTACCAGTTGAAAAATGTCACAGTCGATATCAGATAACACGTACAGTATGTCCATGCGTGTTCAACACGTATGTGTTGTGTGTCCAGCGCTAATCTTTACTATCAGGAAAATAGAAGTACAAAATACAAAACAAGCCATAAAATTTTACAAAAACATTAAGGCCTAGCATGAGAAAATATGTGATACTATCACAAACAATTACTTTTATAGTGGGATAAAGCAGTTATATGGGATATAGTGTCAGTATGTATCAGTCCTGTATGTACAAGATTTCCAACTCACTTGCTCTTCGCGATCTCCTCCAATTCTTCTTTGGTTTCTCGGATGTTCTTCTTATCCTTGAACCAATCCGTGCCCAGCTTATCCATGTCACGTGATCAGACGCTGTGAAAGCAAGCAAAGACGATGAAAGAGACGTATCAAATAAAATTATTGACGGGCCCTTTCTTCAAACGATATCTGGCCCTCCGTAGTAAATTCAGAAACATTCTACTCATAGTTTATAAAATATATCTACATGTATCTCTGAAAGATACCCCAGTGACGATTGCAATGAATATTGGTGGTATCGGTACTTGCAATTCTTGCTATGTCTTGAATGTCATGGGTAACAATATTTTCATAATCATTTGGAGGACATTGTAATCATATCCACGGGACAGCTTATCGCTTTCTTTACATCCAATAAACTATCCCTTAACCCTATCTAGACCGGGGGGGGGCTTAAAGTGCCCGCGGCAACTTTGATGTCACCTAGCGTCTGAACGGCTAAAGCTAGAACCGCCAAATTTGGTGACTTTTCCTAAAATATTATTGGCAACAAATCTGTATCAGTGGAATAAGATTTTGATTTTTCTTGTTGCCATGGCAACGGGTTTCTGACAGGCATTTTTTGCCAAATTTAATTATTTCCGTTTAAACAACAGAATTTTATGGGTTTTATGTCAAGTTACACATTGTTTCTAACATTAATAACATCACATATAATTATATGTAAATTTTATCATTAAAAATGCATAATTTATGCTAATTTGATGACGTCACTGGCCAAAATCCAAGATGGCGGACCATATCATTAGATCAGGTAAATGCAGCTTATTTTCCTTAAAATTTCATCAATACTCCCATTTTTTTTACAAAAAAGGTTCATATGAATGTCTTTAGTCTGTTTACAATGTATTTTAGGCTTCATCCTGAAAAAAAAACTATTTTTCAAAATTCAAGATTGATGATCCAAGATGGCGGATATGTAATATATGCATGACGTCATTTTATGACGTCACCGGTGTTGCTATGGGCAACATAAGACTTAGTACATCCTAATATTCTGTCATAAACACTTTTGGTAAAGTTATGTCGTATACTGTTTAGTTTTCAGGGAATAACCTATCTAGACGGTTTTGGCCAATAAAATCACATTAATGACGTCATAATGACGTCATATTACGTCACAACGACATAAAAATTGTACGTATGATAAATTTTTACTAGTACATCATCCTCTGAAAATTTGGTGGTCCTACGATATACCGTTCTTGAGTTCTGAGGGGGGGGCCGAATGAGCCCCCCCGGTCCCACCAAGCCCAAAAAAGCCCGGTCTAGATAGGGTTAAAATCAAAATGCAACGTCTACAAACAACATAAAACGGACGAAGCTAACACAGGAATTGTGAAATCCTGACCTTTATAAAGGTAAGCCGGTCGCTTTATTTTTCACCCGACCACTCCGTCTCAGCCCAAGGCCAAGACGAAACAATTACTGTTGTGTGACCTCACCAGGGGCGACAACAAAACACATCGCTCATCCCCGGCTGAACAATGGCGGAGTAATTTGCTCTGTACCCGACGTGGGCGTTTCCTCTAATGTCATTTGTGCAAATGGCATCGCCCGCGTTACCAAGGTGACGACAGCGTCAACCACTGAACTCAAGTAACCTTTACACCTATGTTCATTTATTATAAGCTTCAATATTGGCAAATGGATTATGGTCGGACAATTGTTACAAACATTACAAACACCAATACGCTCTTCAATAGGTTAATATATCAGTCAATAATTAACTATGTAATGAGTTGTCTAGCAAAGTTATTTACGTCAATCCTTAACAACCGTCTTACTAACTTCGCACTCATCTCCCAAAATCAAGCAGGATTTAGAAAAAACTCTGGAACAAACGATAATATCTTTGTAATTGACTCACTAATATCCAAATATGTAAATACTAACAAAAGATTATACGCGTGTTTTGTTGACTTCCAAAAGGCGTTTGACTCCGTGTGGCGCGAAGGTCTAATGTATAAATTACTTAGCTCAGGAATCGGAGGAAAATTCTATAGCCTTATAAAGTCCATGTACGCCACCCGCCAGACTTGCATAAAAGCCACGTCTGGTCTCACGCCATCTTTTATAACCAACAAGGGTGTTAAGCAAGGTTGCAATCTCAGTCCGACACTTTTTAATCTGTTTATAAATGACTTAGTTAAGGAACTAGACAACCCAGAATGTACTCCACCCACTATTAAGTGACTATGCACCCAATCTAAGTGACTATGCTCATACCAGTAGTGTTGTCATATGTACAGTGGCAGTGCACTATATATGGCTCTCAGACCAGCAGTTGAGTTGATTAACTTGCTATTTTTGTGACTTCCCCTGTTCATACTCACGAAGGTCTGATGTATTAGTGCCTCGTGGCTCATGTAAAGATTACGTTTTTTTTAAATAAATATGCTAGTAAACTTGAGAAAAATGTACAAACGTATAGCTTATAATCATAGCTACTATCATCTTATCGATACTTGCATGGTACCGGCAAATGCGAATCGTCAGAAACACACAGCGTTGTCTCACAGCGCCACCCCTTCATGCTGCGTGCTCGTTTTACTTAATGAAGTCCAAAGTCAACATACCTGTAATTCACTATGAAAACATCCTGTCCACGTACAATAGGAACTGGTTGTTAGCACAAGTATTTGGCGCAGTGGAACGGGCGAGGCTTTATTTAAGAAGGTACATGTACTACATGTACGTAACACGAATAATATGTACTAAAGCATCTGTAAACACTATCGGGACAAAGGGCGTCAACTTTGACACCACTGTGGTTGCTGCCATTGAGGGTTTAGACTACATATCATTATAATACAGACTACATAGAGCAATACGTTTGTCTAATAAAAAGGATATTTTCACATGGTGGTTAGGTTGATAATCGTATTTCTAGTGTGTTTCTGCCAGGGGGTTGCCGTCATGGTCCCTTGCTAGCTTGTTCACCCCAAGTTGAAATATCACAGTAGGCATACCATACACCGTAAACCGTAGTGTATATCGTGTGATCACGTCCATTACTAATATTGACATGTCAATATATCTACTCTCCCATGGGATAAGTGAAATACAATTGAAACAACAAATTCAAATCTTCACGCAAAATAAACGTATTCGTATCTTTTTTATATAATAGATATGTGTTAGACTTGAATGAAATAACGTATAGTTTTTTAAATCTTCGCGCAAATAATAGAGGCAACACAAAAGACTCCTAGCCTGTCGTTAAAAACCTTGTCATGAGGTAACTGAGGTCAGCCGTATTATTAAATCTCGTCAAACCTGTTTCTACTCACCTCTACTGACTAAGTAAATCCTCCTTTTCTAAGTCGTCTTCACGTTCCACATGTCCAGATATCCTGCATTTGTGACCCAAGAAACGTACTGCCGCGCTGCACCATTTTTAGTTAAAACAACAATTACAGAAGGAGCAAGTTGTTACAAAACAACACAATGCCGGTCTGTCATTCATTAAAAATTCAAGATGGCGGCAAGGCATATGACAGGGTTACCTGGTTGCCATGGATAGGTTAGGGTTGAGTGATCGCTGTCTACTGACGTCACAAGGCCTGAGCTGTACATATAGAAACTTGAAATGTCATTATGTCAACTGGAGACGCTACCATGGGCCGCACATTGCATTTGCCTAACCACTAGAGTAACCCATAGCAGGGTCAATAATGTAATGTTTGCGTGACCATGTCCGGCGCTCATGTTTAACTATGAAACGTCCATGGGTAATTATGCAAAAAGAATATATAAACCCGAGATAGAGGTGGCGCAGTTGTAGAATGGTGACGTCATAGGATTACTACGAAGTTAGGCTACGTTCCGCATATACCAACGACTTAATGATAATTCTGGGCTATGATCCTAAGATACTTTGTTGACAGCAAAAAGCTTCGAACAACAAGTCACACAACAAGAAACTGATATTGCGAAATTATTCATTTGTTTATTTACATCGAAAAATAATCATAAAGTACCAATTCTGTACAATATTGCGATCTCATTTAGACAAATCTTCCATCCGCCTCATAGTATAGAACACGTTTTGGACTTTTTCTTTGTCGGCTGGTTGTCAGAGTTATTTTCCGCGGGTTCCATGTTGCCGGTGGGGGCTGGCTTCACACGTGGTGTGGCATCTGTATGCTGGACGGTCTGTGTTTTGTTGTCTCCTGCTTTGATGGCGCCATCTGCCGGTTCTTTTGTACCTTCTTCTTCAGCTTTAGCGTTCTGGAGACAACAAGAGAGTTAGTCATTTTTCAGCTGCAATCCGACAGTACACTTCTACTCTATGTATCTTGTATGAACACTTCGCTGCAAAATAGCGACATTTCTTTCAGACAAAACCCGTTTACATACGTACGTACACTGAAAATGATACAAGTTATGAAAATCGTGTTGATAGTATCATATATATATTGCCCGGCAGTACAGCCTCAAATATTATATACCATGCATATGGTGTTGGTGTTGCAGGCTAATCCGTAACAGAATCTTGATGTTTCTTCTTCTATGGCAATGATGGTCTGGTATGCAAAACATAGCCTAGAGTCCAGCCTTCTTAAGTTAATTCCACTCCCCAAGACCCGCTATCCTACCTGCAAAGAAGATCAGGGCAGCGGATCCTGGGGAAGCGGACTAAAGCTAACACGGCTGGACTCCAGGCTATAAGGTGCACTGGTGAAAATTATGGATTTGTCATGATGAAATTTTAAGTTTATTAATTAATTTTTGAATCCATTTTTCATGACCCGATGTCTTACAGTTTCTGCTGCAACTGCCCGCGTCTCCTCTAGTGCGTTCTCCCCGGGTGACAAAGGGCTGGAACCCGCGGGTCTAGGCGCTGGGGTGGAGTATCCGGATACCTGCTGCACTAACTCTTCATATTTAGCTCCCTGCCAGTGGTTCTGTAAGTAAAACAAAGGAGATATCTCTTTCTTTAAAACTAAGACTGTGCCCAACTGCCCATTTGATATGGTATAGAGGTAGGGCGGCACATACATACATGCAAAACAACCCATCCTTAGCGAGAGCAAAACTAATGCCTTTTTTAAAAGCAACCAATGACGTTTTATCATTACTTTAGCTGTTACATGAAAGTTGAAATGTCATTATGTTGCAGCAGACTGATAAAACTTCATTGAAGCAAGTAAACTTTTCTTCATGTGTCTCATGATTTCGGGGTGTCAAGGTTTGTGTAAAAGTGGGGATAGCTGACTTTGTGTCAGCACCGAACTGCTTGATCATGGCTCACAATCCTTGTCAATGTGCTTTACCTGAGTACGTTCATCCCTGCAGTCAATGTACAGCAGTTCTGTGAAGGCCATGCTCATGGGTCCCTCTGGCGGCCAGGACGTGTCCTGCAGCAGCAGAGGCACGATGGGCTTGCGCAGTGCGTCCGCCAGACTGACTTCCCTTCGGCAGTTCGCGGAGAGCGTGTACTTCGGAGTCACGCAGGAAACAACAACCTAGGAGAACAAAAGTTCCATACTTATTATCTGAAGGATAGATATCCAGGTGATAAGATACGCCGTTACGATGTTGGAAACAGTCAGACGTCTCAAGTTAGGGTAGCATTCACTACTTTTCGTCAGTGTCATTGGCCAAAAGAATAACAATTCCAACAATGAAAAAAAATGTGAAGAGGGGGATTTCTGCACCTTTGCGCTCCTGATGCCCTTGTCAATCTTGCCGTACAGCGCGTCCCCTCCTCCCATCTGCTGTATGTCCATCCAACAGGTGAACCCTTGTGACGTCAGCTGGCTGTACAGGGCTTTCACCTGCGGCTGGTGACCCCACTGGTAGGACAGGAACACTTCCGGGTTAACCACCGGTTCTACTTCCTGTCAGGAAGATACAGTTTGCGTCATCAGTCAATGCCTAGAAAACGAAGCCGACTATGTAAAAAAAATAATTGGGCATCAAAAATGTAATAAAACGTGTGTACTCTATGCTTGGTACTTTTGTGCCCTAAGAACGTATCACGTATATGAGGCTTTGACTGCATTTTGAAAAGATTTAAAAAAATTGAACTAGAATTATCACATAAATCAGCTGACTAACCTTTTCTTTTATTTCCGAACTGGATTTTGTCTCCTTCTTTGCAGACTCATTGTCCGGATTGCTTTCTTTCTCCTCCTTTTTTTCAACACTTGGTGTCCAATTCTTGTATTCTGTAGGAGAATTCAAAGACAATCCAAGATTTTAGTGGTGATATATATGATGCTCCAGGAATATTTTAATATTGGAGGAAAAATAGGTACGAAAATGTAGTCGGTGTATACGATGATCCTAGCTCATGTGTAGGACATTGAAAAAAGGTGCTGTTGAAAGATGAGAAGGAACAGAGTACATCAAAGGACAGAAATGTTAGTCCATCGATGTACGGGTAGATATGGCTGATCTGAATACTCTTATTCTGACCAACGTACAGCTGATGTATTTCATAACATATATTCTCCACCTACCATCCGTGACGAGGCTCTGGTCCGGTGCGGCATGATAGGCCAGCTGTCCCAACAACTCGTAGAAACTGGAGTCAGGCCAGAATTTACCGGAACCGGAACTGGCGCCGTGAAACATGATGTACAGGAGCTGGAAAACAAAACAAAACATCGTTCTTAGATGGGTTTCAGCGTTGATACTATGAACTCCCTGTGTTCAAGACTGATTTCAGATGTCTAGGCGGCAAAAGTAGAAGTATTCTGAATAAGGCAATCTTTATGATATTGGCACATTCTGCCCCACATTAGCACATTTTAATCAATATTTCATACCTTCGTTATTTAAAACTACAAAAACAAGAGTCCTGTATTTCTGGGTGGTACCCTAAAATCAATCCCGGACCCTTCCAGCAACAGTTTTCCGTCACAATTTTTGGTATTTTTGCTCCACGAATGTCGATATACATGAGAATAGTATTGTTTCAACTTAGTATGTAGATTTGTGACTAAAATATTTACTTAAATTATTGTCCTAAAAACTGCATTGTGTGCCTTTAACAGCTTTGTTTACCTGTGAGAAGATCATGCTCATGGATCCAGGCGGCGGCCAGGGTGTGTTCTCCACCAGCAGGGGGATGATGGGTTTGTTCAGCAGGTTCGCCAGGTTGATCTGGGCGAAACAAATAAATATATGCAAAGATCACTTCGTTTATTTTCTCAGCTAGCAGGTACTAGGTACTAAATCCATCGCTAATGGAGATGCTGGTGGTACATTCAAACATACATAAATGAAGAAAATGATATACATGACAAAACACTAATCAGAGCATGTACACATGAATCCAAAAGTAAGAAACCAAAAATTATCTTTCATCGCTTAAAGCCTGAAATATGTGATTACAAGAAACACATTTTTTGAGTGATTTCTATCCTCTGTGAACCCAGTACATACCTCATGGTTGCAGTTGGTGGACTCTGCGTACTTGGGCGTGACCATGGCCAGAACGACTTTGGCTCCCCGCATGCCCTTGTCTATCTTCGCGTACAGCTGGTCTCCACCACCCATTTGTCCTAAGACGACAATCTAAAATGAATCCTACGTGCATGCATGAAATGGTACACAGACCACTGATGGCATATTCAGGCATTCAAAGGCCTACTGAAAGATGACTTATGTATGTAGTGGGTATCCTCACCGATGTCCATCCAGCTGTCGTACCCAGCCATGTGCAGATGTTCCTTGATGAGTTTGACCTGGTCCTGAATGTCCCACTGGTAGCTGATGAAGATGGGAGGGGGGTTGGTGGGCTCGTCAGCCGCTGGTTTGGGTACAGCTGCGCCTGTAGAAGACAACAGGATAATATATCATATCATATATTATAATATCCTTACTTTCAGATTGTCTCCAAAGCTTACCATAATATATCATACAGGAGAAGGTGGTGTCATTTCTGCATTCATGCAACAAGATTTGACGGCGACGTGCACAGCATAGAAATATTCAGAGAAATTTTTATTGTCTTTGTACTTACCCGCCTCCTCCATAGCAGTCTCGATGATTCCGGCGGCGTCTGTCCGGCCCATCTCCTGTAGGGACTTCAGCACGGCGTAGGTCGCCTCACTGCTGCGGTGGGTGTTGTACCTAGCGGATTGCGAAGAGCAAAGCATTCACGCTTATCTACAGTGAACCAGTAGTTAACAGTGCATACGTACGATTTCTGACATGTTAACTTTCATTCCATAACTCTTTTCAAGCTTCTATACAAGCTGAACGTTTACTCGTAGCAGCTTACTCCTTTAATTCATTAATTCATAAATCTAAACCTTTATATTCGATGTTTCAGATTTAACCCTTTATATTCAATACTTCAAATCTATATCCATATCTATAGATAAACGCGGTGGAAAACAATTAATCGTCAATGATGCAGGTAAGCAAAGAACAGACGTGAGTCTACCATTCGTTGAGCATGGCCATGGTGGGGTCGGCGTTGGTAGCCCAGGCCCGGATGTCCTCGGGCCCGTACCCGAGCCGAACCGCCAGGAACCTCCAGTCATAGTCCCCTTCCTCATTCATCAGCAGGGACACGTCACGGGACCACGCAGGGGCGGCGCTCAGGGTCTGGCAATGCATATCAAACAACAACAGTGTCAAGATTATCCGAAAATGATGTCATCAGGTTTGTAGAACATAGGATATAGAGATTTTCTTCTTACACAACCTGTAGTGATTTTCACCTGCTAACGTTTTGATGCCTGTTAGACATCTTTCTCAGAGCTTTTGACTGGAGTACTGCTTCTTGTCGCTAAACGGATAAGGACGTCAACCCCAGTGATGAACCGGGACAAGGGGGATACAAACTTAGCCACGTTTGGGATTGTGCTCCTAGTTACTGATCGGTTGCGTACGTCTGTATCTTTCTTAATAACTTCCCCACTTATCTATTGGCGTTTTCAACAGTCCTTCCAAAGTCCATACCTTGTGGTCTATCTCCTCCACTTTCTCCACCGTCTCGTCCACCACGTACTCCAGCTCCGTCAGCTTCTCTCCCTGCTGCCGGACGTCCTCCTGCACCTCCCCCAGCTGCTCCCGCTGGGCAGACACGTCATCCGCTAGGTCCTCTACCTGAGGGACGGAAGCAGGGAATCAGTTTTTTTTCATTCCAACATTTCATAACTAGACATGGTGGCGACACACTCAGGTTTTTCAACTTATTTTATGCCGCCACCATAGGTAGAGGATACAGGATAAAGGATAAGACAATTTAATCATTTTTACTTGAGCTTAGTAAGGAAAGTCGTGCAAAGTGCCTTTCCAAAAGGCACAAGATGGATGGCATGTCGGGACTCGAACCCGGTACCTCTTGGTTCCGAGTCGAGCACTCTACCGTTACGCCACACGACCCCACGGAATCATTTACTTGGTCTTCAACCTGAGGGACGGTAACTTGGTCCTCAGCTATCGGGACGGAAGCATGGAGGCACTCTTTATGTACACAATCCAACAATGGATGATTGAATTAGCATAGATTAACATTATCAGCGTGTTCAGACACTATGGATACGGATGACATGGGGAAACGGCGGTCACATAATTCAATATTTCGCTCATGAGTTTGTATATTACGTAAATAGTGCTGCACACATTTTTAATCATTAATAGCATGTTGTGACACATTCCTACCTTTCCCTCTGTCTGTGTGACTCGTTGGTCCAGCTTGTCCACATCCTCTTTTTGCTCTTTGATGTCCTGATCCAAACTTTGCAGGCTGCAGAAAGATACAATATTCGGTTAGAACCAGTAAACGCGTCAGCTTTGAATTCCACATGTAACTCAGATTTTCCCAGCTGCATTTGACGTTGAAATAAAAATTCAATCATGTAAACGTAAAACTATTTCCTATCGACGAACCTTCTATCATCAAGGTAGTCCAGCATGCCTTGCGCCATGTCAGCGACTCCAGGTTGGCTGCTCTTCACCAGGGCCTTGATGTTTGTCCTCCGTTTCTCCAACACGGACTTGTACCGGCCTCCCACGGCCTTCATGAACATCAGGACAGAGCTGAGGTACGTGACGTCGCCTGACTTAAGTTTGTCTGTCAACAGGGCCATAACTCGCTCTGCATACTCCTGTATAATGACATGGACAGAAGAAAATAAAAAAGTCATCAAGTGATCATTTTTAAATATGACGGAATACATATCGCCTGACTGACCATGAAGAGTAGTACATCCCCGGTACAAGGAGTATAAAGTTCAGAATACAGATTAATGTAATGTTATTACTACCTTAGCATACACTGTCACTAGCAAAGAGTAATACAAAACTAGCACTGAAGACACATTTCTTGGTAGAGAGCTTGAATGGATTTTTCACTCAAAAAAACGACCTGCGGTATAAATTGATTGAACTGCACGCGAGGCTCTCACTTACCTCATCGTATAAACCTATAAGAGACTCAACCTCGTAGATGAAGTAACACATCAACGGTTGAGTCTTGTAAGCCTTCTCTAAGGTGTCGATCTTGTCCAGGAAGGGCTTGGTGTCGTACTTGCAGAGCTCCTTCATGGTTTGTAGTGCGGGTGACATGGTAGACAAGTCGCCCAGTCCCTCTTCCACTTTTTGTACATATGGCATGAGGATCTGCAAAGGGGAGGCACACATTAACTTGTACTGTGAAAACAATAGAATCAAGAAGCACTTCGTTCTTCTGTTGCACTTGCACTACATGTCAGACAAGTACAAGTGAACAGTTCTTATTTGCTTGCTGACGCTTTTTAGGTTTCAGCTTAATCTGAAGATACTTACCTGAGGCTTGTCCTTTGATATCTCGTGGAAAAGATTGTAGAAGCTGTAGTGTACGTCAGGGTTGATGTCGTCCATCTTCTCGATTATTTCAGAAAGACGTTCCCTGATAGGCTCAGGGTTGTGCTTGTACATGGCTGCCAGCACGTCTGGGGAAATGATAAAATTTCGTTAAAATGTCCATGACATCAATTATACTTGGGATCTTGGAAATGAAATAAGATTAACTAGCAAGGGTAAATGCATAATGTTTACCTTTACATAGTTATGGTCTAGCTCAACAAACTGCTGCTCTGTTTATTTCTCAAACATATTCATATACTAGTATGTAGTTAATAGCCTCTCCAACTCTGCCCTGCAACTTGCTACATAATGTACCACAACATCCCAGATTGCCTGCTACATCACCAATTACCATGGTTAGAGCGATCGGACCTTTTTGTTGCTTTCTAGTTTTCTATCTAAGAAGGCAAACATAATTAAGAAAGGACAACATACAATTTCGCCATGCATGCGTTGAAAGTGTTACAATCTGAGCTTGTACGAAGTTTTCATCTTAATAAGACTTAGGGTAAGGATCAGTTTTAAGTGAATGGACTGTTACTGACCAGCGATTTCCAAAGCATCGCAGTTGATGAAGGCGTCCAGGAGCGGCTCGGCGTGAGGAGCCAGGACCTCCCCCTGCTGCGTGAAGAGCCTGGCGAGGCAGGACATTTCCATCTGCTCCGACACCTCCTCGTCGGCCAGGATGCGGACGAACCCCGGCGTCACCAGCTTCAGGTGCTCGGCATTGCTCATGTTCTGTGTTCGGAATCAGTCGTTAGAAACTATGACATGCGATGCTACAAGCTGTTCATCTGTTTCGTTCTTTTGTAGTTACATCCAGTCAAATCTACGTGTAAGTTTTGCTTCATTCATGACCTGAAACGTTGTAGTATGCTTTCAAAATTAACAGCAACCGTGCACGTCAGTACAATGCTAGAACAAGTTGATAAATATATTTCCACATACAAAATCAACCTCTTTATCAGGTTCAACGAGTCGACTGGTCATTTTTGGGGGGCTTTTGTAAAGCGCAACAGAAGTAATATGTCATAAGCCCTTTATAAAAGCCCTTCCCCCAAGCCTTAGTCGTATACCAGGATATTATAGTCTGCTAATGATATATAAGTAGGCTATACAATGGCCACGAACTATGAAGTCCGTACCTTGCCGAGGAACTCAGACAGCAGGGTCCTGATGGCGATCCCGTAAGCAGTGGTCTCGGTTGGGTTATCTTCCTCGAACAGTTCCTTCCCCGAGCAGAAGTCGACGATTTCCGATAGCGTTTTCACATGCTCTGTGGTCTTTGCACTCCTGCAAGTAGAGGATACATATTTAAGAAAATGAAACAATTGAGCGTTTCAAGTCTGGAAATCGGTGCCTTTCAATTCGTCATTGAAGCACGTTTTTGTCAATGCCATTAGCATCAATCACTCATGAAGTTGCTATAATTTCAGAAAAGCGCCATGCATGCACGTACTATCTAAGATCAAAACTTGATTCAATGAAAAGACTGATTCAACTGACGTGGTCTTGTACAGTAACTGTATTTCTTCCTTTTAGCATATTCGTTTTACATGTCTGTACATGAGTTGAGAATTATTTATTAAATACAGACATTTAGATACAAATATTGGTAAAAGTTTGTCAATACAATAAAGAAGATACTATCGGGTCAATATCGATGAACCTATGTCCTATGCCTACTAGATGTCTACTCTCTTTATGAATGTACAGACTTACTCAGCCAGGTTTCCACACAGCCAGCGTGTTACATCGCAGCCCCTGTGCGTGGTGGGGTCAAATGTCTCCCTTTTTATCAGCTCAAAGAAGGCGCCCATCACCCTCGTGCACTCCGTATCACTCATCTGTAAAAAAACATGATATCAGTGGCATATAGCAAAGGTACATACACTACGGTTCAATATATAATACATAATGGACTCCTATCTAATAGTATACAACTAATGTGATTTCCTTTGCTTTCTATGGAACCCGAAGCAATATCAGGACAGTAAAACTGGATTCTCAAAGTCAATTTTATGATACTTTTTTAGGTAGCAAGTTGAATAAACCCTCCGCTATATCATGCTGATATCTGTGAGGAAAAAAAAAAGATGATGTCGCTGACGGAAAACGGTTGATTGTCTCGTATAGTAGTCTGGATCTAGCTATTCATTGGTGGTAATAAGAAAATAAAGGGGCCCCTTGTGTAGCTTGTTTTAGCGTTATATTAAACTCGTCAAGTATGAAATAATGATGAAAATGTACTATGAAATGGCAGTAAATGTCAATAGCAGACAGATTTCCTCATTCCGAATATTGTTTTTTTCGTCCTCAAGCGTCCTTTAAGACTCGTAAATATATATCTGTAACCTCATCATTGCTGATATATATCAAATGTGACAAAGACAAATACCCACCTTATTTAACCTGTCTTGGATGCCGTCTGCCTTGACGACTCCACTCGCGATGTATAGATGTGTTTCAGAGCCTTTGTTCAGAGCAAACACTAGTAGATCTACCGCGTTGGGCCAGATCTTCTTATGACAGTGTCTGAAAGCACGAGACACAAAAATTAAATACCTTCGTCATGTTTTCGGGGCCTTGTGTGTCTTCCTACCTCTCTCCCCCTCTTTCTTTCTTTCTTTCTTTCTTTCTTTCTTTCTTTCTTTCTTTCTTTCTTTCTTTCTTTCTTTCTTTCTTTCTTTCTTTCTTTCTGCCTGCCTCTCTCTCTCTCTGTCTCTCTCTGTGAACAGAATTTCTCCAGAATAAAAAGTAAATTGGAAACAAAGAAGCACCACATTTACATATAATTGACTTCTTACATATACGATTCTGACATCAGTGTAACTCACAGACCTAGCCTAACACAATTATATAGAACATGACGTACTTCGTGTACTCCAGCAGCTTTTCAACAGCATCCTCCAACTTAGAGTTGTACCACGTATCTTCAGCTTTTGTCTTCTCTTGAACGACTTGGAATTTATCCAGCACCTCACCCACTTCCTTATCATGACCCTGTGAATTCAAAGGTACACAAAAATGCAGAAAAATGAAACAAAGAACGGTGTTAGATTTTTTTCAGACCGTTCAAATGAATAGTACAGTGGCATATGCCTGCAATCAACAAATAGAAGCGGACTAATATTTGATATCATTCACGATTCTTTTTACCATCTTGGGTCTACTGATGCCCAGCAATGTATACGTTTGAATGCACTCCATTCGAATCTCATTTCTGCTCCACTTTTAAACCATTCTATGCACATTGTTTGCATGTACGCATGCAATGTATTGTGTGGACCTAAATTGAGATACCTTCCACTTGACTAGGTTGTCTTGAAGAACACTCTTAAATTCTTCGAAGTGTCTTGTTGTGGACGACTCCAGGCATGCGCACAGGAAGTCCACCACGGCACGAAGTGCTTTGTCATCTCTGTGAGTAAACATTGAATATGAGCATGAGATAATATTCCCGTGTCTAGTCTTTTGGAAGCAACCCTTAAGCATGATAATTAAATATAGACAGCTCACATTGGAATGATCTTTTTACGAAGCACGGGTATGAAACTATTACGGCCCAAAAGTGGTTGCGGTCCGATTGCTATACTCAAAAAGATAACATTTTTCACAGCATTCGTTATCACGTATATGTATGCCTATATAATTACAGTACATGCCTATGTTTACCATGATTGTTGGACTCACTTCTTCTTTGCAATCTTGTCCAGTTCAGCTCTTGTCTCATCGATGTTGCCGGAATCCTTGAACCAATCAGTGCCCAACTTATCCATTTTGCTTGATCAGATGCGTTATTCCATGCGAAGATCGTTAACTGAGAAATAAAAAAAATAGAAACATGTTTTGTAGAGTATTTAAAGGTTTTAAACAGGTGTCTTTCAAAGGTAAAAAACTATTGAAAACATCAATCAGTTTAATAAACAACATTGTTCATATTTTTTTTTCTAAATTCATGCTAATAATAATAGATGTAGAGTCGTCACGTCATTTAATAAAATTTCTTAGTACTCTTAATTATGTCTGTCGACGCACTAGCTAGTGTATACATGTTTGTTTCTGTAGTACACACTGCTACCACACTATCGAACATTATAAAACGGGGCAATCTAATACAGCAATGTTGGTTATCCTCCCCATATCAAAAACTAAACCCACCGGTTTACTTTTCACCCTACTGCACACTATATGACTTGTACAGCAAACCTTAATCCAGAGACAGACGTATAGCAAATACTGTTTGTTACCTCACTAGGGGTGACACGAGAAACACCCCGCTCCGCTATGGCCGAACAAAAGCGGAGTAAATTTGCTTGATCAACAGAGTGGGCGTTTCTGTTAATGTAATCAGTACAAAGGGGCCACCGCGGGTCTAGCCTCCTTCGCAGACTTCTAACGTTGCGGCGTTATTCAGAATAGACTCTGTCAATACTGTAACATGAAATTCAATAGAAGATGAACAACACTTTATTTTAGACTGTATTCTATATTCTAATGAAAGATCTGTCCTTTTTAATCATATCAGAGAGAAGTTCCCATACTTTGAACACCTAAATGCAAACGATAAATCTATATTATTGATACGTCTAAACAAACCCTGTATCACAAACATGATCTGTTCTCACATTTTCCAATGTACAAGAAAAAGCGAGATGAAGTTGACCACTCTGTATTAGCTCAGTAACTACAACACTTTGTATTAGCCTAGTATAGTACCCTTGTATTTTCCTTACGTATGTATGTCTAAGTGAAGTAGTGTATCTTTTGTCCCCACTTTTCTACATACGTCTGTTATGTGTCTGTTAAGTGTTGACCTGTACCTATCCCGTCGTGGCATGAATGTACAATAAAGGTATTTCATTTCATTCTTTTTTTTTGGGGGGGGGGAGTGAGTTATATGCCCCGAAGGGACGGTTTTGCAATCGAGGGACTTTGCTGCCAGGGAGAGAGGGTTAAACCCCTCCGCGGCATAACTCGTGTCGCTCCCCGAAAAAAAAAATTAACACCGCCCCCTCAGAAGTCTGCGAAGGAGGCTAGGGGATGACGTGCTTATATGATTAGTAGTAACCAAGTAGGTAACGGCAGGTCACCACTGACCTCACGTAACCTTGACTGGTATAGGATCTGAAAGAAATCCTATCCACTTTCCCGTCCTAAATACTCGAAAATGTTTCTTCTCAACAAATAAGCACATTGTTGTTGCCGATTGTCAAATATGTAATCCTGAGTCCCTAGAAACACATTAAATGAGTACCTCATTTGCATCGAGAATTGTCATAATTCCTTAGTGGTACATTACGGGACAGTATACTTTGTGGTAAACGTTTTAAGTCAATCAACGGTGACCATTACCATACATATCATACCATACATAGAAGATAAAAATTTGCATACCTAGTGGGGACTAATCAGCGAGAAATTCGCAATAAAACAAGAAATTAAAAAAACAAACTTTACGGAGGTATGAAATACTTGATTTCGTCTTTTACTTTGTAATAAACGTGTTAGTAAAAAATGCTTTCATAGCTTCATTACTGTAAAATAATCATTCCATCCACCCGCACAATACCATTCGCAAATCAGTCGTCAGAAACACACAACGTTTTCTCACAACAATCCCTTTAATGATTTTATGATACGCATTTGTTAAGTTAATGAAGTCCACGCCAACTTACCTGTAATTCACTTACAATAGGAGCTTCCTTTAGATCGTTAAGCAAACATGTGTTGATAGATCGTGTGGGTCCCTATTTGCAAACATGAAAAGGCCGACCCAGAAGCGCATAGAAACGCAGTGAACTTTGACACAGTTTCGTGTACTGTGTGTGCAGCAGTGGTAGCTATAGACTATATGCTACAATGTATACTACAGGGAGACGACTTGGGCTTGAAACCAAAGTGAAAGAAAACGTAGGAAGCTGGATAAAAGTTCCCAAGACCTGCATTCTTCTTTCGTATACGCCGGAACTAAATATAAACATGGGTATCAAAGGGGCTGGCCCTGAATGTGAATGGCAGGCATATCTTCAACGGTAGGTTAAATCATAAAAGACATACATTTGCATCCCAGCAGCAACTAGTATTCTTATTTTTTAGACCTAAATTGCTCCATATACAGTCACTCAGCAAACGATATCTACAAGTTAAACATTAACTATGAACATAACAATAATGTCCTCTCAGACTCAATCCAACACATGTAGCTTTTCTGGGGCTCTATGTGTACAGCTACCATCGAAATCTCCGTTGTTCGGAGCGCCCTTGACCTGATCTAACTACTGTCTGCAGTCGGACCTGATAGACGTACCTGTTCAAGGATTCACAGGGAGATTCCCCGAGCTGTCGCCAGGCTCTCCACGTGCCCAGCTCTCCTTCGTCTGAGCAGAGAATCTCAACACTTTCGAAGTGTGCCGTTTACAGGTAGGGTAACCAGGGAAGGATGGCACCGCTGGTTACACCACCGCACCGAATGCCTGTTGCTTGTGCCAGCCGGCGGTCAAACGTACCAGCCCCATGCAATCCCATTCAAGATGGCGGCGAAGGAGGCGTCATGAATGATTACCTGGTTGCCATGGAGACGTCACGACTGAGTGATCCCTATGCCTGTCCATTGATCTGTGTCTACTGACGGAGCAGACCGTGACTTGCGCAGTGAAGCTTAAGTTTACCTGGTATGAGAAGAAGTTGTCGCTTCACTGGGGGGCAAACACCAAGAGTGTTGACATTAGACCGATCCCATGGCCCCGCCCACCATGGTCCAAGTGAAGTGGGTTAATCAAATAATCACCAAACGCGTCTTGATTGGTCAAAACAATAACAACGTGCAGATACTTAGATTCTATTGGGTAGACAGTTAATGCTGATGGTTAGCCACCGTGTTCTTGTCTTCATGGGATCCAGCCTGTGATATAAATAAGTAGTGATGGCGTAAACATTGCCAATTAGCCTGGGTACCATCCTTCTTGTATGCCGGGGCTCCCACACTCGCTTCCCTAACTTCTTAGGGAAGCGAGTGTGGGAGCTCCGGCATACAAGTAGGATGGTACCCAGGCTAATTGGCAATGGCAGGATTCAAGTAAACGTGTATCATTGTGACGACTGGCGAGGAAAGAGGGACTAGTAGACCTTTGACCGAGTAAAGAATGAAAATATTCAGCTTTCAAAAAGCATGGGTTTATGGGTTTACTGGGTTCTATGGTATGTGGATAAGGTCTTGACGCGGGTTTATCGATCTTGCCACAAGCACAATGACGTAAGGTGCGTGTGGCAAACAGTACCCTGTGTCATCGATGAAGGTTAGACATCCAGGTAATGAGATCCAAAAGAAAACTGTTACTCAAGCAGAGTTACTGAAACTCTGACCATTTCCAAAATCATATCCAGTTCTTTGAGTAACTGCTTTTTGGCGTAAACAACTGGATAGATTTTGAATAGATAAAGCAATTGGATAGATTTAAAAATCTATCGAGTTGCTTGAATAACAGTTATCTTGTTGAAATCCCTGAGTTAAAGACATGGCCTATATACGGGTTTAAGAACACAAACACATCTTTAAAAATATCACATATATAGTGAAGCAATTCATTTTTGTAGTCTTTAACTGCTCTACTCTAGTGAACAATGTCATTAACGCCGAACAGGTCATTAACACCGATACCTTCCAAAAATAATCATAGCTTTAAACGTAGCAAGCAACAAAATATGGTAGCCTTAATATCTTCATATAGTACTTGTTTGTATTGTATTTACAATACAAATATTGCACATTGCACATATGTATATTTATTTGAAACACTAGCTCCACTATTTATTTTAAATCAAATATTTGGTTCTATTTGCAACGATATCGATTAATGAGCTGCTAAAATAAGTAAAACTACCGTAGTCCCCATTGCAGTCTTGAATTGGCGTTTTAATTTTTATGTCTTTTTTATTTTTATAACGTACTACTTTCTTCTAGCGTCGTCTTGTTGGTATCTGTGGATATCAATAATAAAATACTAATCGAATGTTGATCGGGAGGCCACAATAATCATAAAACTTATTACTTTACGCATGATTAAGTCTGCTTTATTTCGATTATGTATAATTATCATTTTCTTAATTTCTACATCTTAATCGTTAATTTATGGTACTATATACAATTGACGGTTCTACTCCAATAAAAACTTTTGTTTAGAAAAATAGTAAAATTTAAATACGGTAACGCTCGATCGTGTGCTTAACTTCACTGTATAATCAATTGGTAACTATTAGAGTAATAATAGTCTATGGCAGTTTGAACGAAACTTCTCTAAACGGCATGGTCCGCGAATCATTGTCATCATCAGTACTGTCCAGGTCATCTTCATCATGCAGGGGATGTACTCCGTCACCGCCGTCCACAGGTGCCCAGGCTTCTGACTGAGCATATTCGGACGGGTAGGGGTCACTTGAGGTGTCTGGCGACTCCGCAAGGTGCAGGTAAGACGGTGGGCCGCCGTCTTCAGAGCTAGAGACGATGGTTCCCAGTTCGTCGGTGTCGTCGGTTATCAGTGACGAAGGTGTCGTTGGTAGACTTGGGATGGAAGGGTCCGCGGAGTACCTTTCATCCAGTTCCCGGATTTGGTCTGCCAGACGGCGACTACCTAGTTTGTCCTTCAATTTAACCTGGAAAATGTTTCAGAAAAGTCACAAAGCCCATAAGCTCAAAGTCAAGATAATAACGTCATCAGTTTTCTCTTGCATAAAAAATTGGATCAAACAAATGTTCGCGATATTTCTTTATTTGAATTTGCCATATACGAGGGAAGCGAACAGTTGGGTTTTGTTCTGAAAGTCCCGAGTCATCATGTGTTGGATCTAGAACTCTAGAGTCACACAGATTCGCCGAGGACTTCAAAATATGTAAGACATCGGCTGCTAAAACATTGATATCTGGTTGCAAAGGCATAACACATAGCGCAATATAAAAAAACTAACCAAAATATATAGTAACGTAACGTAACGTAACGCAACGTAGCGTAACGTAACATAACAAAACATGCATTTTGTAGTCATGCACACACTTGCCTTTTGTATATAACAGTGATTGATATTAAGAGAAAGAAACTCCTTTCCTTACCCGCGGAAGTTTCGTCCACTGTAGCAAGGCATTCCGATGCTGAGATTTTGACCTCCGAGTTCGATTCTAATGAATGGTATAATAAAAAAAAACTGTGCTATACTGATTGATACTGGGAATATGGACGGTAACTTGTGATGTTTATTCTATGTAATATTCTTTTCAAAGTCTAGACGATATAATGGAATAATGCGCGGTAGTGTGTTTCGTAAACAGTCGTTGCTATTTGACACGGTCGATGCCATAACCAAGCTTATCAAAGCTTATCTTAGAAAAAACATTTCAATTGCAAATGAATCACAGCAACTAATTCTCTACGCCACGAATTCGAAATATCACGGTGTTGACAAAGTCAGTTTGTCGTTCTGCGATATGGTATCGACCGTTTCAAATGTCTGTGATATGAGACAATATGGGAAATTAGCTGTGGCATTGAGGTGGCAAAAAGACTGAATGGTTTACAAGTTTCCATCAGACACCTTTGCAGCCTGAAAGATTAGTACAAATCGGCCTAAAGTTATGCATGAGGCATCCTGTACGGAGGCAAACCAGTCCTTCAATGGCCGACTAACTCCCCTGGCCAAGAAATAGACTAAGTAATACCCTTTTAGGCCGATTTCTACAACTAGTATTCATTCAGTCTGCAAAGGAGTCTGGTGGAGACTAGTGGTTTACCGCCCCGACATACCTTACAGATGAGCCGCACAAAAATGACGATGAGGACCACCTTCAGGGGCTGCACGATGAGTATGTCCGTGAGGAAGGACACGAGGAAGGAGAAGAGCCAGGCCTCGGCTTTCCTCCTGCCGTACTGCACGCCGTACAGCAGGGTGAAGAGAGCCGACAGGAGGACGATGGCAAAGACGAGGAACCACGCTGCGGATACAGGGTGCACAGAGGAGTGATGGGTGAAGTAATTCACGAACAAAATACATGTCATGATCATGGCTCTTCCTGTACCCTGCATGTTTATGTGTTCCTACGAGACATTTATTTAGACGAAATTTAACGATAGAACCCCCCTGCCTAACTTGTAGATAATATAAGCTATTTAACAAGGAAATCCTCCCTGCCTAATTTGTAGACAAAGTTAGCCTTAACATAAATTTGACGTGCACTGTGTCATTTAAGGCCCAGCACATGAGAATCTAAAGTAGCAGTCCAACAATGTAAGCTAGAACAATAGCTAATTGGTTCATCCATAGTCGATGATTAACAGAAAGCATCAATGTTAAGTCAAAAGACGTACCTATGAACAGAAACCACCAGGGCAGACATCCGTCCTCTTGTGTGACATCTTGCTGCGTTACTCCTGTAAACGCAGCAGATTTGTCAGAAAGAAAGTGCTCAGTGGTGATATATCATTTTCATATCTAATAAAACCCTCCGCATCTGAGATTATATAAACAAAGTCATTTTGTGACAACAGTTGGCTGAAAATGGTCACCACAGCTCAGCTATGGTGGCGACAGGCCGCTGCAATGATGATCTACTAAAAAGACCATCTCTGCTCTAAAGACTGCTTCATTCAAATAGGGTATAGTGTGTAGTCTTATTACATGGAACTCCTGTGCAATGCTGTAGACGGTATCGTAGATATTGGTTTAATTCTTAAAAACGTGCAATACATTGTACCTATTATAATTGTTATGTAAATATGGTAGATTAAATGATTGATTGATTGGTAGCTTGATTGATTGATTCAAAACAAACGCACCTGTTTTGTGATCTATGTAGCCCGGCCCTCTCCCGTCATGCTCTAGTCGCGATGACGTGCTCACAGTGTCGGAAGAGCAGCCCTTCGCATCAAAACAGAGGGGTGTTTTCCTTCGTGTATTGTACATTTCCCCAAATTCTCGATAAGCTCTCAGTTGAACTATATTGTCCAGTTGGGAAGTTCGCTTTTTTCGCACCGAAAGATTCCGGAAGATCAGGACTATGACGACATTTGGTGGGAAAGCGATGAGGGTGCACGTCAGCCCTAATATCACCTGTAGGTGAATTTTGAACAAAACATCTTATCAACAAAATTAAACCTCCTTGCTTAACTTGTACACGAGCTAGACCTTAAAATAAAATTCACCTGCACTGTGACATTTATCATTATCAAAAGGTCAAATCACTGAGGTTACCTCCATGATCAAACACATGAGAGTCATGAAGTAGCGGCACAAGAAGGTAAGACCCAATGCCTAACGCTCACTCATATGCATGCGCCGATAATTGTTTGAGTCAGGAGAAACCACCTGCTTAGAGATCTAGGGTTGGTGTTGCTTAGTATGTTTTGTGTTAAGACCTAACCGTGGTTCATGATGCATTATTGGGATTGTTCGAATATAGGTTTGAATACAGAAAACAAAACTGCAGACACCAACAGCAAATATAGGAAAGGGAGAAAATTTCGCTGGACACGGTAAGAATACTGGACACTGAACAAGACTACCTCCTGAGAGATTATTTACATCAGGGCCCATCACCCTTCACACAACCGCGACAGGGGGCGACATCGTCTACCAGATACCTTTGACCCAGTGTTGAAGCCACTTCACAAGTCTCACTGGGCCAGTCTGTTGAAGAAGCCCAGAGTAACTAGTCGAAAGCTCTAAGTGAGAACAATTCTTTGTGCTGGAACAAAAAAGTTTAACTTTAAACAGATTCCTACCGTTTGTAAACTGATGTTGAATGGAATGTTCACCCCTCCGATGCTGACAGAATTGTCTGCCCTGCCCTGCTGGAAGAACATGATGTTTGTCACCATCACCAACATCAGGAGGGAGAAACAACATGAGACTCTCTGCGCACGTGTGAAGATACTGCGTGATGAAGGTCGCACGACCGATGCCCACAGATGATACTCCAGTAGATGATGATAGCTGGTGGCTCGGGCAATGTTGCCTTGTAGCCCTCGTAGCTAGACATAACACAGGGGGGAATATTAGAAAACAGTATGTAGTAAAGATGCATGTAGCATCCAGGAAACAGCATTTAGCGTAGTCTTCATAAACGATCAACCTATGGCTTTTTGCATAAGAAGTCTAAGAAGGCCACTAGCTTTTTCTTGGTCCCCTGGACGTTCGTCTTAGACAAGTTTTGATATTAACGACATGTATATTTGCTAAGAGTAAAAAAAAAGGGAGGAATCCACCTGTCACCACGAAACAAGCGATATGAAAATGACGAAGTGGCCACACAAGAACACAAACGGCTAACATAATTATCGGGATGATGACACTATGAAACTTACACGGGTAGAACATTTAGGAAATTAAAGGAAATATATGCTGAAATTACGAAATCGTCTCTTACCTTTCTCTTCTCTCTAAGGTCCCGGCCTCTTGCCCAGAACAGCAGTACAAAGTACAGCAAGAACGCAGTGCCGACTGTGGCCCACACTATGAAGTTAGTCGTGATGTCCTCTGGGATTTTCAGAAGGGCTGCTCTGATGTTCAGTTCATTCGGAGCCACAAAGAAACCAAAGGAGGTGAGGTGGTTGCACAGACAATGCAAATGGTCCCTTGTTGTGAGTGGTCCAACCTGAACAGAGAAACCATGCTCTCATGATTTTCAGCAAATCTTAGACCATGCAAAATTGTAAATACAAAATGTTCTGGTAGTGCATGGATATCTCTTTATTGCTACACAACAATTCTATCCCACATTCACCATATGCAACACCCTCGTCTAGTCATGTGACCTATGCTGACCTTGAACCTCTTGGTCACGTGACTATGATGGCGGATGAAAGATGGCAGATGCTGTCAGAAAAAAGCTTCTCTGCTGAACTGTATGTCTTGTGTATAAGTTTAAACCTTCTTTTCCTAATAATTCTGTCCACTCTGTCTCTTGCTACAAGATGTTCCAAAATAATGGAAGCATGCATGTTTCATCATAGCCAAGACCAAGTTATTTATGTAGAGCAGCCGAAAGAGATGTGCCTCACCTTACAACCACGGTCGGCCCAGAGGTGTTCGTTCTCGTCGAAGAAGAGACACCTAGCGGAAATGATGGTGATGTTGTACTTGGCGGTGAGGTTCCCTCCTGTGTCGTTGAGTATGGGCACATGTTGGGCGGCTGGTAAATAGAAAAGCGAGCGGACGTCAATATTTCTCATATCTCAAACACTACGTGTAGCAATTTGTAGCTGGTACATATTTCATTACAAACATACATACATTCATACATACATGCATGCATGTCGATACTGGACGAGACATACCGTACTCGCAAAAATGCAGAAAAAAACAGGTCTAGGCATCCTATTATAGCCCCAAATGGTACAATAGGAGCCATATGAAGTCAACACAAAAGGCTGATAGTCAGTCTTGTTCAAATAGTTCATAATTGGATATCCGGGTAAAATGAGTAGATGTTTAAGGCAATAGAACCATCACCTTTGCTATAAAGACGCTTTCCAAAATATAGCATTACAACAGTAGTATTGACAAGCAGAACAGGTTAAGTCTCCACCTAACGACCAGGAAGTGTCCTCCTCTGTAATGTTCAGCTCCTCCTGGGACAAAAACCAAGTGTACGGGTCTGAGGTGACTGATAATCTCGTGGACCACGCCGGCGACGTCGGTGCAAAAGGCAGTGACATGTTCCAGGTATACCTGTCCGGCGATGCGTCGGTTCCTCGTTGTAGGAAGAGTCGCAAGGGTGCGCTGTCATTCTGGGTTTGCAGTATGATGTGGAGGGACGTCCTCGCCTTGCTGATGTTGAAGTTGTGAACCTGGCCGTGGCAAGGAAAAATAGCACCATGTATGTAGCTTGACTACATATGCTTCTAGCAAGCCCTACCATTGGTCAGGCCCCTATATGCTCCATGACCAACACCTTCACGTCAGGAGAGTTGGGAACATCTTAGTTCTGTTCATTAATGCACATGTGATAATATGGGCCGATTATTCAGTGTAAGAAGTGTTTGTTACCATAGTGTTGATATCTTTGATGACTGGTTTCCATAGAGACAGAGAACCTACTTCTTTGAATGGGAATGGCCACTTGACTTAAAGGTGTATGGCCGCAAGCTCTCGGGGAGGATGTCCATTCAGCTCTTTACAGCGAGAGATTGTGTACCACAGACTATTCAAGACGCATTTAGACATCTGGATACTACAGAGCTTCATAAACATTTAAGTCCATTTAATCCCACATAAGAGACAGGCCGGTGCAGCCAGCATGTTGTTTACATCAGTTATACTGTGGTAAATACCAGCACGGATTTCCTTGCCATTTTCAAGGCGTCTGGACGGATGTAAGACTGAGAACTGTCTGTTACCATAGTGTTGAAGGCTGTGATGGAATTAGAATTAGAACTCTACATTTAGAGCTCATTGGGCGATCATTGGGTATATATCATACATACGGAGAGATTATATAAACGGCTGACTTACTGTGATATTGCCACTGTTTTCCGGCTGGGTGGTGCCGCTGATGGTGATATCGTTCTCCTGGTCGGTCCGTGTCGTTATCAGCTGTATCCTCGCGTCGTTCTGCAGATCCTCCAGTTCACGGACTCTCACCCCGTTCCTTCTCTCAAAGGACAGCGCCTGCACTCCCGTCCTGACATCGTCAGCGTTTGGTGAGTACCCATGTGGGTTCTGCTGCGTCCAGAAGGTCTACACAAACATATACAGACACGGAAAGTAGCGTCACTTCGGTTTAGCATTGGCGTGCTGTGTTGAACCTCTGACAATCTGTATCTACACTAGCTAGGAAAGAAGTCACTCATATCCATACCAAAGACTTGTCTAGAGAGTTTTGTGTATGTGTTTGTTTTATGTGCATGTGCGTGACAAAAAACAAACTGATATCACATCGGACAATTGTATGAAATTATTAAAAGAAGTGTGTAACTCTATATCGAATATAGGATGTCAAGATACTTGGAGTGTTGTTCTCCTTGAAAATACATTAATCTGATATCGCCAGCAAAGCAAAACAAAGAAACAAGCGAGGATGAAAACAAACAGAAAAACAGTACCTTCGACCCAACGCTTTCGTTAAGTTTATTCAAGCAGCCTATCTTCTGAGCGGCTTTTTCAGGTAGGTAAAAGAAGGCTCCAATCTGCTCCTCTGTTCGAATGATTCGCTCTGCCAGCTTGTCACAGCTGGTGTTGGCCAGACTTAAGACGAACCCCTTGGACTTAAGCAGCGTTGGTTTGTCGTCCCGGGTTTTTCTTGACAGCAGGAGGGTCCCGAATGTGTTGATTGTTTTCAGCACTTGCGTGGTGGCATTTTTGTTCTACATGTTAAAACAGAAATGGCTTTTACTGGGTTTCTATGTGTAGATAACGGCTCATGTTGTAAGGTTCCATTTTCACACTCACAGAGATTCAATGCGGAACACTTACACATGAACAAGAAAAACATTATCTATGTAATAGCTACACTGTATATAATAAAATTGAAATAGACATTATTCAGAGAATAACAGAGAATGTTCCTGGATAAAAAGAAGTCAAAATCTTCTCACCTTCTCCAAATTGTCTGTCTCAGTCGTTATATTTTCGATAACGTTCCTCTTCTTTGTCTCTATTGCCTTGATGTTGGAGGCATTTAGGACATTCACAGCGACTGAAATTAAAGAAAAGTGCATAGGTTGGGGTTAGCAATTACTTTAACTTCCCCTATTCCTGCAAAATCGGCAAATTTGAAAAATGGACAAAGAGTTGAAGATGGAAATTTACAAAATCTAAAGATCTTTCACGTTGTGGGAAAAACACACAAATATAGCAATAAATATTCAAGAAATTTCAAATTTCAACACCTGTCAACATATGTGCTGATAGGACCTCCAGCTCTTCCGTGCCGCTTTCGGTTGACTCTTCCTTCACCCAGACACTTATATCCTGCAGCGTGGTCGATGCGTCTACCTGTTTGAAAACGTTTATGCATAGAGAAGTCGTTTTATCAAAAGAATTACAAAGCCTGGCAGTATTATGTACACTGCAATATGTCTGTGAGACTAGCAGATGGGAAAGTATAGTCTAGAACATAAAGAAATTGTACTAAGATATGCAAAGATATACTGCAATCATCCAGTCAGCGGTATACAACAGATACGCACATTTAACAATGAAATGTTCACATATGTAATTTCATCCTGACTACGATATAATAGAAATCTCGTTTACACGCGTTTTAAAATTAAGAAGCGTGGTTTTCTTACTATACTCTAGGTATCTATCGTAATGCATTTAGCCCAAGATAGACATGAATTCTAATATATATAAGCAGTAAACTTAAATGTTATTGTCATTGCCGTTTTACCGGACCTGTGCATTGTTTTCGAGTTCTTCGGGAACTGCAGTGATGTGTTCCAAGGTGCTGAGGACCTGCTGAGCGTGTTCTATGGTGGTGACCTCCACCTGCTGCACGATGGACGTTAAAGTCTCCCGAATCTGTTACAGGGGAAGGAATACGGCATAATTGCCTTCGCTAGAAGGGTATGATTTCGGTTTGGCCATGGTGTGGGTTGGATGTGGTGTGGTGTGGGTCTGTATGTATGTATGTATGTAAGACAGCAGCACAAAGCTGTGGATGGACTTTCATGATATTTGGTACTTGAGTGGTATTTGTGGAAACGAAGGTAAAGTGGCTCACCTGGCGTTTTCCAACGGTACTGCAGGGGTAGCCGTCAGTCGTAAGGGTTAATCATTTGGCGACGGTATGGGGTATGAGGTGGAAGGGATGGTATCGCCCAAGATGGCGGGTGCGTTTAATCTAGGCTTATCGGCTTCCTACCAAATTTCGTCAATTTATACCACCAAACATTGCCATCAAGTCTACATCGCCTCAGAATCTACAAGGAAACGCTTTTCTGAAGCTGCTGGCTCAGGAAAATTCGACAGATCATCACTCCAACCTGGAGGATCTGACGAAGACACGGAGCAAAGCGTTTCCTGGGAGACTCCATGGGTACCCCAGAAAAGGACGACACGTCCAGCGATCGTCTCAACCGCAGCGGGCTCCTTTATTGGAGCCCCCGCCGGTAGGTTTCCATATAATTACTACGGCTATATCCTACTACTACAGTAATACATCATTTCCATGTTTTATCTTATCGAACACAGTTGGCTACCGGGCATTCTGATTGTTTATTTCAAAGAGACCCCCCCACCCACCCACCTACCCACCCACCTACCCACCCACCTACCTACCCACCCACCTACCCACCAGATTCGTCCAGGTGGGCGCACGTATCAACAAAAAGCTTAATTCCCTATTAGATAGTCTTATTCATGTCATTGTAGCTGCTATACTTCTTGCTTTGAATAATTCAAGTATTACATAGCTTCTTCATTAGTTTATTTTGCTATAATTTTGTTTTTAACTGTATAATGGGTACTTATTTACGATTTGTTGATATTTTCTCTTCATTTGCCTTGATTTTCATTTAAGTATTTCGGTTAATCAGTTTAATGGTGATTGTTTTGTTATGTTTAAGAAGAAGGGCTTGTACAAGCCTTTAAGGCTTCATCTTCTCCTGCAGTGTTTTTAATTTAATTTACATTTCCTTGTTCTTTGTGCGAAATAAATAAATAAAAATAAAATAAAGAAATAGATAAACGCTAGTTGAAGTTACTTTAAAATGTTTTAAAAGGTCATTTTGCATTTTCTTAAAGACATGAATTAATACTACCAAATACCAATACCGTCGTTTTGTCTGCAACATCATCGCGCTAGCTATAGAGAGACCGAAATCCACTCGTGAACTTTATAGAAGGTAATACTATGAAGCTGTAATACTATGAGTGTTCACGAATTTTAGACACCCGATTAGAACACTTCCCAAAGACGTATAGCCTGAAAAGAGTGAGTGGTTACCATAATCCTTTCCTGGGTCGTATTTTCTGCAATGATCGTCTGCTCATTCAGCACGGAAGCTGCGCTCGAGATCACCGCAGTAGTTTTCTGAACATCTTGGACTGTGGTGGTGTTGTTGGTCAGCATTTGGATAGACGAAATCTCAGCCGGCTTCACCTTGATGTTTGGGTGAAAACAGTGTCCAGAAAAAAGTCATAGATTGATTACAGCCAACCAATACTAGTAATTCACTATATGCTAGCAATGCTAGTCATTCACAATCAAAGAATTCACATATTATAGAAGAGCTGGGTAAATTCGTCTTCCACTGCCTCAAAAGAAGAAGTCAAACCCAGCAAAACTAGTACCACATATGTTGTAGAATGCAGTATAATGTTAGACGTAGTCTCTTATATCATTGCATTTTCTTTTTCATACATGATGTTTGTGCCTGCTATTAGCCATCGGGCAAGCATTTGCAATAAACTTGTAAAAATGTGATTTAAATGACAAGTAAAGGCACGATGCTTTAGACAATTCGATCTTTTTCTATGGAATTCGTCGAACGACCTATCAAATTGTTGGTCGCTCATTGGTCACAGATATACAGCTGAAAGAGGATATGTACGTGATTCTGGCATCTGTGTTATCATCAAACATTACACTTACCGTTGGCGGGTCAGGCTCGACACTCACAGATCCACCGAACTTATCCAACACTTGGACCCGAATAGGAAGGGAATAGTTCCGGCTTCGGAGTCCCAGTGGAAGCTTTAGTGGTACTGTGCAGTTCTCCTATATGTAGAAAGGGAACGTATAAACCTATTTAGTTACGTTTGCCAGGATCGATTCAATACCAAACACCAACCTCACTTTATAAACACAGACACATACACAAGGAAACAGTTAGTCAAGCAACTGGATGGATTTTGAAAACTTTCAAACGTTTTAAGAAAACGGTTACACACAAGCAACTAGACTGACTCAAGAAAACAGTTACTCAAGCGACTGCCGGATAGATTTTGAGAAGTGTTAGACGTTTCTAGTCTCATCTACTAATTTTCGTCGGTGAATGCTACTTGTAACATTCGACAGCGTTCAAATCTCTCCTCTTGCTTGAGTTACTGTTTTCATTTGTATCTCATTGCCTGGATGTCTAGCATTTAAAGACTTACCACTAATACTTTGGATCTATTTGGTTACGTATGGTTTGAGTTGAAGTAGATTTCAACCTTCCTTTTCTTGACGAATGGCTAAAATGCAATTTACGAACGTTATAAGGAATAGCATGATTGAGGTTGCCAACATAAGGTCGTTTTAGTTAGATTGAATGACAGCTTACCGGTCCAGTGTACAGCAGATGAAAGACCGACGAGGAGGTGGTATTCACGGATGCGATGTCGATGTCAGTTTCATACAGAAAATTGTAGGTTAAGGGTTGGTCAGGGTCATTAAAACCTGGAAATCAGAACATAAGACAGAGAATATATCTGCAATCAGACTTTCCAGAGCGAAGCATAAAGCAATAGTTATGCACGGAAGCACTTTTGAGGCACTAACCAACATTCAAATGAAGATTCTCTCAGTATTAAATGTACGTTATATATAAAAAAAACGCTGGCACTGGCAAATCATTTTGTTTGTATCTGCACCGACGATGTTTCCAACACTACCCTCACCTTCGCAGCATATCTTGAAGTCGTCTACCGAGGCCGTACCGATGGGTGGCATGACATTACATGTCCCCTTGGTAGGGGGTCCGTTAGTTCTGAATGTGTACTCAGCGTAACCCGTAAGGCCTGTTTGGACGTCTGTTATGTTGACTCTCATCACATAGTCGCCTGGCTGCAAGAACAAGAAGATGCCATGCTTGAAGACCTATATGCAACTTGACTGATTTTTTAAGTAAAAAATTTGACAGATTCTTTACACATGTTTCTCCATCTAATAACCCACCCATCCGTCTATCCGTCCATCCATCCATCCATCCATTCGCCCATCCGTCCATCCATCCATCCATCCATCCATCCATCCATCCTTCTATTCATCCATCCGCCCATCCGACCATCCATCCATCCATCCGCTCATTCATTCATTCATTCATTCATTCATTCATTCCCATCGATCCGTCCGCCCATCCATCCATCCATCCATCCGCTCATTCATTCATTCATCCATCCATCCATCCATCCATCCATCCATCTATCCATCTATCCATCCATCCATCCATCCACGAAAACTAAAAGAGATCATCGTGTTTATGATGGTATGCGTAAAGAGGAATTGGTGATGGTTTCCTTGTTCACAGTTTCACCAGAAATGACAACTATTTGTTCAGTTTCATTATCAACGAAGAAATGTTAATCCCCGTTTTAAGACAATAAGAATCCCGTCTTTATTTTCAAATAAAAAATTTCGCCTGCCTTTACCTTATCAAAGATGTTTGCCTTCATCACCAGGTAGTCCTGATCCCGCTCATTTAGGAGATTGTTATCATAATCACTGTCTGTCCATTCCGGGTAATCAGTCGGACTGGCAACAAGTGTCCACCAGTACTCGTAAGATCCTGAGTTGGTAAATGATAAAGTATAGGATATCAATTATGTTACTAACGTTGTCAAAATCTAAACGCATGTCCTGCTGGTATTTTTTACAGAATATTTGTCAATGATGTTATGTCTTAATCAGGTTATAGACCCCTGCCTTGTTTTTGCCCAGTGCGGTGGCATAGTTACTTCCGCATTCGTTGTGTTTCGCTGTTTTTGGCCATCGCTAATGGTGAGCTGGGTCTTGGCTATGTCTGAGGCGAGTAAGGTGAATACCATCAACTACTTTTAACCCATGTAAAACATGGTTTTCTGCTCTTGAAGGTGAAATAAATTCATCACAATCCTCACCAGACTGATGATCACAGTTTCCACAAACAGACACTAACTTCATCTGCTCGCCCACGTTTATAATGGGTCCACATGTGCCGTGCAACTCCTCACATCTAAGGAGAGAAAACATAACATTCAATTGAGCTGGACGTGTTAGATGTAACACGGTCATCTTTTAATCGTAGCTTTGCACCAATTGTGGGAGGTTGGGAAGAGTAGCTAGACCTAGTTGGAAGCTTGCTGCCAAATGTGCCCGTATGCCTAAGATCTAAGGTAAGGTAAGGGGGGTAAGTGTGTATGCTATGTAGGTGGAATCTTTATAGTCGCTATCGATATCATGTGAATGAATTAAGTAGTTTTATTTGGAGAACATACAGTATATAGTATTGACAACAGAATCGCAGCCAACCATAATGGTTGCCTGAATTGCGATGTGGCCAACATTCACAACTTGTTATTAAAACTCTCTTATTGAAAAAAAATGCTCGTTACACGTGTATTATATACATATCTTACGATAATAATAATTTAAGGATTTTTTAAATAATAATTATTATTATGACTGTGTGCTATGTACGTGGAGTCCTAAGTTGCACAGTGTAAACGTTATAGTCAATACCATATCTTACAAGAACAATAATTTTTTAAATTTTTCCCCCACTATAGGTGAAAGTTTAACTTAAAAAGAAAGAATGCAACTTAAAAAGAAATAAAACGTATCGATGACAACCTACATTATTTGTGGTCCTGGGATTTGATTGATTCTTGTTGCGCTGACGACTTCAATAACCTGTGATGCATGGGCGGGTGTCCTTCTCGGCGCAGACACCGTCAGGGTGAAGTTAAAGACACGCGTAAAGAACTCCCGGTTTACCAAAATACGAACCTCACCACATTCAGGGGCAGAAATGTCCGGGCACCTGTACTCTCCCCTGACTGAATTATGGAAAGAACTAAGATGTTATGATTATCGTTAAACTCTTCCCCTTTAGTTGTGAATATGACTCAAAGTTACGTATTTCACTAATTTAATTAATTTCACATTCTTACAATATACAGTGATGCAGTTTTACATGTTACAGTGATGTATTTTTGCATCTAGGACTACCGAACCTTCATGCTGTAACGTAATTCGTTATAGTACTTGTATTTGTCTTTGTTAGTCATGCTTCTTTCTTTTTGTGGTGTGGCTAAAATTAGCAGGCGCTGGCGTTGCTCACCACTGTGTCTTGTCTGTTTTAATCAATAAATAAAAAGAAAATCATATTACGTATGCTGGCCATAAATGGCGTATCTACTCACCGGTAAGTACGGTACAATTCCAGGTATAAGTCAGGTCACAAGGACCAAGCCTCTCGTCAGGGTCGAAGGACAGTGTCGCAGCGTCAAGTGTCAGATTGCCGTGGTCAATCTGCCTTCTGGAACCGCCCAGAATCCCGGCCACAAGTGGGGAGGTGATGATGTTGATTGTAGTTGATGATAGAGAAGAATGCACTACCTCAGTATTGTTTTTCTCAGCGACTACCCGTACTGTCAAGTAGAAAGTGATTTTTCCGATGGCCAGTTGGTTTTGCTGTACCTTTATGTCTGCCTGATTGAGACTTGTGCCGCTCAGTTTAATCCTATCTGTGCTGTGTAACGTCCAATTGTAGCTGATTCGCCTGATACTCCCGACCTGGCAGTTCGACGTCGAGTACTCGATCACACTGTTGAGCTGAAAGTCATCGCTCCTCTGTATAGTTCTCCCTCCTCCAAATATATTCACAATCGGCGTACAAAAGCAGAGGTAGGATCCCTTGGTGTTGACGCAAACGGAGTCGTCGCCGCAGTCATCCAAGCGCAGAGCACATTCGTCGATATCTGAGGGAACATACGGGTTTCTCGTCAAACGTCACGCAGCTAGGATATCTGATCAATGCCCTTAATAAGAACAAGAAACAAATAATTTTCATTGCCCATTTGCCCTTACATACTATCATACTTTAAAAACCTAAGAAAGACTTAGTCTCCAACAGACTCCTTTGCAGGCTGAATAAATAGTAGACGTCGGCGTAAAAAAGAATGCAACTGGCCGGGGGAGTTAGAGAGTCCGAAATCAGTGCAGGCAAATTGGACCCTCTATGGCCAACTATCTCCCCTGGCCAGTCACATTCCTTTTTAGGCCGTTTTCTACCATTTATGTAGCCTTCAAAGGAGTCTGGTGGAGGCTAATAAACACTCACCGTACGCAGCATTATAAAACTCTACACTGGATACCTGAAGTTCTTCCCTACTGGAATCAAATGTATCGTATATACGGTATTGGATCTCGATATACCTACCTTTACACGTGCCATTCGTTCTGTTGTAACCCTCGAGACAATCACATATCCAGTTTGAGTTCCTTTCAACGCACTTCGTATTCTCCTCATGTTCGCAATGACAGCGCACTTCAGCTGGATAGGCGCAAAGAATTGACTGGTTAATGCGTCCATGAACTGATGTTGGGTGTCACTTCCGGTCACAAATATCTGATATTACGTTCAAGAGTGCTAATCATATATTTTCAACACTACTTAGACAACCCATATAAATCTAATGATCAACTTAGTTACTGTCTTAATTGAATTGAATTGAATTATGTACATTTGGAAATGGATATGTATTCCGTATGTGTGTGTTTCCAAACATCGGCCAGTTTCATTTTGGAAACGGTCTTCCATCAACTTTCATCGACTTTCCAATTGTCAAATCAAGTCAAGAAACATAAAATATGTTGATTTGTATTTCCAGTTTTGGAGCTAGATTATGCTGTTAACTATGTGAATTTTTTTCGAGAAATACGAAAAAAGAACTTGCACAAAAATTGCAATGCGTACAAGCTATGGCATGCAGCATATACATATATAGAAGGTATTGCTAAAATTTATCTGGCAGTACTAACAGTTCTAAGAAGCTAATAAATCATAATAAAAGCTCAAGGGTACATACCTTCCTTTCCAAAGACAGTATAGTTACTCTGAATGGAGAGGTTTCCGATCATGTTGCCCGCCGTTTGATTTCTGATAAGCAGCTCTAGTTCAGGGATAGTGTGCTCGGTGAGGTTCACCTCGTAAACTGTTAATACACTTCCAGGACTGCAAAATTGATGTGACAAATAATATAGATCACCAGATATAGCAAATAAAAACTTTTAGCGATACACTGTAGTGCCGACACAGTTCGGGGGCCTGGCCTTAAGTCATTCGTCATGTAACAGTCTTTTTTATTCAATCTATAACCAATTTATTAGACGGTATGACGTGGATGTACAATGGACAAAGGGTGTATCGGGTTGTGTAACAACTGTTGCCCAAACGGACATAAAAAAACGGAAAGAGACTCTAGCACAGGTACCATTGACTTTTTTCGTCTAAAGGACGAATGGTTTTGTCCGATATTACGACAACTGAACTTCCTACCGGAATCGTAGTACACGCATCGTCTCCACTCCAAGGTCGTAATTATCATGATGGCCATCATCGTCGTGATCATGCTTCACGTACAGGCTCCGTGCGCGTATGGCGATATCAAACTGAAAGATAATTTCATTTTTACTTCAACCAACCAACCAATCAATCAATCAATCAATCAATCAATCAATCAATCAATCAATCAATCAATCAATCAATCAATCAATCAATCAATCAATCAATCAATCAATCAATCAATCAATCAATCAACTTATTTTAGCTCCCGCTCGAACCAAACTTGAAAGCATCCACCTCTTCACTCTGTCCTCAATCCAACTATCTATTTAACTGCAGCATCTATGGATGTACATTGTATAACAAACGTAAATCACTGTTCAGTTCAATTAAGTTCGACAAAAAATGTAAAGCATTATCAAAGGAAGACACTTTTAAATATATCATATCATGTACGAATATAGACGTCATCAATGAAGTATGTAAGTATATTTCAAAATGTTTCAAAAAGAGAGAAGAAGCCATTAGACCTTAGATCTGTATCACTTTATATATGTATATTTCTTTTTTTAGCATTGTATACCTTAGACCCGATGTTAGCCTTTCTATATCACTATTGTTGTAGTACTCTCTAGTACATTGTACTCTGTACATCTGTGCATTTATCCCCCCGGGGAATGAACATGCAATAAAAAGTTTCAAAAAAGTTTCTGTATCTTTCTGTACATCTATCTATATTGGCATCATCTATTTATTCATGATCATCCATCAGTCGACTGGAGGTTTGTTATAAAGGTGCTCTGTGGTCATTCATGTTAATTCAGATATGTTATTCATATCATAATCATTGTTTATGTAAACGTTCTGTTCCGTTTGCAACAGGCTTTGCAAACCCAGGGCTGGTCTGTCAAGCCAGATCCAAAGCCACAAGAGAACGCCAGAGGCACGCAGATAGTCTGTTGAGACTGAATCGCCAAAAATGTACACTTTGTATTGAAACCGTTTTCTTAAAACCCTTGTCCTGTGGAGCACAACAATTGTTGTTCTGCACATACAGAACCACCTACACAGCACCTTGTATAGGTACGATTTGGGGGTATTTCTCGTGTCACACCCCAGCGAAACTCAATGAATGCGGAAGTAACTATGCCACTGCAGGGCAAAAAATGTGTGGGGTCTATGATCTAACTAAGACATGAACTTATTGAAAAATATTGTGCCAGGAATGCCAGCAGGACAAGGGTTAACTTGCAATGAAAGCAAAGGAATCCTTACATACCGGTTTAAACACAATCCTCCTCACACGTATGAAGTAGGGTGACGTAATTGATAGCAAATCAATTCTGAATACAATGGTCGGGAACCTGCATTGGAAATGGTGCGTGACCACCTCTGAAAAATATTTGTGTTCAAACTGTCATCAATAGATACGTACAACGTAACGTATCATACATGTACCAATATATGTTCTTTTGACCAGTAATAATACGATCGCGTGGTACAAATTGTTATAACTTACATAATTTATACACTTGGCAAATAGCATCGGCGTTAGTTTCAAGCCATTACCAAATGTTACCTATATCCTTTCATGATGTCTGAAACAGAAAGTAATTGTTAAATTAAAAGTTAAGGGAACAGCCATACTTGAACAATATGTTCCATTCCCTCTGTAGCCATCATTACAGATGCATCGCTGCCCGTTGCAGTACCCGTTAACGTGACACCTGGCCATTGGTCTCCCAGGTGTTGACATGCAGCGTTCTTTCTCTACGGCGAAAATTAGAAAAAAAGTATGATTATGATCTTCATTGGAACGGATTCAAATATCGATGTTTGGAGATAGTTTCAACACAAACACATAGCAGCTGGTACGAGACATGGAAGCGTGTAATACAAACATGAATATGTGATCATCAAAAGAGTAGATGATGTAGGAATACAAATATACAAATAACAACACAAAGTAATGCTTAGGTCACATTTGAAACGGCGCCCGTTCGGCATGTCCTCGGTGTAGACGCCGGCCGGCGTCATGACGCCGAGCGTGCGCCGTACTGTCAGGGTCACAATTAAATGTTCCTTTACGGCTCCCTGTCGGGGCCTGCTTGTTCTCCGGCCGGCGGCTCTCATTAATATTCATAAACTTTTGCGGCCGGTTTCTGTCAGGGACCCGTCCGGTGCCCGGTCAGTCGCCCGTCTTGACCCGTGCGGCGTGTGGTAGGGTGCCGACCGGCTCTTACAGTTCGGCCGGGCAGCTGTCAGGTCCCTGGCGGGTTCCTGGCGGGATCCCGACGGGCTCCTCTCGTGTTTTAAGCAGGTACATATATAAGTGCTGCACTGCCTGCAACCGTTCACTTCAAGTAAAGAGTACACGTCAAGTAAAGAGTACACTGAAGTTGGCGATGCAGCGTTCAGTGCAAACTGCAAACAACTTACAAGCCCGTCTGAGATTGAGATTGGTGACAACCTACATGTAGGTCTTCTGGCATTGGTAGCTGAAGAAGAGAGGCAGGCAGAACTGGTGCGTCGCAAAAGTAACCGAGGGCCTACTTTCGAAAGTACTTCAACAGTGACGCAGGAAGTACTTCAGCAGTGAGGCAGGAAGTGTGCCGTGGCAGCTCCTTGCTATTGAGCAATAAAACCACTGAATATCGTTACTTCTGTTGAAATTTGGACTGAAAATAAATGCCAATAACTTCTAATTCCATTTTATTACGAAGGCATATGATGTAACAAGAGATAATGTCAGACACATTCTATTCCTGTTATGATCTGTTTTATGAAGTTGGCAAGAGAGCCGTGCCGGCTGTTTTCCCTTGCCCTTCGACATTCTGACACACAAATACAAGGTGTAACACACACAAGTACACGATGTAACACACACGTGGTGAACTGTGCGACGTAGTCTGAGGCAGGAGTTTATATATGCTCCCTATAACCCCCTTTTCCTGACCATCTGATGCACTGATCAGCACATGTGACGTCATAATCTTAGGCAGGTGCCTGTTCGGCCGCCCGACGGGTCCCGGGCAGTGAGGTTACGGCGTGGCTTCGGCGTATTTCGCCGAACGGGGCCCGAAGTGTTTTTAACTCTGAGTTAAAATCGATTCGGCGACCGCGCGGGGCCAAAAATAGGCCGGCAGCCGTTGGGAAGCCCGCCGGTCTCCGTCCAGGTCCCGTTCGGTAGTGCCAAAAAACACGCCGAACACGCGCCGAGCGGGCCCCTTTCTTGAATTGTGACCTAAGCATAAACCACGCACCTATGTCGCAGTTAGGCCCTCCATATTCCTGCGTACATCTACAATCGTAGCCGTTTACCATGTCAGTGCAGGTTCCACCGTTTTGACATGGATTAGACTCACACTCATTTATATCTGAAAAACACATCAACAAGAGATTGCCTTCCTGCTTTTAATGTCAGACATTTTGCATATATATTTGCAGCGTACAAACCAATAGATGAAATTTACATATTACATCAAAATAAAATATTGGACAGCTCGTCTGTAAACAGGTAGATAGAATATTTTTTTAACGACAGGGAAACAGAGATTTCAGACTCCTGTCATGTTGCCTGTCGATCTTCCTTTCCACCCTCATGCTGTCAACCTACTTTGTCGGGACTCGAAACTCACAAACCCACAAAATAGTACCTGGAAGTATTGACTTGTCTACCTGAACACCCAGTTCCATTGACAAGACCATCCCCTAAATATCCACTCTTGCAGGTACAAGTCGCATCGATAGCAGGAGCGGGCTTATCTTTGCAGGTGGCCTGGACGTGACATGGCTTCGCTGAGCAAGCATCGATGTCTGTATGGTATGAAATTATTAAATATCATTACTCTAGGGGTGTCAGAAAATAAAAATAGCTGTGTCGTTTTTACACACGAGAATGAACATGTTATCATCAGGGCAAACCACGCACCTTTTTCGCAATTACGTCCTGCATACCCCGGCGAACATTTACAGTTGTAGCTGTTCCCCCTTTTAGTGCAGGTTCCCCCGTTTTCACATGGGTTAGGATCACAGATATCTGGAATGTGAACAAGTGATGAGTTTGCTGCTTTTAATGTCAGGCATTTGGTACATTCTCAGATGGTGACACATTCTTGTGCAATGTGCAAAACGAGATAAAATGTAGTAGTACTACGTGTATCAACCTTAAATCTTCCAAGCATAAAATAAGATAAAGTAAAATAAAAGATAGATGAATACAGCTTTCAAAGTAATACCTGAACATCCAGTTCCACTGACGAGACCATCTCCTGTATATCCAGTGCTGCAGCTGCAGGTGGCATCAAGGGCAGGAGCGGGATTATCTGTACATGTGGCGTTTTTGTCGCATGGATTTGATGAGCAGCCATCGGTGTCTGCATAGTAGACGAGTGGGAAACATTATTACTCTAATGATGTTAGAAAAGACATCTCGTCATTTCTTTAACCCTTTTTAGTTAGGACAAGAGGATTGTAGGAATTGCACCGCAAAAACAAATAGAAATTATGAGTACAGGTAGCCTGCATATCATGGGGTTTTTAATGATAGGTAATATTGAATGTTGAAAAAGAAAAAAATAGGATCTGTACAAATAACAAACTGCACACTAAGTATTTTTAAATGATCGGTGACCGTGGCCTTAAAAAAATACCTGAACATCCAGTTCCATTGACGTAACCATCTCCTGTGTAGCCAGTTGTGCAGGTACAGGTGGCATTAAGGGCTGGTGCTGGGTTATCTGTACAGGTGGCCTCCGCGTCACACGGATCATCCAGGCAGGCGTCTATGTCTATGTGTGGTAATGCAAATCAAAGACCAAGAATATTGAGAATCTATATTGACATTGGTTATCCAAGCTAGAAGCCGTTTACACCCAGTGTCGGTATATGATAGCATCGAAATTTGTAGTAAAAAATGATACCTGAACATCCAGTTCCACTGACGAGACCATCTCCTGTATATCCAGTGTTGCAGCTGCAGGTGGCATCAAGGGCAGGGGCGGGATTATCTGTACAGGTGGCGTTTTGGTCGCATGGATTTGCTAAACAGGCATCGATATCTGCATGGTAAAAGAGGGGAAACACTCTACGGATGCCAGAAATGAAATCCCAACATGTACAGTTCCTAGTATGACCTTATATGACCTTATATCTTAACCAAATCATGTTAATCTTTATGACTGACATATTATTTAGGTATCTTATTGGTGATGCAGGAAAGGGACGTCCTTCTATACATACTAAACTTTATCAGTTAATGATCTTTTCTTCAGAATGAGCAAACATTGTCAAAGGTTTGAAGTATTATCTTGATAAAGACGGCTATTTCATCATTTTCTCATCTTTTATGCAAATGAGATCCTGGTCTTTATTATTCGTGTCTAATGATGTTGACCTTTACTTAACTTCCAAACACCGCAAGTAAGAAACTATTGTCATTGAACAAAATGAAATCGATATCCCTCAAATTAATACCTAAACATCCAGTTCCATTGACGAAACCATCTCCTGTATATCCAGTTCTGCAGGTACAATTAGCATCAAGGGCAGGAGCGGGATTATCTGTACAGATGGCGTTTTCGTCGCATGGATTTGGTGAGCAGCCATCGATGTCTGTTTGGTAAAAGATAAGGAAACATTTACTACTTTACGGAGGTCAGAACAGAAATCTGGCTATGTTTTTTCTACACAGAAGAATAAACATGCGATAATTATCGCGAACAGCGCAGTTACATCCTACATAACCAGGCGAACATTTGCAGCTGTAGCTTTCCCCCTCTTAGTGCAGGTTCCCCCGATTTGATATGGGTTAGGATCACAGATACCTGGAATATGAACAAGTGATGAACTGCCTGCTTTTAATGTTAGGCATTTTGTACATTCTCGGATGGTGTACCAACCGTTGCTGAAATCTCCCAAGCATAAAATAAAAGATAGATAAGATAAAAGTAGTACCTGAACATCCAGTTCCACTGACGAGACCATCTCCTGCGTAGCCAGTGTTGCAGGTGCAGGTGGCATCAAGGGCAGGAGCGGGATTATCTGTACAGGTGGCGTTTTTGTCGCATGGATTTGGTGAGCAGCCATCGGTGTCTGCATAGTAGACGGGAGGGAAACATTATTACTCTAACGATGTTAGAAAAGACATCTCGTCATTTCTTCAACCCGTTTTAGTTAGGACAAGAGGATTGTAGGAATTCAAGAGATTATGTGGATTATTCTGTTATCGATAACATTGATTGTTGAAAAAGACAGAAAAAAGGATGAGAACTAAGGACAAGCTAGATATTAAGTATTTGATAAATGGTCGGTGACCGTGGCCTCAAAGTAATACCTGAACATCCAGTTCCATTGACGTAACCATCTCCTGTATATCCAGTGTTGCAGGTACAGGTGGCGTCAAGGGCAGGAGCAGGATTATCTGTACAGGTAGCCTGTACGTGACATGGATTTGCCAAGCAGGCATCGACGTCTACAATGTATAAAATAAAACAAGGTTGAACACTCTTAACTAAAAAAAAAAAGCCAACAACAAAAACACTTAATTTGCAAAGCGTGTTACTAACTAGAATGTTTGCTTCCAGTGTGAATATGGTGATAAAGCAATACCTGAACATTCAGTTCCATTAACGTAACCATCTCCTGTGTAGCCAGTTGTGCAGGTACAGGTGGCATTAAGGGCTGGTGCTGGGTTATCTGTACAGGTGGCCTCCGCGTCACACGGATCATCCAGGCAGGCGTCTATGTCTATGTGTGGTAATGAAAATCAAAGACCACGAATATTGAGAATCTATATTGACATTGGTTATCCAAGCCAGAAGCCGTTTACACCCAGTGTCGGTATATGATAGCATCGAAATTTGTAGTAAAAAATGATACCTGAACATCCAGTTCCACTGACGAGACCATCTCCTGTATATCCAGTGTTGCAGGTGCAATTAGCACCAAGGGCAGGAGCGGGATTATCTGTGCATGTAGCGTTTTTGTCGCATGGATTTGCTAAACAGGCATCGATATCTGCATGGTAAAAGAGGGGAAACACTCTACGGATGCCAGAAATGAAATCCCAACATGTACAGTTCCTAGTTAGCTAATTGCAATGCATGACTTTATATTTTAACCAAGTCATGTTAATCTTTATGACTGACATATTATTTAGGTATCTTATTGATGATGCAGGAAAGGGTCCTTCTATACATAATACACTTTATCAGTTAATGATCTTTTCTACAGAAATAGCAAACATTGTCAACGGTTTGAAAGTATTATCTTGATAAAGAAGTCTATTTCATCATTTCCTCATGTTTTATGCAAATGAGATCCTGATCTTTATTATTCGTGTCTAATGATGCTGACCTTTACTTAACTTCCAAACACCGCAAGTAAGTAACTATCGTCATTGAACAAAATGTAATCCCTCAAATTAATACCTGAACATCCAGTTCCATGGACGAAACCATTTCCTGTATATCCAGTTCTGCAGTTACAATTAGCATCAAGGGCAGGAGCGGGATTATCTGTACAGATGGCGTTTTCGTCGCATGGACTTGCTGAGCAGCCATCGATGTCTGTTTGGTAAAAGATAAGGAAACATTTATTACTTTACGGAGGTCAGAACAGAAATCTGGCTATGTCGTTTCTACACACAAGAATAAACATGCGATCATTATCGCGAACAGCGCAGTTACATCCTGCATAACCAGACGAACATTTGCAGTTGTAGCTTTCCCCCCTCTTAGCGCAGGTTCCTCCGTTTTGATATGGGTTAGGATCACAGATATCTGGAATATGTACAAGTGATGAACTGTCTGCTTTTAATGTCAGACATTTTGTACATTCTTGGATGGTGTACCAACCGTTGCTGAAATCTTCCAAGCATAAAATAAAAGATAGATAAGGTATATCTTTTAAAGTAATACCTGAACAGCCAGTTCCACTAACCAGACCATCTCCTGTATATCCAGTGTTGCAGCTGCAGGTGGCATCAAGGGCAGGAGCGGGATTATCTATACATGTGGCGTTTTTGTCGCATGGATTTGGTGAGCAGCCATCGGTGTCTGCATAGTAGACGGGAGGGAAACATTTATTACTCTAATGATGTTAGAAAAGACATCTCGTCATTTCGTCAACCCGTTTTAGTTAGGACAAGAGGATTGTAGAAATTCAAGAGATTATGTATACATGTAGTCTTTATGTCATGGATTATTCTTTGTCGATAACTTTGAATGTTGAAAAAGGCAGAAAAAAGGATCAGAACTAAGGACAAGCTAGATATTAAGTATTTGATAAATGGTCGGTGACCCTCAAAGTAATACCTGAGCATCCAGTTCCATTGCCGTAACCATCTCCTGTGTAGCCAGTTGTGCAGCTGCAGGTGGCATCAAGGGCAGGAGCAGGATTATCTGTACAGGTGGCGTTTTCGTCGCATGGATTTGCTGAGCAGCCATCGATGTCTGCGGACGAGAGGGAAACATTATTACTCTGCTGATATTAGAAATGACATGGCGTCATTTCTTCGCTTCAACAGTGTTTAATTGGGTGAAAAATGAGATCTGGACATCGACCTTGCATGTCATGGCTTTTTTTAATGATCGGTAACGTTGAATGATAAAAAAAGTGAAAAAGATGTCTGTACAAACGACAACCTGCATACTAAGTATTTGGTAAATAATCGGCGGCCGTGGCCGCAAAGGAATACCTGAACATCCATTTCCATTGAGAAGACCATCCCCTGCATATCCACGCCTGCAGGTACAAGTCGCATCAAGGGCAGGAGCGGGATTATCTTTGCAGGTGGCCTGGGCGTGACATGGCTTCGCTGAGCAAGAATCGATATCTGCATGGTATGAAGTTATTAAATATCATTACGTTCTACGGGTTATAAAAACTAAATCTAGCTATGTCATTTCTACACGAAAGAATGAACATGCATCATCAAAGTGTACCACGCACCTTTTTCGCAGTTACGTCCTGCATATCCCGGCAAACATTTACAGTTGTAGCTGTTCCCCCTCTCAGTGCAGGTTCCCCCGTTATGACATGGGTTAGGATCACAGACATCTGGAAAATCAATGTCAGTCGTCCTCTGCACTTTTGTCATCTGCAGAAAAAATAATTTCAAACGAATGATCTCTGCGTAGCCCGAAATGTTGTGGGTATTGCTGTTGACTTGTGCTTAAAGTACTCTGCTTCTGCATTGAGTAAATCAAGAAAACAAATGTGCCATATGCACTGTTATTTGATCGTAAACAAAAGTTTAAGTAAAGTAGCATGTAACAAGGTTTTTGAAAGACTATTATAAAGACCGAAAATAACAGTCCAAAAAGCCTAAAAAGAGTTTGGTATTTTGAAAGCAATTCCATTCTGTTTTGTAGTATTATCATTGTAGGATGTTGCGTTGTTCGTGGCGTTGTCGATAATGTACTGGACTGTGTGGTGACTAGGGTCGATTTTTGTGTTGTGCTTTGTGTTGTCAGAACGGTTGTTGGATTTGTCGTTCTTTCAGTCGTACTTAATGTAGTCTGTGTCTGCATCAAAGTGGAAAAGAAGAATGCTAGCGTCTTTATTGGTGCCATAATCGTAAACAGGAGCTGTTGCTCAAACACATGCTTGTAGAAGTTAGAAGACTCTTCTAAAAACGTGTTACATATACAGTAAAGGGACCTTAAATTAACTTAAAATGAGTGGGTTCTTCATCAAAGGCAGTTCAAGTCTGTTTTTGTGATTTACCGAAGTGGGTCCTTGAGTTGTCCCTAGCGTTGTCGATACTGTAGTTGGCGGTGTGGTCACTAGTGTGGATTCGTCAGTTGTCCTCTGCGTAGTCAGAACAGTTGTGGGCATTGTTGTTTTATGACTTGTGCTTAACGTGCTCTGCATCTGCATGGAGTAAAGAATAAGGTGATTTTTGTGCAAAGAAATCTTGATTTGGGGAAATGTTATGATGATGAAATTCGTTTATTTTTCCATTTTACCGTAGTGGTAGGTTTTGTTGTCCGTAGCGTTGTCGATAATGTAATTGGCTGTGTGGTCACTAGTGTGGAATTGTCGGTTGTCAAAAATGTAGTTGGCTGTGTGGTCATGGGTATGGATTCGTCAGTTGTCTTGTGTGTAGTTATAAGAGTTGTAGGCATTGTCGTTTTATAACTTGTACTCAATGTCGTTTGCCTCTGCATTGAATTAAGAAAAAGAACCACGTATACGTCAATAACGTTGTTAAGGTCGTGAACAAGAACATCAGTTGCAAGTCATGCTTAATGGGCTCGCGCAGTTTGTAAAGAAAGTTATAATGAAATTGTCTAAAGCAGACTGAAAAGAGGTTTGTATTTTGAAGAGCAGCTTCATTCTTGTAGTAGTACCGTTGTAGGTGTTTGGGTTGTTCGTCGCGTTGTCGATAATGTACTGGACTGTGAGGTGACTAGGGTCGATTTATGTGTTGTGCTTTGTGTTGTCAGAACGGTTGTGGGCTTTGTCGTTCTTTCAGTCGTACTTAATGTAGTCTGTGTCTGCATCAAAGTGGAAAAGAAGAATGCTAGCGTCTTTTGCGTTGCCACAATCATAAACAGGAGATGTTTTTCAAACACACGTTTGAAGAAGTTAGAAGACTCTTCTTAAAACGTGTTACATGTATAGTAAAGGGACCTTAAATTAACTTGAAATGAGTGGGTTCTTCATCAAAGGCAGTTCAAGTCTGTTTTTGTGATTTACCGAAGTGGGTCCTTGAGTTGTCCCTAGCGTTGTCGATACTGTAGTTGGCGGTGTGGTCACTAGTGTGGATTCGTCGGTTGTCCTCTGCGTAGTCAGAACAGTTGTGGGCATTGTTGTTTTATGACTTGTGCTTAACGTAGTCTGCATCTGCATGGAGTAAAGAATAAGGTGATGTTTGTACAAAGAAAGCTTGATTTGGGGAAATGTTATGATGATGAAATTCGTTTATTTTTCCATTTTACCGTTACGGTAGTGGTAGGTTTGGTTGTCCGTCGCGTTGTCGATAATGTAGTTAGCTGTGTGGTCACTAGTGTGGATTTGTCGGTTGTCAATAATGTAGCTGGCGGTGTGGTCATGAGTGTGGATTCGTCAGTTGTCTTGTGTGTAGTTATAAGAGTTGTAGGCATTGTCGTTTTATAACTTGTACTCAATGTCGTTTGCCTCTGCATTGAATTAAGAAAAAGAAGCACGTATACGTCAATAACGTTGTTAAGGTCGTGAACAAGAACATCAGTTGCAAGTCATGTTAATGGGCTCGCGCAGTTTGTAAAGAAAGTTATAATGAAATTGTCTAAAGCAGACTAAAAAAGGTTTGTATTTTTAAGAGCAGTTCCATTCTGTTGTGTAGTAGTACCGTTGTAGGTGTTTGGGTTGTTCGTCGCGTTGTCGATAATGTACTGTACTGTGTGGTGACTAGGGTGGATTTTTGTGTTGTGCTTTGTGTTGTCAGAACGGTTGTGGGCTTTGTCGTTCTTTCAGTTGTACTTAATGTAGTCTGTGTCTGCATCAAAGTGGAAAAGAAGAATGCTAGCGTCTTTTGCGTTGCCACAATCATAAACAGGAGATGTTTTTCAAACACATTTTTGAAGAAGTTAGAAGACTCTTCTAAAAACGTGTTACATATACAGTAAAGGGACCTTAAATTAACTTAAAATGAGTGGGTTCTTCATCAAAGGCAGTTCAAGTCTGTTTTTGTGATTTACCGAAGTGGGTCCTTGAGTTGTCCCTAGCGTTGTCGATACTGTAGTTGGCGGTGTGGTCACTAGTGTGGATTCGTCGGTTGTCCTCTGCGTAGTCAGAACAGTTGGGGGCATTGTTGTTTTATGACTTGTGCTAAACGTAGTCTGCATCTGCATGGAGTAAAGAATAAGGTGATGTTTGTGCAAAGAAAGCTTGATTTGGGGAAATGTTATGATGATGAAATTCGTTTATTTTTCCATTTTACCGTTACGGTAGTGGTAGGTTTGGTTGTCCGTCGCGTTGTCGATAATGTAGTTGACTGTGTGGTCACTAGTGTGGATTTGTCAGTTGTCAATAATGTAGCTGGCGGTGTGGTCATGAGTGTGGATTCGTCAGTTGTCTTGTGTGTAGTTATAAGAGTTGTAGGCATTGTCGTTTTATAACTTGTACTCAATGTCGTTTGCCTCTGCATTGAATTAAGAAAAAGAAGCACGTATACGTCAATAACGTTGTTAAGGTCGTGAACAAGAACATCAGTTGCAAGTCATGCTTAATGGGCTCGCGCAGTTTGTAAAGAAAGTTATAATGAAATTGTCTAAAGCAGACCAAAAAGAGGTTTGTATTTTGAAGAGCAGCTTCATTCTGTTGTGTAGTAGTACCGTTGTAGGTGTTTGGGTTGTTTGTCGCGTTGTCGATAATGTACTGGACTGTGAGGTGACTAGGGTGGATTTATGTGTTGTGCTTTGTGTTGTCAGAACGGTTGTGGGCTTTGTCGTTCTTTCAGTCGTACTTAATGTAGTCTGTGTCTGCATCAAAGTGGAAAAGAAGAATGCTAGCGTCTTTTGCGTTGCCACAATCATAAACAGGAGATGTTTTTCAAACACATGTTTGAAGAAGTTAGAAGACTCTTCTAAAAACGTGTTACAAATACAGTAAAGAGACCTTAAATTAACTTAAAATGAGTGGGTTCTTCATCAAAGGCAGTTCAAGTCTGTTTTTATGATTTACCGAAGTGGGTCCTTGAGTTGTCCCTAGCGTTGTTGATACTGTAGCTGGCGGTGTGGTCATAAGTGTGGATTCGTCAGTTGTCTTGTGTGTAGTTATAACAGTTGTAGGCATTGTCGTTTTATAACTTGTAGTCAATGTCGTTTGCCTCTGCATTGAATTAAGAAAAAGAAGCACGTATACGTCAATAACGTTGTTAAGGTCGTGAACAAGAACATCAGTTGCAAGTCATGTTAATGGGCTCGCGCAGTTTATAAAGAAAGTTATAATGAAATTGTCTAAAGCAGACTAAAAAAGGTTTGTATTTTTAAGAGCAGTTCCATTCTGTTGTGTACTAGTACCGTTGTAGGTGTTTGGGTTGTTCGTCGCGTTGTCGATAATGTACTGGACTGTGAGGTGACTAGGGTGGATTTTTGTGTTGTGCTTTGTGTTGTCAGAACGGTCGTGGGCTTTGTCGTTCTTTCAGTCGTACTTAATGTAGTCTGTGTCTGCATCAAAGTGGAAAAGAAGAATGCTAGCGTCTTTTGCGTTGCCACAATCATAAACAGGAGGTGTTTTTCAAACACGTTTGAAGAAGTTAGAAGACTCTTCTTAAAACGTGTTACATATACAGTAAAGGGACCTTAAATTAACTTGAAATGAGTGGGTTCTTCATCAAAGGCAGTTCAAGTCTGTTTTTGTGATTTACCGAAGTGGGTCCTTGAGTCGTCCCTAGCGTTGTCGATACTGTAGCTGGCGGTGTGGTCATAAGTGTGGATTCGTCAGTTGTCTTGTGTGTAGTTATAACAGTTGTAGGCATTGTCGTTTTATAACTTGTACTCAATGTCGTTTGCCTCTGCATTGAATTAAGAAAAAGAAGCACGTATACGTCAATAACGTTGTTAAGGTCGTGAACAAGAACATCAGTTGCAAGTCATGCTTAATGGGCTCGCGCAGTTTGTAAAGAAAATTATGATGAAATTGTCTAAAGCAGACTAAAAAGAGGTTTGTATTTTTAAGAGCAGTTCCATTCTGTTGTGTAGTAGTACCGTTGTAGGTGTTTGGGTTGTTCGTCGCGTTGTCGATAATGTATTGGACTGTGAGGTGACTAGGGTGGATTTTTGTGTTGTGCTTTGTGTTGTCAGAACGGTCGTGGGCTTTGTCGTTCTTTCAGTCGTACTTAATGTAGTCTGTGTCTGCATCAAAGTGGAAAAGAAGAATGCTAGCGTCTTTTGCGTTGCCACAATCATAAACAGATGTTTTTCAAACACATGTTTAAAGAAGTTAGAAGACTCTTCATAAAACGTGTTACATATACATAAAGGGACCTTTAATGAACTTAAAATGAGTGGGTTCTTCATCAAAGGCAGTTCAAGTCTGTTTTTGTGATTTACCGAAGTGGGTCCTTGAGTTGTCCCTAGCGTTGTCGATACTGTAGCCGGCGGTGTGGTCATAAGTGTGGATTCGTCAGTTGTCTTGTGTGTAGTTATAACAGTTGTAGGCATTGTCGTTTTATAACTTGTACTCAATGTCGTTTGCCTCTGCATTAAATTAAGAAAAAGAACCACGTATACGTCAATAACGTTGTTAAGGTCGTGAACAAGAACATCAGTTGCAAGTCATGTTAATGGGCTCGCGCAGTTTGTAAAGAAAGTTATAATGAAATTGTCTAAAGCAGACTAAAAGAGGTTTGTATTTTTAAGAGCAGTTCCATTCTGTTGTGTAGTAGTACCGTTGTAGGTGTTTGGGTTGTTCGTCGCATTGTCGATAATGTACTGTACTGTGTGGTGACTAGGGGGTGGATTTTTTGTGTTGTGCTTTGTGTTGTCAGAACGGTTGTGGGCTTTGTCGTTCTTTCAGTTGTACTTAATGTAGTCTGTGTCTGCATCAAAAAGGAAAAGAAGAATGCTAGCGTCTTTTGCGTTGCCACAATTAATATATCATAAACAGGAGATGTTTTTCTAAACACATGTTTGAAGTAGTTAGAAGACTCTTCTTAAAACGTGTTACATATACAGTAAAGGGACCTTAATTAACTTGAAATGAGTGGGTTCTTCATCAAAGGTAGTTCAGGTCTGTTTTTATGATTTACCGAAGTGGGTCCTTGAGTTGTCCCTAGCGTTGTCGATACTGTAGCTGGCGGTGTGGTCACTAGTGTGGATTCGTCGGTTGTCCTCTGCGTAGTCAGAACAGTTGTGGGCATTGTTGTTTTATGACTTGTGCTTAACGTACTCTGCATCTGCATGGAGTAAAGAATAAGGTGATGTTTGTGCAAAGAAAGCTTGATTTGGGGAAATGTTATGATGATGAAATTCGTTTATTTTTCCATTTTACCGTTACGGTAGTGGTAGGTTTGGTTGTCCGTCGCGTTGTCGATAATGTAGTTGGCTGTGTGGTCACTAGTGTGGATTGGTCAGTAGTCAATAATGTAGCCGGCGGTGTGGTCATGAGTGTGGATTCGTCAGTTGTCTTGGGTGTAGTTATAACAGTTGTAGGCATTGTCGTTTTATAACTTGTACTCAATGTCGTTTGCCTCTGCATTGAATTAAGAAAAAGAAGCACGTATACGTCAATAACGTTGTTAAGATCGTGAACAAGAACATCAGTTGCAAGTCATGTTAATGGGCTCGCGCAGTTTGTAAAAAAAGTTATAATGAAATTGTCTAAAGCAGACTAAAAGAGGTTTGTATTTTTAAGAGCAGTTCATTCTGTTGTGTAGTAGTACCGTTGTAGGTGTTTGGGTTGTTTGTCGCGTTGTCGATAATGTACTAGACTGTGAGGTGACTAGGGTCGATTTATGTGTTGTGCTTTGTGTTGTCAGAACGGTTGTGGGCTTTGTCGTTCTTTCAGTCGTACTTAATGCAGTCTGTGTCTGCATCAAAGTGGAAATGAAGAATGCTAGCGTCTTTTGCGTTGCAACAATCATAAACAGGAGATGTTTTCAAACACATGTTTGAAGAAGTTAGAAGACTCTTCTAAAAACGTGTTACAA